ATTAGTTGTAAAATGCAATAAAGTGCACTGGTTAAACATTTAAATCTTAGAAAGCATCTGCAATGCGGAGATGTGTTTAGGTAAAAAGTGTGATACACATGACCGCGTAACCAGCTCATCGTACAAGAATGGCCAATACGCACCTACTGAACATAACGACCACAGCATAATTAAACACTAATCATATATATTTTTTTATCTTTTCATCGTATTTCTATACGCCCGATGAGTTCATCTGAAATCGCTAACTATACGTAGACGCAATTTAATAATAAGCTTGAAATAATTAAGATTATGTAACCACGAAGTGATTTTTTTATCTTCTATCTTTGATTTTTCTTAACAGTATTTGACAAATGACATATATATTAAATATACAGGATCAACAAAGTAAAATACCTAAAGAAAGTAATTTCACAGGATTATGTTTGTTAACTATAAAAACTGTGGCAAAACCTCTCGTGTAAGTACAGTACATAACTCAAACTCAACATTACACGCTACGCCACAAGTTCTTTACAAAGAAACCATTCATAGATTCACTATGAGGGGCAGCGCTGAACAAAGTGCAGATAAGTTAAGATCAAACCATTGTGTGATTCCATTTCACCCGCTATTTGATGAGATGATATGGCTAATTATGGCGCGGTCACGCTCTCCATGATTACAATAGAATTACTATGTAACACATTAAACCTAAATTTAAGATTTAATTTTCAAATTAATTTGATGTAGACGTCTTTATAAATGGATATAACTCGGCCATAACTTAAACCGGAGCATCTAACGGCCGCTGTGTTAATAAATAAAACTAATAAAATATGAAGTGTGAGACGGATAAGAATCTGATGGGCAACAATACATGAATAATTAGACCTGCAACTTATAATGTTCAAAGAAATACGCGTGCTAGCTATTAATTAAGTTTTACGGACGCTTTCTCAAATCGTAAAACTGTTGTAGGCTGTAGCGTTATCTAAAATAAAACCCTTTCATTATATGTTTATTAGTGTTAATTATAACAGATAATTTTTGTCGGTTGCACTGCTACTGTAATCATGTATTGCAGATGCATTACGTTAATACTTCGTTTCTGTGTGATTTTAATTATCTTTTCTTTTCAATTTACATATTTTTACAACTAAAACAAAAAGAAACAAACAAATCTTTTTATTCCACAAGTTATAAATATAATATTAGTATCATTCTAATTATTAAGTCGAAAATAACGAAAAAAACAAAATTGTATAACAATATATAATACTTTTGTATATTCTATAAGTAAATAAAATATTATTATTAATAAAATGGAAATACTATAAAGACGATAACAAAATGTCTGTGTAACCGGAGCAAGGTGAAATAGAAATGAGGGTAGTATAGATCATTATAAATATCGAATGAAGCTAACGGCGCGTGCGCACGCGACTCACCATAGAGCAGAATAGTGATACAAACAACACTACAGACTGGCCACTATTTACTTAATAAGGAATATATAACACCTATTAATTAATATGTAAAATATTATTTATTTTTCCTCATCTTCCCAAAGGTATATTCATATTTAAATCATGTCTATAAACTAATTTTGAGACTAAAAGAAAAGAAAAGTGTGTATTAAGATTTCAATCGAAAAGGCATAGATAATATTACTAAAATATTGAAAGTATCTATATACTCAATTATTTTATGTACCTTCGATTTAATATTAATTAATATCTCTTCTTAACCATAATAATATTTTTACCAATATTATTGTTATCTATAATTGGTTTTTCGAAGAATTTCTATCTTTGGTATCACAAATAAGTTACACGTTTTCTCTATAGTATATATGTATTATTGAATGTAATTTTTTTATCATAGTAGTGAATCACTATTAATTGAATTTATGTAATATTAAACTCCCTTTTTCTCGTTTTGTATTACAAATATATTTGAATGTAATTTGTTGTAATTATTGTCTTGTTTTTAATAAAACGTAAAATAATAACATACTGCCAGCTGTGTTCAAGGTAGCGGTGATGACGTCATTGATGATAGAAGTCATTACAATTTAGTTACTTGTAAAGTCACCGCAGATAAGACGAACTATACTTTATACCACAAGTTTGAATTCACACACTATATACTCAACGTTTAGAGTTTTGTATCATGTGCATAGTACGGGTCCAAATCTTCAGTCTATTTGATATAATATACTATAAATCAAATAAATATTTATGAAAAAAGTATATGTTAAAATATTTTAAACACAATAATAAGGTACAGTTATTTTATGTTATAATGTAATATAATAATTACATTTTTAATCTTTGATTCCATTACACCTCACCGATTGCTTCATGAACGAATATCTATAGATCAATGCGCTTGTTCACGATCCTGCCAATATAAATGGACAGCATCAGTACGATAGCAATTACCACTTTTATACAAGGGAACATGATTGAATTTACAATGCATTCATTAAAATCACATTTTTGACTTCGATTCTACATAGTTATGGTTGAAACTGATATGTTTTCGAATTATATTTTGATGATATCAATTTACATATTAAAATTATTGTTGTTTAATTTTTCATATTAATACAAAACAATCCTTGATGGTAGGAAATAATAACTCTTTAAAGACAATCTTTAAAACTGGTGGGAGCAGGTGAGCGGTTTGTAAGTATAAAAAGGAATAATCACCAGCCTCAAGATCTTAAATCCTGTGAGAGCAATGAATCTCATTCGTCCCTCAGTGAAGTCTGTATAAATCGCACGCACTGATTAAAAGCTATGGAGTCGGAAGTTGGTGCGAGCCGGTGATTTATTAATTCATTAGCTAAATGCCTCCTTTATCCGCTAATTGGGGAAATGATAAAAGTGATTTTTAACATACGAATGTTCAATCAAGCCGAGTGACCCTTTCGTTCGTAATTAAGATCGCTGCTGGATTTAAATAAGTCAAGCTAAAGTACTTTTTATTTTTTGTTCCCTTTACTTAAGCTGAAATTCGTGTTCTTTTATACCAACCTTCCATTTATTGAATATATCAAATAATAATTAATAGACAATTAATTTACTATAATAACTTCAAAGAACAGCCATTACAAGTTTCCTAAACGTAGAATGTATTTATAATTAGTTTATCGAACAAACAATGAAGATACTACCGGAGCAATCTAACTAATAATTTGTGTATAATTACAAAAGCACATAAATCTCAGTAATAGAAAACGGATTTCCAAGCGTAGCGCAAACAACGCAACCTTTATTGATACTATCTCATGTAAATCGCGTCGGATAAATGTAACTTGATGTTTATCCTGACTTTACTGATGTTATTTCACGAAAGAGTTCCAAATATATTACTCACTATTAAGACTGGAATTTGTCAAAACATTACTTAAATCGCAGCTGCGATGTTAACAATAGAAGTAGAAAATATAAGAGAGAAAAGAGATTTTTTAATTAAGAAAACTTATTATTTTACTTAAGTATTTTTATATACTATTAAAGCTACTGCCAATGCAATAGAAATTAATCAACAGACGGACATACAATCTCAAGATTAGCAAGACAAAGGCACGCGTCGGGTGCGCGCGCGCAATTAGCGGTCACAATGAGCCAACAACAATAGCTTGATGGGAGATAGGCTATCGGCATATCGCGACGTTCGCTGAATTAGTTTGCTTAACCTTTGTCTGTGCTTAACCCGCGACAAATGTAACTGAACTTTTATTAACTGCAGGTATCTTTTGCCGTTCCCCGAACTGTTCAGACTATTCTCTTACCGTTTTAATGTTATGTTATTTAGAAGCCACGAGATGTGTTTATACATATGAAGTCTTCAAATAGGTCCGTTGTATATCAGTCCTCTACAAATATCTTCAGGTTAGCACTAATACAATCGGATTAAGAGGATTTTGACCAGTTTGTCACGTCAATTCGTGGGAGGCCGGCCAGTGCCGAAGCGATAACGCACAATCCTTTCGTAATAAACCCTTAGTTGAATTATCTCTTGCATCTTAGCCCTACCTTACCATTTATAATATTTTAAGTTGTGTTATTACAGTGATAAAGGCTTTCAGTATTTTCGTTTTGAAACCCTATGATACTTGGAAAAAGAGGAGTGTGACTTATAAATACAATAACGATTAGTTTCAATATTCTTTGGTACATACAAAATTATGTTACATACAACATAATCATCATATTATAGTAATTTTCTGAAGTTTTCTGTGGAAATATATAAAGTACAAAAATGTTCACAATATTAATATTTCAGCTAATTTCTTTTCATTTTGATAACATAAACTAAATAACAATTAAATAACATTAACTAAGTAACAATCAATATTGGCGTCATTTAACATTTTGTATCTGAGAACGCTCCACTTTAACGTCCCAGCCTTAACATCAATTAGACGAAATTTAAATTTAAATTGAACTCGATAAAACTGGTAACTTAAAAATAAATTATAAGCCGATTAACAAGTAGTTAGTACCTAACCTATTTTTGTATGTTTTTATGTATTTATTAAATAGATTTAATGTTTCAACTTGATAAATATGTCTTTAGCAATGTCTATACATAATGGCATTTTATATAAATGGCACTGAACAGCAAAATAAAGACGAAAGATTGTCTTAGGTCTTGCCACACTACAATTATAGAACTAATACCAATTGATGGACCTTTTGAAGCCCTTATAGGTATAACATAAACATGTTTAATTATGTAATAATATTATCTATATAAACTATCATCAACATAACATAAAGGTTAAATAGTTAAAAATATTTCAAGGCGACAATTCCTATCTATAAGTTCCCTAAACATCCACTCCTTAATCTATATAGTCGATGTCTTATAAAATAGATATAAAACACCTTTGATGTTTTGTGTTTCATATAAGAATTATATTTAATACAATACTATTCAATACAGAACATAATTCAGGAATCTTTAGGAATCAGGTAGATGTTAAGTCGTGTAGTCTAATGTTAGAAGTATGAGTACACTAAAGTATTGAAATATCTCTTACCTTTCAACTTGCTCTGGCATCTCAGCTGATCGATGATCGTGGTGAGCCTGTTCTCCCGCTGGTTCATCATCCTCCCGTCATCTTCCTCCTTCACACCACACTTATCGTCATCATTCTTATCATTCTTATCATTTCCGCAGCTGTCTTCAAGCTCAGTTTTTATATTCAATTCACTTGTCATTGTCATGTAATTATCGTTGCAATTCTTGATCACTGTTTCAGACATCTTAGAATATATTTATAACAAATTTACTCGCTATATGTGATAAAAAAAACAGTATTATTTTTGCCCTATTGTTGTATATTATATATTTGAAGGCTTCTAAAGACAGTAAAAATCAGTATTATTTTTTCCCTATAATTGTATATTATATATATTTCAAGGCTTTTGAAAACAGTATTTGTGTTGTTGAAGAATTTCTATATGTGTATTTGCTTATCATGTAAGTGTTTGCAATGAATCTGATTACTCATATATAATCTAACGATAAATTCGTCCGTGACTATGACCTGTTCTTGTTTGTGCAATTCTAATAACATTAATTTAAAGACTTTTTAACATAATACTAATGTACGTATACTGTTATAACATCCAACAGTTTGAAGCAAAATCTTTATGATAGTTTGCATAGTCAACTCGACTTACAGTGCAAACGTGTAAATGAAACATCATATAATTTACAACTGAAAAACCTTGAAAGTTCGGTTCAGTGTTTATCTTAACTATAAAACGCGAACTAAGGATACAAAGTTATATATATAAAGTGTTGATAATATCCAATATTTTATATATTTTCAAACAAATACGAGTGAAGATATATATATTTATATATTTCCATAGTTACTGTATAAATAGTGGATAGTCAATTTGTACACGAGCATCCAATCAATCACAGTCCGCTAACAAACAAGAGTTCAGTTTAAGTTACGTACCATTCAAATGATATAAACTTAACACGCCCCCTATTGTTCTCAAAGACCGCCTTTGTAAAGGTCACTTATAGTTTTTCAATGTAGATTGTATTGTAATTTAGCAGAAATATCTATATTTTACAACTCCACAATACTGTACCACAATTATGATTTGGAAAACGGAAAACGTATGACATTATCTATGATTTTGGAGCAAAGTCCTTAGTATATAATAATGAGAACCTGATAGAATTACGCGTGGAGTATAAAAGATGTTTACCTTTAGAACAACACAACAAACACAGTAACAAATAAATATAATATCACAAATATTAAAACAGCGGGTAAAGGTAACACAGGTATGGTATGGTTTATCGCGCGTTCAACTGATAACTGTCGTGTCAGGTCAAACGAGCAAATGGGGCACAGTGTGCTGATAACAAACGATAAGGGGCTCTTAACCTTCCGACGCCACTTGCTATATGCTGCTCTGGTGGCTCATACTGGATTTCGAAGGCACCAGGGTTGATCGACTGATGCAAAAAGCAGAAACAACTATATTATAAATCATATTTTTCATTCATCAAAATTCTTCATATGATTAGCCCTAATACAAACGTCTTAGTAACATTTCTTTTTAATAATAATAGTTTTAAAGTGAATGGTGCAAGTGTACAATGAAAGGGCAGACGTGCGACCGGTCATAGCGTCGTGACTGTGATAAGCTGATAACAGTGATAACGTGATTTGCGGACAAAGCGTAACGCTTCAAGGAAACCCGCTGATAATACATCGACCACAACACTATGGTCATTTGTTATAAATATAGGTAGCAATGTTCAGAACAACTAGAGTCTTTCATCATCCTACTTTAAACACTACTTATAGATAAACTATTTAGCATTAACATGAAATTTAAGTTTTCCTTTCAAATGATTATTTGTAAATCAATTCAATGTTATGTACCAAAACCAATCATTATCAAGGGTTAATTATTGGGTAACAATTATACAGATTACAGAAGTATCCTTTATAAAAATATATAAGTTCATAGCGCCTGACAGAAATAAGTTAGTTATTACATAAATCTACAAATTGTATATACTTTTTTGAAAGTAACATACTATATATAATCGTATATTAATTCCATAGAGTTAACCAAAATGGATATATGACAGCTGGCATTAAAATAGTACGTCTGAAGCTAATTCGGTCGTGAGGTCGCGACCTGTCACCCCACGCACAATCCATATTTGCCAAATAATTGCTCAACTTAACTGTACATAATTGTTGTAGGATTGTTCATAAATCCAATTATATTTGTAAAATCAAATAAATATACTAAAAATTCTTTGAATATCTTTGTACAGAATCATGTGACATGATTTCTACTAACATATTTTTAATAATTTTCATTGAAAAATCTATGACTAACACTGACTATACTTCCAATATAAGTTTAAATGCAATTGGATTATTTCTTTATGTCATAACATCTTGGCAGCGGGTAGAGCTAATTTGGGCGGCGAGGTCATGACCCGGTGCCCTGCGCCTGCGCAGCACAGCGCTAATCTTGGCCATGTTTACTGTCAGGACAAACAGTTTTCATATATATTATTTAGAGAATAGTAGTAGCAAAGAAAATAATATTGAAATTATTATCTATGAATTAATTTCTGTTACTATTGAATAACGTTTGCTTTGAAGATACAGGGTGTTAGGAAAACGATTCAAGCTAGTCTTTGTTGTTAGTATGTAAATGCATTATCTTAATATATATTTATATATTTTTCTTAACAGATAATCGAATTATCTGGCTACGTTCCATGTCTAGATGTATTTCAAGCGGGGCCGAGGTTGTGACCCGACTACCCCCCGGCCCTCAGCCGCGTTACAATGTAATACACTAACATCTTTAGAAAATACATTCATTTATACAAATAAAAATCTATAGAAAGTGAACAAAATTAATTTAACTACCAAAGAACTGTTCAGTGTTTAACGATTTTAAGTATTCATTACGCAATTAATTCTAAATGTATGTATGCCAGCGTTGTAAACACATTATAAGTATTAGTTCCATTTCGTTTCATTTCACTAAAACATTATCAAGTTTTAAATAATCTAATTAACTTTAAAATGAACCCAGAATATCTGTAGAGACAAATCGCCTGGTCTTTCTCAACTCTGTCTATTGCTTTGTTATTTAACAAAAACAAACAAATGTACGCTATTACTTAACTCATGTACAATGTAATGTTGTTTTTTCCATATTTTTGATTAACCAAATCATAACAGCCTTCTTACATACCGAACAATGAGCAAATTAAATGGAACAATAGACTCGATCGCACCTGAACATTAGTAGCGTCTGATATAATGAAGGAAAAAATTGTAAGTAATTCAGAAAACATGAATTCAATTAATAATTATATCTAGAATTAATACAGACTTAATTAAAATCCAGTAAAGAAAAACTGACTTTATTACAATTAAATTAATTTTATTTTTGATTTCAAGGTGACGATAATTCTAGTATACTTATCCAAAGAAACATTATCTCAATACGATGGTAACTATGGTGTCCAACAAGGGTATCAATACAATCCGTATCAGAATATGCCATACGAACCATACCAAGAACAATTATTACAAAATAACAAGTGGAATGAAGAAGAGAATGCAAATTACAAGGATTATAAAGATTATAATGATTATGATGAAAATATCTGTGATTGCAGCAAATGTGGTGATCTGAAACCCGGTTGCCTAAATGCATGCCCCAATTGCATGTCCACACCACAACCTCTCATGCCTCAAAATTATTTCATACTCCCATTCCCATATCCATACCCAATGACGGCGAAGGAAACCGCTGCACCCGTTCATAAAGAAACTCAAAGAACAACCACAACTACAATCGCAACGACAACAACAACAATAACTACAACAACAACAGAAGCTCCAACAACAAACAAAGAAACAACAGAAATTGTTACCGAAGCAACAACTGAAACTTCTATGGAAACTGACATGACGATGTCTCCATTTCACGTGATCTCGAAGCGACCCTACTTGATAACGTGTCTAAGAAAAACAAAACCCAATTGGATGCCAAAATACGGTATAGTTCCTATTTCTGATACATTCGCTGAAAAAATTATGCTTCAACTGAGAGACATGAAAGTATTACATCCCCGTAGAGACGTAGCTAGAAAAGAAGCTACGTATCCATTACAGTAAAAATACTATTAAGTCTAGATTAAAATTTATATATCGTTATACATTTTTAAAATAATTAATTTGTTTAATTCGTATCAGAACAAATCACTCAGTGACTATAGATCTTTCGAAATAACAGTTACTTTTTTTAAGTGAAATGAGTTTTTATATATCTTACTTTTTATATATTTCATAGCTTGTTAAAATAAAAATAAGTATAAATGTAAATTTTACAGAGTAACCAAAATGCTCAACGTATGCTCTCTGTAGAACGATAAGAATTTTAGGTTTTGACTAAAAAATATATATATGACAGCAGAATCCTTAAGAAATCCTTGTAATTTTTTTTTATTGAAATTTAAACACTATTTTTTTTAATACCACGTATTTTTTTGGTTTGTTATTTTAACTCAAATGCGTTTTCTTTGAATAAAATTAAAGAAATATGTTGATATTCACTTTTTTACATAAAATAAATGTTGTTATTATATAAATATGTTTAAAACGTTTTTAGGAAAAAAATATACGTTATTGTAAAATAGCTGTAAGTATATGTAGCATTTTCATTCGTACGTACCAAAAACTTAAAAAAATATAAATAAATATACGAAGCACATCACATAACACAAATCACTTCACCAAATATTTACACTGGAAAAGTTTTATATGTAATTATTCAGGCGTATCGATTATTTATCATCGATACATATCCCGGGAGCGTGGCTTGACCTTTCAGAAGTGTTCACGACTGTGAGAAAGTCGCGCGGGGTCACCGACGATGTATTTTTAGAGTTTAAAGTTCGAAATACGACGGTTCACGCGTCTTTTAAACGATTTGATGCTTCCGCCAATCGATTTGGCTGTTACAATTATACGACTCCTGATTGGATGATAATTGACGTACGAAATAGGAATTAAACTTTTTATAGATGTACCTATGTTTAGATTAAATTTTCGTTTAATATTGTATAACATATTATAAACAAATATAATTTATTTCAGTACATTGTACTAGTGTACAGAATATACAATAAAAGTGCCTGACATGCAGTATTAAAAGTCTTGTTTACAAAATATATTCTCTATTATTAAGAAAAAAAATTATTACTCTTTAGCATACCTTCTATTGAATTGCGACAATGTTGTTTCAGCAAGATTTTTTTACATAACATAATTTTTAGTTATATGCGGTTGAATAAATAACCATAATTTAAAATTACAGTATTAATTACAAAACCCCCTTAAAGTTATGAAAACTTATTTTTGATTGCTTTTTACTAAATATGCCTCTAATAAAAATATTCTTTACTAACACACGCTCTCATAAATGATATTGGAGCGATAGAATTATTCAAATCAAAGTATTGAAATATGTTCCTACAGATAATATGACTAAATATCTTTTAGTTTGTTATAGGTACATAATTTATTTTAGGTATAAATGAACTATGCCTTAGTATTTACATTTCTTACATAAGCATTAAAAAACTCAACTTTTTGTCTGATGCTATGAACTTTATTGGTGATATTATTCATTTATGACTACGGTCTTAACAAGGAATGCCTGAAAATTTTTGTACAGTTAGCTCCGATTTTCTTCTTGTAGACTTTGCTTAAAACATTGTCGTAAAAATATTTTAGAATATAAATTTTATTAAATGTTGCTAGATTTGCGGTTTAAGGGGAAGTTGTCATCATTGCTACATTTAAGGCGAATATGTATTCAAATGGTATAGAAAATCTCCAGTTTGTAAATCATGTGTTGAATTTTAATTGTTTTTTTTAAAAGAAAGTATAATAATAAAAAAAAATTAAATGAATTAGCAAGTACCAAAAAATTATATAGATCATCAGATCTACTTTGAGATACTTTCCAGTACCTTAAACAACATTTATTCCCGTAATACAAACAGTCAGCAAATATTAATTAGGATACACTGGTTTTATACTACACTAAATAAACAAATGTTGCCTTTCAAAATCAAGTTAGATTCACAGAAATATTAAGATCATGAATTATGTTGAATACATTAATTACCTTACAATTCCAGAGGAAAGCAAAATAAAATAGGCGTATGCATCAAGATTCAAGAGCATGTCAAACAGAAAATCTACGAGGCTAACTGGAAGAGGAATATCGAAAACTGAGTATTGCTGCAGTCTTCAAAATCTATATATTGAGAAAAAAGTTATTTTTTTAATAAGTAATTGTATTTTTCAGTTTTAGCTGTAAGTGATAAATTAGAGACCGTGGACTATTCTTGCTATGTTTTCATAATCAATAAATTTGTAGTCATCGATGGTGAAGCTTTGATTGGTAACACATTCGCGGTAAAGTGTTTCTACCTGATACTTTACTTTTTTAAACTTACAAAACCAAAAACTATAGACCGACGTCTCGATTTTGGAAAATAAACGTACGTCTTGCTACCCTTCATTTCTGACTTGACTTTTGGAAACATACCTATTATATAGCTAAGAAATCTAATGGATGTACATATTGTCATTAAAGCGACTGTATCAGAAAATTTATGGTATGAACATTGTTTAGTATTTCTCAATTCAATTTGATTTTTCTATGATTAATAATTTTTCGGCGATTTGCCACTCACCCTCACGGTAAGGTACATCTCAACTTTCATTAATCAGAAAAGCCTTCTGACTGGTTTTAATATCTGAATTATTATATGTATAAACGAGTGGCCTCTTATGTTACATGACCCATTTTAATTATGCGTAAGTATTTTCCAGCAGCACTTATTACCATCTACCACGGGTGGACATAGGTTCCCGGGATTCGTGAATGAGTCTTATAACGTAAAACTCTTTAAAACCCCAAACCCCAAAGGAGTTTACACAACCTAAACAAGGTACAAAGTATAAGAACTTATTCTTTATACTGTATGCATTGTTATAAGTATCATGTAAATGCCTTTCAAAGTCTACCTTAATTATTAAAATATTTTTTCTCACAATTGTTTTATTGGTCATTTTTGTATCGTAATGTTTTTGAAAGCAATTAAAAAGTGAAAGGTTAGTAAGTATGTTTACATTAAATAGGGGAGAGTCGGATATATCGTACCACTTTTCACTTTAACTCAAATATTTCGACTATAACACGTCTTATAATAATTAATACATATGTAAAATAAAGTTTCACATTTTAGCTTCCTAAGAAGAAGAGAATAGATCCTTGCGATTATTCTAACATTGTTAAAAATGCTTTTTTTAGAGGCTTGCCAGCGGTACGATTTAGCCGACTAGTCGTTTTAATCGTACCACTAAGTCTTTAAATCGTACCATGGGTGTTTAAGTCGTACCACTGAATGAAAGACATTAAAATTCTCAATCAAATTATTTATTTTTGACTGTTAGGTAAGTAATAAAACAACATTATTTATATCTTTTAGGTAATAGAAACAAAATTTTTAACTCTTAGGTTGTATAAAGGAACTATAAACTTTCTCAGTAAAATAATATGATTATACTATGATAATAAAAATAAGACAAATAAAAAAGAGACAAATAAAAAAACAGTAAACTATACTAATAAAGTAACAGTTAACAAGAATGTCATTTGTAATATAATTATTGTGCATATTTCTTAATGGAAACAATCATGACAAATGTTTTCAAAAATTCGAAGTACACGTCTCATGTAGCCACCGTTTACAGCGAACGCATTGAATCGAATCAACTTTTGGACCCTTCTTATCGTAGTAAGAACAATTGCACTTTCGACATATATTTTCAAGATAATCATCGCTGTCATCATCATCATCTAGTTCTACAACAAGTGTCTCTCCTGAATCATCGCTACTGGTGATGGAATGAGATCGTTTCCTCTTATAACTTTTGTTTTTAGCCTTGGGTAGTACTTACTTATAGGTACTTGCGATTGGTAGTCGGGTAAATCGTGCCAGTACAATTTAACCAACTGCAAGTGGTACGATTAAACCAACTAAGGCATTTCTAAAACAAAAGCAAATATCCGGCATAAACTCAAAACTTAGACACGCAACAAAAACCCCCAATAATCTAGTATACAATTGTGGAATAATAAAAAAAACTGAATAACTATAGCTTACCTTGATTACGAGTTATCTCCTTACGAATGTACGACAATATTTATATTAATTCCTACAAAAAATGTTTTTTTTTATTACGTGCACAGTTGTTAACTCACGTCGATTTAAACTAGTGGGTGAAGAGGGATGGTGCAGGGCCACGATTTGGCGTTGTCAATGTAAAAGAAAATATTCATTAAATGGGAAATTTAGAAGTGGTACGATTTAAATGCTAGTACGATATAACCAACTCTCCCCTATATTTATTTGTTATGAAGCCTTTGCTTGTTTTGTTCTAACGAAGATTTTATTTCGCGAAATTATGAAAGCATCATTAATAACTTGTCATATCATAATGTAGCGGTGAATTAAAAAAAGGGAGCAAGTTTTCTCTGTTATGAAAAAAATAAACCTTCCATACACCGATTTCACTTGTACTATGCCTTTAATTTTAAATAATAATATATTGCCAAAAATTATTTCAAAAATATTTTTGTACCCTACCATAATTAAATATATGTAACATATTTGTAAAATAACCACAAAATATATTTATATGTATATGAGTACATTCTTTATATAAACATTATAATAAACAATTTATTACTAAAATTTACGACATGGCATTACAAAATTTTATATTCAAGCATTTCACGTTAGTATCAAATATTTTTTCACTATTTTATAGAAGTGAATTTTTTATTACAATCAACTTTCATAATAATAAAACAACATGGGAATAATAATATAATGTATTTAATATGAATTGGGTATGTATTTCATTAAACAGGCTAATTAAATACTCTATTTTTGTATCAAGGTAAATAGTACTTCATTTGTTCCAGATCAGAAATGTAGGGACTCTAATAATATTAGTTCAGAATGTTCTTTGCGAAAACCTACATGGATATAATTCTAATAGTTTCCAAGTTCGCCAATTAAAATCGTTTTATGAAGAACGATATGATCGAGACAGTAATAGAGATTACGGTGTTAGCGTCGAGATAGATAATGTTAAGAAGTTAAAATGTAAATGCGTATGTACGAATAAATGCTCCGATAGACGGGTGACTAAAGTCCAATATCAACAGCAACCTTGTTGCCCGCCCGAGTGCTGTGTTGGCGGGTCACGACCTGGAGATGAACGCTATCCTGGGTATGACAGATACCCGGGACAAAAAGGATATCCAGGTCAGGATGGTTACCCAGGTTTAGATGGATATCCGGGTCAAGATGGATACCCAGGTCAAGGCGGATATCCAGGACAAGATCGATATCCGGGTCAAGATGGATACCCGGGTCAAGATCGGTATCCGGGTCAAGATGGCTACCCGGGTCAAGATAGGTATCCGGGCCAAGATGGATATCCAGGACAAGATGGTTATCCCGGCCAAGATGGATATCCCCCGTACAGTCGACGTCCCGGATACGATAAATATCCAGGATTCGATTATGACCGCAACCAAAATCTTTACCCAAAAGATCCCTACTATACAAGACTCCCTAGATACCCCGATAACAATTATTATCCAAATCAGAACCGTTACCCTAATTATCCTGGAGATGCCTCGAGATTTCCCAAATATCCTCCAAACTATGATCCTTCAGCAAAACGAGACTCATTTACAAATTTTCCTTCCATGATTACGTTTACTCTTCCAAAACATTATTCATTCATCTTTCCTTGGATGTCTTCTGCCTTTAAGCCTAATCATATCGATACTACACCGACGTCCTCAAATAAAAATGAAGCAACTGCCATCAAAACAGAAGTACCTTCAGTAAAAATAGAGACAAGTCCAGAAGTTACTGCTGTAACGACACCAAATGTTGTTACAACAGCAACAGCTGCAACCGCCGCAACACCAGTAACCGCTGCAACACCTGCAACCGCCGCAACACCTGCAACCGCTCCAACACCTGCAACCGTCCCAACACCTGCAACCGTCCCAACACCTGCAACCGTCCCAACACCTGCAACCGTCCCAACACCTGCAACCGTCCCAACACCTGCAACCGCCCCAACACCTGCAACCGCCCCAACACCTGCAACCGTCCCAACACCTGCAACCGTCCCAACAGCCGCAACAGCTGCAACTGCTGTAACCACTGCGACAGCTGTAACAACTACAAGTACTGTACCACAAACAACTCCACAACCTCCAGCTGAAAACACAACAGAAGTATCAAATACAACTACAGAAGAAATACTCACTAAATCTACAGAACCATACAGAATTGAGGACGAGGTCGCAGATGGAGGGAAGAAGCTCGCATATTACAGACAGAATGCAATGTGTTCAGGAGAATACTGTGACAACAGATATAAAAGAGTAGGGAAATACAACTTTAATGATTTACTGCCGAGGCCGACCGTTAAGTCTTATTTGCGTGCCAAGAAACCTTATATTGAACCTGCTCGCAGAAGAAATAGTTTTGCATCTAACTTAAATATTCCGATCCCGGACAAAATGGCGTTCAAATTGATGGATAGACTGCGACGTAAATATTAATGGGGTTAACAAAGGTAAATTAATATCATAAAGAGAGAAAAATAAATTAAATTTGAAAAGATTATCTAGCTGGTTTTGAACTCGGAGTAAATAATTCGTGCTTTCACATATACATAGAACTACGATACATGTATAATTTAGAAAAAAATACATATATATCTTATAGTTTCATGTTTCCTTCATAACACCTACTGCTATGATTCAATATTTGAAGAAGTCCTCTTTATAATCTATTTAGGAATTAGGAATTTCAGCTTTCACTTCAAAACAGAAAAACAACTACATATAAAAACTTCAAAAGGATTGTCTTTGTCTTGATATATTAAACGTAGCAACACTGAACACATTTAAATCACAAAGGGCTCTTTAAATGTATTTATTATATAAATAAAATAAATTATTTTATAAATATAAACGCGGCGATCCATTAACCAGGTAACACTATTCTTTCCATGATAGAATTAAAGAAGTAACTTTAAATTTTATTCGTCCTAAATAGCAGTGTTTAAATATATGATAAACCATTTAGAAATAATATGTAGAATTACCTAAATATTTCTATATATGTCCAATTAAAGAGAAAATGCAGAATATGGTTAGTCCATTATCAAAAATCAAAATAAAATTAGTCAAGAACAATACAGGGTGACTGGTGAATTACTATCGATATTTGAGGACGTGATATTTGACGATCATATATGACAAAATAAAAATTAATATAACATAAATATTAATAAACTTCTAAGTAAAGTTAACCAAAAGTTGTGTAATTAATTACGCATCGTGTGAACACCCTACAGATTAGGTATACACGCACACTCACACATACGCGGCGGGGGCGTGGTTTTGTATCGGCACGCCGCCGCACGCGTCCACACTTGGAACACTTGGAACGTGTCAACACTTTATTTATTTATATAGAAATTTGGTCAAAAATTAAGTACCTATTTTTTTTACATAATTCGAATGAGAATCATGTACCGAGTATGCTCCTTAAATATTGATAGTAATTCACCAGTCACCCTGTATAATGGTAAGAATTAATAAATTAACCCGTATTTTTTTATACAACTGTTATAAATGGGAAAGCGAATTAAATTGTCACAATTTTAATAATACATACATATAGTATTTATATATGATTACTATTTAAAAACTTTAATGTAATAAATGTATGTAATTAAATCAATTTTAATTTTTCACTATACCGGGGTGACTGGTGAATTACTATCAATATTTAAGGAGAATACTCGGTACATGATTCTCATTCGAATTATGTGAAAAAAATAGGTACTTAATTTTTGACCAAATTTCCGTATAAATAAATAAAGTGTGGACACGTTCCAAGTGTTCCAAGTGTGGACGCGTGCGGCGTCGTGCTGATACAACACCACGCCACCGCACGCGTATGTGTGTGTGTGTGTGTGGGTGTATACCTAATCTGTAGGGTGTTCACACGATGCGTAATTAATTACATAACTTTTGGTTAACTTTACTTAGAAGTTTATTAATATTTATGTTATATTAATTTTTATTTTGTCATATATGATCGTCAAATATCACGTCCTCAAGTATCGATAGTAATTCACCAGTCACCCTGTATAACTAAGTAGTGTAACCAAATATTATATTTTTAATCCAATTGTTTTATGTTCACAATTGACAAGACTTTAAATTAATGCATTTTACTGGCAACATTTGTATATACCAAGAAGACAGAAAAGCAGTTGTGATGAGTTTGCTTCTTATTACTGGAGCGCTTAAATTCAGTATTTTTCTTTTAAATTGTTCAGTTAAACAAAATCTTTTATTATTATATAGAACAAGTTTATAAAGGTAGAAATTGTTATCCTATTCTAAGCCTTTAATTTGTTGTACTTCTAAAGTGTAAAGTAAATAATATTACTGTGAAGATATATCTTGGTTAAAATCCAAGTGTTGAACATCTAATGACTCAACTTTGAAGACTTCAAAGTCCTAACTAATTACATACTAAAAATACTACAGTATAGTATTTTAAACATGTTTCTTACATCTAGAATCAATTCAAATAAACACATAACATTAATATAAAATAATTTTATTTCTTAACATTATGGAAGTACACAGCCATTTTTGACACAACAAAAACGTATTCAAATTACAATTAAAACAATCTGTAACATTAACATACTCCGTACTTAAATTTTAATACCATAAAGTAACTAGAAATATTAATCTAAAAATAAAACTAGAATTGTGAACTAGGAATATAGATGTCTAAAACTTAATAGAATTCATAATTTAAAAATGTCAATACAATAAAAAAAAAATGTTTCTGAACGTCCGCCATTTTGAGGACGCCATCTTGTCTGTCATTTAAGCTTCAGTGTTACTATTATTATAATAAATCTATAAGCAACACTCATCGAGACTATGTCCCACAAATACTTGTTAATAAAACATTGTACTCAAAGTACCATCACAACTATAAATGCACAAACAATTCAATAGCTCTTAACCTAAACAATTTACATAATAAAGGTCAAAAAATATGTGTCAAATTCTATATGTACATGTTAAATATACTGCAAGGCACGCTATACATTTGTATTAAGGTTCAAACTTGAACAACATCAATATTATTTTCAACCTTATTACAAATTAATAAGGTTTATATTCCTTAAATGGTAATTCACTTCTGGATCGCGAGTGACGTAATCAGTTCCTGGAAGTCTGTGACGTACCACGAAGCCTTCTTCCTAACCTCCTCCCTCACTACGTTTCCACCAAAACCTAAAAAAAATATTCATTTAATAGCTTTCCACTTAATCTTTAGGATATATTATTTATTAAAAATATTCATTAAATTATTACGATCGAAAATGGCAACACTCTTTTTTATTGCCAGATAAAAATATCTTATTTTGTGTTTGATGTAAAAAAAATCCTAGTAATAAAAAAATTATCATCACCAGTTGTGAAGATAATGAATGCGTCAAAAAACTTAGAAACATCATTACATATTTTAAAAAAACTTCATAAGATAAGTAATTTTATTTCATACCAATGAACGCATCAGCTGGGGGGCTAGCCTCGGCATCAGTTGCCCCATCACCAATCATCACCAATCTCTGGTAGTGATGATGATCCTTCAGACGTCTTATCACCAGCCCCTTACCACCGGAACGAGATGTAGGCTCCGTATCATCGAAGCCAGCGTAATCACCTATAAATTTTATGTTCAAATATATTACTTAAAAAATCATGCTTACTTAGCTTTACTACGGATGAAATATCATTGTATGTATGAGTATTAAAATATACAAATGACTTGCTCATAACAACTGATTATATTCGCACAAAAAAATTCTATGAACAAACATCCACAAGTACATATTTTCGCAATGATATCTAAAAAATAAAATACACCTACAAATCTTATCGGTTTGATAAAGAGAGCTCACTAAACCGACAAACACGAGGACCACAAGATATATATATATATAAAAATAAGATAACAAAACAATTACACGCAACATTGAGAGTTGATTGCAAAATATTTATAACAAATATTATGTCTTCATTCTTAATATAGTTCGATAATTATTAATTGTTTATATTAATGGCTCGGTTTAAATGTAAACCACGCGGTTATTGCATGCAAGATGACTGACAAATATGATTTAAATTAATATCAACTTTTTTACAGTCAAATAAAGTTCGTCTTACATCAAATTAATTCTTACAAAGAAATAATTTTTTTATTTCAATCTAGATAAGGTTGATTTTTAATTTATTCAGCAAAGGTATCCCCGTGACAACAAGTTGTATAGAAATGTATTGAAATGTTATTGAGATTAGTTTAGACCTTAGCGACTTGATTAATTCTATAAGCTATGTTAACTGAGAAAATAATGATATAGTTACGTCAATTATATTAATTGCTTTATTTCTGTGTAAAGATAATATTTGGTATAATCAGGTGATTTACAAAAACAGAATTATTAAAGTAATAGATATATATTATCTACTAGACCACATATGATTATCACTATGTTGATACTTGATACCCATACATGTGTATAAATAAAGGTGAAATGTCAACCCTGGGGGGTAATACATATATAAATATATATTTTTCATAAGAGTAAACATAACTATATGTACTAAAGATATTTTTGTGACTGGTTAAGTAGATATTTGTATGGACGTACCATCTAATACCTATTCAAGTCACTAAAAATCTAAGTCATTCCTATATGGTCATGATTATGAACAATTTTGTTACAAATTTAACATAATATAAAAATATATTTTCATTAAATTCTCATATCATTTCATGTTAAGTATCTATGGAATGAGTAATTAAAAATTTCTTTACATCATCAAAATGTCACTGACATTAAATAAATATTTATATTTTTGTATTCGCTTCATTTAAATACAGACACAACTTTTGAAAAACTTCCACTTAAGTAAATATATGTATTTATAATAACAGCTACATAATTATTTAGAGAGAATGTTCATTTTTTTATATTTTCATAACTATTTAACCTTTAAATTGAGAGGTATAATTTTCTAATGAAAAAAATTTACCTTATTTAAAGATAATAAAAAAATGTATAAGTTTATGTCCTATTTAACTATATAAATATTTTAACATGACCTATAATAATATTAAATCTATGTATGAATATCTTTCCTTATTGTTCAAATTAGCAAGTATGATATAACACTAGCTCATATCAATATTTATCACTACATAATTTATGTAATTATTTATTATAGTAATTGAATTAATGATTAATTGGGGAATTAAAACAGAGAAATTGTAAATAACAAGGAAAAAGCTATAAGTAAAGGAAGTATGCTCTTGGAAATTCTACATGAGACTGGGGAAAAACAGAATGGAGACTGAGGAAAAAACTAAAAAAAAGAATGATTTTATTAATCATGTTTTTCTGTACTTGTTTACACTTATATCTCTAACATTATATAAAACATGATTTTAGTCAAAAGAACTGAATGTTCATAAAAAATTTAATAATCATGATTCATGATATGAAAAAAATCGTAAAACTCATTGTGATGATTTTTTGTTATGAAGGAATTTTATTATCTAATTCTGTTATTGTGGATTATTTGCAAAAATTATCTATATCATTGAAGAATGACCATGATGAGGGTATAAACAGTATCTTTGAAATCTTCACGGTCAATATGTTGATAATTATTAATTGTTAGAAAAACAATTTATAACACGGTTTTTATTTATCAAAATATATAAAAGGTGCTCAAATATGAACAAAACTGACAAAGCAATCATTATTTACCCAAGTCACACCAAATACAAAGTGTTTGCTATTTCTCATTCAATAATGTTAATACTATTGTGTGACAAGATTTATGAATGAAAAACTAGGATCTATATAACTAGTTTTTGCCCGCGACTTCGTGCGCATAAATTTAGGAATTAGTAATTTATATGTATAGCTGACCGGGCAATCTCTATTACGCTCTAGAGGCCGTAAAAAACCTGATATTGGAGTTTATTAAGTTTTTTTTTCAATTCAATCCTATGTTTTGCCAACTTTCAACAACATCCCTACAGCCGAGTTAAAAATAGTGTAACTAACAAAACTTTCTATTATAATGTGATGATGACAACTCGGACTCAGCATATAGCATACATATAAACCTTTAGAACAGTTACTTAAAATCCAATTTAAATGGTTCTAACCATTCTAATGTAAGAAAAGTTAAATTTTTATGACCAAGAATGATTTTCATATTGAAATTTCCACTTTGTACTGTTTCAACATCAAATATGATTGAAAATATATGTGGGTACCATTTTAATATATTATTGTACACGTCAAAATATCGTCCTAAGTGTTAAAGTGACCTAAAGCACTCCACGATAACAGCGACCCCGTTGTTTGGAGGCGTGTTCCCTTATCGGTCGGCTTTGTATATGCAATTTATTGTTTTCTTACTTATATTTCATCACCATTCCCCTTTCGGAAATACCACTTCTATTTACGCGAATTGTTTGTATTATTTTGTATATTTTGCAACATTTTCTTATATCAGATATAGATACTATAGTGGACAAAATTTAGACCTGACATATATTGTACGAAAAACTGTATATTATTTTAAACCTTGTAAGTTATATATAGGCAAAAAAATATGGGGAAAATACGTAGCGGTTATCAAAAACCGCGGCAATTATAAAGTAAATATTATTTTATGACATCTATATGTTAGATAATTAATTATCATTCAATCATATCTTATACATTTATAGTAACGTTACTAAGAGCTGATTGTACTCACCATTGAAATAGAATTTGAGTCTATTAGCGTATACATTCGCTTTGGGAATTTCCAAAATCTCAGCAACTGGTTCAATTAGACATCTGAAGCCACCTGACACTAAATACACAGCGACGCCTCTCTCGTGTAATGTCTTCACTAATTCACTGAAAATAATTATTAACATATCAAAAATATACTCAAAAACAAATAATATTTACAATACGATCTTATTCCGACTTAGCATTTCTTAAATAAAAAGATTTGAAATAAATAAAGCGTTCGTTACCATAATGATTATACATTCGTGATTCGACCGTAGCGGGTCATCAAAATGGAAGACTAACCGACGTATACCGGATTTTACAAGCTGTTTACATACACTCTGTACGTTATTTGGTTATTCATATATGAAACTTATCACTATTTTATTATTAGCTCTTTAAATTATAAAGAAATATATTAAGTGTACCAAGTATGTTTCCGTCAATTTTTATTTTCGACAATCGTAGGTATATTAGTAGAAAAATGATCAATACTCACGAAATTCCAAGCGTGAGATGTATAGGATGTGTTTCAATAAATTCTTTAATTTGACTAGCACTGGGTCTTATAATATCAAGTCTCTTCTTAAGGGCCTCTTGGAATGTCATGTTGCCGCCCATAGCTTCCGCGGTTCTGAAATCAAATATTATGTCAATTGAAGAATTTTGGCGCGCTTTTAAAAGTAATAAAAATATATATATTAATTGTATGCGATAATAATAAAATGCATTCGAATATATACCGTTAAATTACCTATATTCTAATGTTTTTTATCAAGAACATATTTCCACCCCGTGATAAATGATTAAAAAATTGTATTAACATAAGGTAGGTCAGTTACCTACTCCATATTGAAATCGTAAGAACAATTTCATCATGACAATAGATATTTTATTGTACAAGTATTTTATTAATTCAAGAACATTCTTTATAAATATTCATAATTCATTCAACGTAGAAAAAAATAACAATATAATGTTGCTAAGTGATAAATACGAAAATAGATTTTCATGGATTTAATAGATTACGAATTATTCTAAGATTAGAAAACACGTTGTTTTTATCTAAAATATTTATATCATGTTTATTAAATCGTTATGCGTAATTTATTTTATGAAAGTAGTGTGTTAATGAATTGTTTTTGATGTGAATACAGGTTGAATGTTAATTTGTTCAATAATAACTAGTTGTGGACAAGAAATGACCAGTTTCATAGCTTGTTACTGCCAAGGCAACGAACGACATTTTATTTAGAAATACGAAAATATTCTCCTAATTAATAGAGAAACCATAAATGTATATTAAAAAAAGTAGTGAATAAATATTCATATAGGATTATTTTAGGTATAATCTATACAAAAAATAATGCTTAAAGGTAATACTTACATACATTTTTTTAAGAAGTTTTATAATAATTTGCAAAAAACAAAAAATTAAGACGCATATAAAACATGTTTGTTCTCTAGAAATGAAATAAACATATTTGTTGTTTATAATATATATTTAGTCGGAAATATTTTTAAAAAACTAATATCATAATAATAAAATCTGCGAAACTTTTTAGAATTATATTTAGGAGAAATCGACTAGAAAGTTAATGTTTATTTATATTAGAAATATTTCTAATGAAAATAAATTTGAATTAAACCGAACTAACAGATATTTTCTTCGCATATTATAAAAAGAACACCATATATAATGTGTAAAGTGTTTCATAGTACTCACAGTCTTTTAACCTCATCTCCTTTGCCGCAGAAGTTAGCCAATTCGTCGATGCCTTCATCCCTTATAACTGTGGAGTCAACATCGAAACACACGCAGTCAGCTGTACGGAAGATTTCTTGGACCGTTTGCTTCTGAGACATCACGCTGATTGAAACGAGCGAAAGCGTCTTCAATGTCGTCAAATGGAGATTGTTTTTTAAACTGTCGACATACAAACTTTTTTGAAAACTCAACCCTATGTCTTAAACCTTTGCCTTATTTTTTTAAACTACTTTTTTTACGAAACCCACTATTTAGGCATGCACATTCGATTTTTGTGACTGGTAAACACAATACATGATGCATATTTATACTTGTTTACATTATCCTCACAAATAACCCTCGTCACAAATGACTATTTATATTATGCATACAATAAAACATGATTACATTGAAACGTCATTATGGAACCATGAACCAATTACGACACGACCGTTAAGGAAACTTATATACTCGTATATTAGTTATAATAATTATTACATTAAGTAGAAAATGTTATTATTACTACCCAATATATAGCATGCTGTATAATACTTCGACTATACCTGTATAAAGCCATCGTTGTCTTCAAATAAAGAGAGTATAAAGAAAACAAGAACTCGTTATATTTAAAAAAGGTTTGTGGAATTTTTTCGAATTTAAAAAAGGAACATTAAATGAAACCCACTTGACCGGGAACTGTCACGAACACGCCTCCGTCTTGTGCGATATCAATAATACAGTGCACCCGGTCCATGTTTATCGCCTTATATTCACAAGCTTCCCCGAGATAACGCGCGATACGAGCTACAACACTCAGATCTGAGAGCTACGTACTATGAGTGACGTCATTCGACATCTTCATTTAAAGACATATGGCTAGACAGTAGAGGAATTAGAAGTAGGGGCGAGCAACCAGCAGCTGTCTCGCTCGCTCGCGATAGAAGCGTATGGAATGTTTGTGGTAACAGTTGTTTTGCGAATTGCGTCGAGTGCAAGAACTTTTATCTGTTGTTTCCAGACGTAAATTGATAATGTTGTTTTTTTTTTTTTTGACAAATAACAAATCAAGAGCCACAACGTTAATCCATAGAAATAATATTGATATAGTAAACAAGTATAGTGTAATGGGTATTTGAAAATAGTAAACATAAGTGTTTACTATTGATGATAGAACTGTTGTTATATGAAATAAACTTCAAAGAATCTTTCATAGGATATATTAGAAGTGATTCAAAAAATATTTTAAAAAATAACAAAGTTTTTTTTTTTAATATACACAACCAACCAGTACTAAAAAATTTATTAACTATGAAAATTTGTTTATTACCTTATTATTAAGAATATACATATATATATATATATTGTAATAAATTTCTAAATCAGGCTATCATGAATTTGTGAATCACTTATGATCTACCATTCATATGGTGCCTTATCAAAGTAAGGTTATCATTTTATCATGTGACAGAAATGTGCCATGTTGATGACAAAACATAAATTAACATATTTTTTTAACAATAAAACATAATTAGTAAACACATTGTATGGAAATAATAATTATTAAATATATTATGTGTTTGTTAATTATTTCTCGTTAATCATTAAGTTTAATAATTTTTTCCATTGTTTACTGACTAATAATATTTTTACTTGTTTTAATTGATTTTAAGTTACATTAAATTTTTAATAATATTTAATAGTTTTTTCATTTAAAGGCTGTGTTGAAATTTAAAAGTATTTTTTCAACATAAATAAAATTATTATGTAATAATGTTCTAATCGGTGAGATAATTTATATTGCTTCCATATAATCAATTTGTCTGGAGATCGAAAGAAGTATTAAAAATCAGTTTGGGAAGGCAGAATATTTAATTTAAACACCATAATACATTTACATGGAAATAACTTTTAAATAACAATTCAGATATTAACTCACAATCAATTATTACTTATAATAGAAACAAATGAATGAGGAATTGTTAGTTTAATTTTAATAATGATATTTTAAATACAAAGTAAAGAACTTTCTTATGAATTTGATCACGGTCAAACTGTTCTCAATACCAACAATTATTTTTATGAATATTCATTCATTAAATTGTTTACACTGAGATATCGACAAGGTCAGATTAATCAAACTTTATTAGAACACAAATGAAACAGGTCCATTATAGTCAGCATGACTTATTATTTTATAACTTTTTTTTTATTTAAAATTATAACAATAAAATAATACTCACATGTGGTTATTTTTATAAGAATCGGTAAACTTAAACCGATTCTTCACTGTTTTAATTAACTTATACTTCTTCGTATTTCAATAGTTATCGTTATCATAGGTTAATTTTACAAATATAATACATATTTTTTATATTACTTCCGACCAGCTGATCACAGTTTCAAGGTATAGATACCTATTTAATTATTTACATTATACAACTTTATCACTTACTTTTGACATTAGGTTTATGGTTCAGTAACGTATTAATAACTATATTTATTATACCTTACAGTTTCATACCTATTAATGAAGTTGTTTGATATGAATATATTTAATAGTTATTTTAAGGGTGCAATATTTTAATAATTTAAAATGTTATTATTTCAAAAACTAAAAAGTGGAATTCCTATAATGTTTTAGAACGTTATATGGAATATTTAACATTCTACCGCAAGTCATATATGGCGGGAAAATAAAATTTTAAATCCTTTTCGATTTCAAGTCTTCTTGATCGAAATACATTACTTTTTATATCATTCACAACATACCCCTAAATATGAATGTGATTCAATCCGATAAGCGTCCCTTTAAATCGTTTACTAAAACTAAAAATGAATTGGTACGCAAGGATGCCGCATTGGGTAGGCTTTTCATCAATTTTATTATTATTTCTCGATGTGTTAATGTAACTTATAAGGCACATATAATAATTGAATTCAAATTGTAAAGGTATACGCGGCTCACTGTTTCTACCTGTTAACCCTCATAAAGCCGTGAATAATATTCGTAAATTCAAGTCTACAGCACCTCGGTATAAATTTGATCAAAATATTTCTACATCTAAAAGACCCATGGGCCCTCCATCAGGACCTGCCCCGAGTATCAAACGAAAGTAAGTATTAGGCATTACATAATGTATAATCAAAGAGAAATAGTGTTTTAAATTTTAAGTTACGTATATTTTGAAATTTAACGTTTTAAAAGTGACATATTACTACTATAAGCTATTGTTTTCATAGAGTAACTTACACATCAAGTTCAGCGAAGCCGGACTCCACTTCACGAAGTCAGACACGCGTTCTTGCTAGTGATTCAGCATCAGATTTTTGTACACCAAGAAACAAACCTTCAGCGTTAAGATATATTAGTAGTAGTAGTAAAGGTAATATAGATTATAATTAAATTATTTATTAGAAGAAATATAGATAAATTAAATAGAACTATTGCATAAATGTACCTGAATACTAATACCGCTGCTAAATAAGTTCAATTTTTGATAAATGACCTTTAGTGTCAACATTTAACAGCCATATTGTGAAGGGTACTTTCCCAGTAAAGTAATTTACCTAATGCTTGTTAGACAGAATAAATTAATACATGTTTTCTCACAACTCAGATTAAGATAAAAAAAGCACATACCCAAAGATAGAGTAACAAATCTTATGTAACATCAATACTTATTTAATACATTAATTATCATCAATTAAACGGTCAAATGTTATCACAATGATTTCTGCAACATGTTTCATATTCATAATAATTTAGGTAATAGTGGCATGAGAACAGCTAAATCTACCAGCACATCAGTTGTAGAGGCTAGTGTTATACTTGGTAAGTATATAAACCATATATTAGTAAGAATAATCCAATATAAATTATATTATAATTTTAATATTTATATTTTTGTATGATAATACATTCCAGCTATATCTGAAGGTCGTGGGATGGCTCGAGGTGAAATTGGTATGGCAGCTGTTGATTTGAGACGACCCAATCTGATATTATGCCAGTTCAGTGATACGCTGCTATACACACATACACTCACCAAGATTAACTACTTCAATCCCATTGAAGTAATGTATAATATTATATAGTATTTGATCCTTAAATTTAATTTCCATGTATATAAGTTTTGCTCAATAGAAATAAATATATAGAAAAATTTAATTTAATATTTACTTCAGTATTAATTTTAATTTGTTTTATTTATGTATAAAAATTAGAAAAAATTGCAGTATTATAAATGAAATTTGATTCACATAGAATTAATCTCTTAAAAGATATCTTTGCTAGAAAAAAATCATTTAGGATACTAGATAAGAAAGAGTGGTGTAGGTACAATAATAAAAAGAGATTTATAAATAGCCATACAAATAAATTATAATATGTATTAGAAAATTTTTATATTTACATACTAAACTTGATCATTAATTTTAATCTACCCTACATTTGTTTCTATTTCAGATAATAGTACCTCATACATTCTGCGAAGGTGCCCAAACAAATCAGCTGTACCAGTTGATAAAGGACCAATTCCCTTTAGTTAATGTAACAGCTGTTCAGAGAAGACATTTCAACGACGCAGCCGGGAGGCAGAACATACACACGCTCTGCGCCCCACAGTATAGCGCTGTATATCTCCTTGTTATACATAAGTAAGAAATTTAATACTATACATAATGATGTATTATGCTATAACCTCATAGTTTTTATATCCTTTAGATTTTATGCTCTAACTGCCGCTGCGGCTGTTCTGAAGTACGTCGAATATATACAGTGTATTGTATTCGCTAGAGAATCTCTGAAGATTGAGTATCACTCGTCTGAAAACACAATGATTATTGGTACATCATTTATAATACATTTTCCTATATAATAATATATTTTGTTACAAGTAGCGCCCTCTGTGCAGTACTAATTATAATATATTATAATCCTTGGAATTATTTCTATGACTAACTAGCTTTCCGCCCGCAGCTTCGCCCGCGTTGAGTTCGGTTATGTCGCGTTTCCAAGAGAACCTTTCAAAAGTCTGGAATAAAAACTATCCTATGTTCTTTCCCAAGGTCAACTCCATATGTGTACCAAATTTCATTAAAATCAGTTCAGTGGTTTAGGTGTGAAAGCGTAACAGACAGGCACACTTTCGCGTCTATAATATTAGTAGGGATTATAATACTGAACCATAGTCATTTGTAATGGCAACATTTAAGTATCAACTTTGTATTTGAATATATAAATATTTCAGAGCTCTTATGAGATATAACAGGAAGTAATTCTGAATATTGAATCAAGTCTGAAACTGTTTCTCAAACATTTTGTATGTAATAATTGTTTTTATCAGATGTAGGTACAGCCACTCAGTTGGAGTTGGTTCAACCTTTGGTGGCATCAGCTGGGCCAACTTGTTGTTTACTAGGAGTTCTTGGACCAACCTACACTATAGGTGGTATTAGGGCTCTTAGAGCGGCTATACTTCAACCTTCATGCGATAAAAACTTCATTGAATGCAGACTGGATTCAGTACAGGAATTGATAGAAAACGATACAGGATTAATGGTGGATTTACAGGTATAAAATATATTAAAGAAGTTTTCTAAATAATATATGTGAATATATATAATTTTTTTTCCCAAGGATGTTATAAAAAAATTATCGGAAATCGATAAAATTTTATTCCTATGCATCGAAACTGCAAATGAAAATATAGAAAAACATGGAGAGGCTCAGTTGAATCAGGTGCTACTACTCAAAACAAGTATGGAACTGGTGCCGAGACTAGTTGAAGCTTTGCAACATGCTAACAGTACAGGATTGAGGAACATAAAGACGGTATAGACATAAAAATTTTAAAAGATATTAAACATGTAATAATATTTAAAAAAAATTATAAGTAAGTTTTCGTAGTCTTCACCTATATTGTTACTTTTAACGATATATTAACATACATGCAAACAATCACATATTCTTAAAGCAATTTTAATAAAATGAATTTTAATTCTTTAAAAGGCCTTTGAAAACCCACACTACGAAGAAATATCTAATAGAATTAAGACCGTCATACAAGAGGATGCGCATTTAGAAAAGGGAGCTATGGGAAGTATGCAACGATGCTTTGCGGTGAAACCAGAAATCAATGGCCTCTTGGACGTAGCTAGGAGAACGTATTCAGAGCTCATTGAGGACATACAAAAAATAGTCGAACAACTCAGTGAAACATATGATCTTCCTTTGAGACTTAACCAGAATGTAATGAAAGGTTTCCATATAGTGTTGCCAGTCGCACCTAAAAATAGAAGACAATTTAACGTTGAAGAATTACCATCGATATTCATACAGGTATTATTCAGTGTTGCCATAATAAAAATAATAAGAAAAGACTGAATGTTGCCATATAATTGATAATAATAATCTTAATTATATTATTGTGTTTGCATAACTTAATTTGTATTATGATATAACAGGTTGTGTTTAATGGAGCGAGTGTTACAATGACTACAGAAGAAATAGTTGTTCTCGACCAACAAGCGAAGGAGTCGCTTAATGAAATACAAAAAATGAGCAACATGTATATAACTATAAACATCTTTAATAACTTCATATATAGTAATATTCAAATTTTTATTAATGAGTCGTAGTGGCCTCACATGTACGAGGGTGCGGGTTCGAAACCTGGCTAGTACCCATTTGATTTTTCCAAGCCATTAGTACTTTATAAAAACATTTAAACCCATCTGACAAACGGTGAAGGAAAACATCGTTAGGAAACCTGGACTTATAATTTCAAATAATAAGTTTGAAATCACCAACCCGCCTTGAACGAGTGTGGTGATTAATGCTCTAACCTTCTCCATGTGAGAAATGCACCAATAGGTTGATAATGAATTATATTACAGTGTAATATGGACGCTATTGAAAGAACTTCGTCCATTTATGTCCAGTTTGTATAACTTGTGTGAAAATGTCGCTGAATTGGACATATTACTATCATTGGCTCAGGTAACATTTCTATAAATAAATATTATATGTTTAATATAAAGTTAAAACTATTAAACTTCCAGGCAAGCACAGTGGGTTCATATATAAGGCCTAATTTCGATAATTATCTTGATATAAGAAACAGCGTTCATCCACTTCTTGATTATAACAGTCAAGTGTTGCCAGTTCCAAACGATATTGTGAGTAAAGACGGGAAAAAATATAATTGATTTATATACATATAATAAATTCTATTGTATATATTTTTTCCTTAGTTTGCAAGTCCCGAGTACAACTTCACAATAATAACAGGACCGAATATGGGAGGAAAAAGTATTTATATAAAACAAATTGCTATTATACATGTAATGGCTCAAGTAAGGATGGTTTTTATTGTTATTTTTTACCAGTGGCGGCTGGTGGGTAATAGAACCGGTGGTGCACTTTACTAAAATATTAAAATTAGAAAATGCATCAAAACAATATAACGAGATGTCAATCGCGGCTCAATCCGTCATACATCGGTTGCTCTCGGTAATCTTCGGTCGCTCGTGCGTCGCTCGAGAACCGACTCATTACTCGGTACATTTCTATGAACTATGTTTTGTTTCACGCGTCAGGCGTATTAGTTCGTATCTCATACAAGATGTATTAGCAGTCCTCGTGCACTCGACGAAGCGCACGATATGAGTTTAGTAAAGCGCTCAAACTTTTTGACCATAATTAGGAAATTGAATTTTTTATACGTTTTTATATGTTTAAAAAATTAATTATAAAATGGTAATTTAAAAATAAGGATGAAGTAATATTTTGTAATTTTTAAATCTTTGGAATTGGTGGTTTATCGCACGAGTGCACTTAAGGTACAGCCGCCACTGTTTTTTACTTCATTCACAAGAATTTAATATAAATAGTGGATATTATTAATGAAGACTTATGATTGTTAAGAAAATCAGCTAACCGGAAATACATTTGTATTATTTGCAGTCTACACATATTGAATTCGTAGTAGAACCCACCACAGAATAATAAATGTTTAATTTTTATTTATGCTATGGTTTTTTTCACACTGGAATTGTGAAATTGTTTGCTAATGTGAAAGTTTATTCAACTTTAAAAATTATACAGGGTGATTGGTGAATTACTATCAATATTTAAGGAGCATACTCGGTACATGATTCTCATTCGAATTATGTAAAAAAATAGGTACTTAATTTTTGACCAAATTTCCGTATAAATAAATAAAGTGTTGACACGTTCCAAGTGTTCCAAGTGTGGACGCGTGCGGCGGCGTGCTGATACAACAACACGCCGCCGCGCGCGAGTGTGTGTGTGTGTGAGTATACCTAATCTGTAGGGTGTTCATACGATGCGTAATTAATTACACAACTTTTGGTTAACTTTACTTAGAAGTTTATTAATATTTATGTTATATTAATTTTTATTTTGTCATATATGATCGTCAAATATCACGTCCTCCAATATCGATAGTAATTCACCAGTCACCCTGTATATGTCCAGTGTGAATGAAACCATAGCTAAAAAAAAAATATTTTTTCGTACATTTTAAAACTGTCATAGAGACTATAATTTTACCAAAAAGTATTGTAAACAGAATATATATTATTACATTGGCTGTATGTTTATTTACTATATTTATAATAATACTATGTACTTTTCCAGTTAGGTTGTTTTGTACCAGCTACTAACGCTGTGGTCAGACTATGCGACCGTATATTCTCAAGAATAGGTTTCAACAATAGTATTGAATTCAATGCTTCTAGTTTTGTTATTGAGGTTATTATCTGTTGGTATTTTATTAGGAGGTAGAGTCAAATGATTTAATATAGCAATCACATTACAGATGAAGGAAAGTCAACATATATTAAAAGGGCTTACATCTTCGAGTTTGGTTATAATCGACGAACTTTGCCGGTAAGAAAATTTTGACCCTTAGTAGTAGGTTGCGAATTACAAAAAACTACGTCCAAGCAGTTTTTAGGTTTTTCACTCATCAATAATAATTGTACTGACATATAAAGTGTTTACGAGCTTTATTATGTTTGATGATGCTATTTCTTTTTTAGGATATAACACTATATCTTTAAAAACATAGAAAACTATGCTAATAAATACGTTAAATTTCAGTGGAACAAATGTTGAAGAAGGGACCAGTATAGCGTGGTCTATTTGTGAGGAACTCCTTATGAGTGAGGCATTCACATTTTTAACAACCCATTTCATGTATCTAACGAAACTTGAAGATTTATACTACAATGTTATAAAGTATTTATTGAATACATTTTTGATTCGTCAATTATAATTAAAACCTTAAATTATATATTTTATAATTTCAGTGTCCACACAGCTGTGAAAGAGGAATCCCAAGGTTCAGATGTATTGGAAAAAAGATTGATATATCAACATAAAATTGAACCTGGAATTACACAGATTAAACATTACGGTATAGCATTAGCTGCTAAGACAAATCTACCAGAAGATGTTGTCAATTTGGCTAAAGAACTTGCTGAACTAATAGAGAGTAACACAAAGGTTTTATTAACTTATAAACATATTTATCATTAAAAAAATCTTAACCAAGGAGTCTATAATATTCTACACAATTTTTTCAGCCAATGTCAGGTACTGTCCAAAAAGAAACAGATTTAAAACTATTATATGATTTGAACGCAAAAATTCAGATGGAATCTAGAAAGAATTATAATAGTGAAGAATCTATAAGAAATATATTAAGACAGTTTAAGAATAAATATCCTCACATAGTAGAGGGATTAAAGTTAGATAGAAATTCTGCAAACAGTCATAATATTTCTTCCAACGAGAGTTCTAAAGTACAAGAATTTGAAACAGAAAAAAACACAACTTCCCCCCAAAACCAAACGTCAACGTCAGTGTATAGTAACTCAGAAAAAGAATGCATAGATATAAACACGAATCTTAGCACGGATGAAGGCAATATTTTAAACAACCAACAAATAAACAAGAATATAATTGCTACTGTAAAATCATCTACACAACTTCTAAACACATTTGATGATAGTACGAATTATTTACAAACTAGAAATTATACTCAACATTCAAATAGTAACATAACCGGTAGTATTGATTCAAATGAACAAAGCCACAAAATTATAGTTAAAGCAGACATCCATTATAATAATACATCAAAAACTACATTTCCTTCTCAACTTGATAATATGAATGCATCATTTGATGGAAATTCTTCGTCAGATTCAGATATAGCTGAAGCTTCGACTCAAATTCTCGAAGAGAATTCGGAATCTGATACAAGAGAAAACAATATGTCAGTTGATGAAGAATTAATGAGGGAAACTTTAGACGAAATTAAAAAAGATTTGAATGTATCCGTTGATTCTATAAGCGATATTATTCTCACTCCGCCGATAAATTTTAGGGATTTTTAACTAGCACGTCATTACTTCAATAGGACTAAAATAAATATTTTCTAAAATAACCAGTCACTCATTGATCGTTAAATTTTGCTCAATAAATTGTTATAATATCAAATTTCGTATTAAAAAAATTAGACAACTATATGGTCATTTTATTTCAAAAGATAACTTTCATAATATATAAGACTTTCTATACATAGTATTGGATAAAATAATAATAGTATTAGATGAAATAAAGACTACTGTTTCTTATGGAAACTATAGCAAACCAAGCATTGTACATTGCTAAACAGACATATGAAACTACACATTTCATCAAAATTGTTCAAACATCTCGGGTCTTAATTATATGGCCTACAATACTTCCACTTCGACCACTTACTTTTAAACTTATTCTTTTATAATCTGTGATAGATTTAATAATTTCATATACTCTGTGCATTATGCGGGGCAAAATACGAGTGACAACACTTTGTAATGCAAATGGCCGCTAATAGAAATATTGCGGTTTATGGTTAACAAAATGTTTAGTTCCTTTGCTTCTTACCAGTTGTTACCTGAATAAAGTTAATAAAAATACTATTAGGAGTAATCGAAAGTGAGTTATCTATGATTTAGTGTTGTGTTTTGCCGGTACCAAATTGAAGTTCGTCGGCGTTGAAGTTTATGTTAATCCACGTGTTGTTTTTCTAGGTAACCGGCGCAGCGATGTCGCTGCCGCCATATCTGTTGGGGCCCAACCCCTGGGCTACCATGATGGCGCAGCAGCAGCTAGCGGCAGCTCAACAAGCAGCGCTTCAAGCGCATGCTGCCGCTGCCGCTGCTGCTCCGCCTGTGCCGCCGACCCAGCCACCTAAACCTCATCATATACCAGAGGAAAAGATCAAAGAGAAAGGTTAATTAACATATAATAACCCTAATTAAATAACACTCATCTTAAGCTTAAAGCTATGTTGTGTTTGGAGACTACATACTGAGAGTTGTTCTCAGCAATGAAGTTTTCCTGTTTATAGCATGTCTAATACTATTTTTTTTATATATGTATATACTAAAGTAACTAAATTCTATAATACTCCTTAATTACAACTCATATAAATTAAAATATGAAATATATTTATATATAAATATACAGTGTAAACTATTTATAACGAAACTCAAGGGATGGAGCATTTTTATCGAGAAAGTTATTGTTGTTTTGTTATATGGAGTGAACAAAAAAACAACTAAATTAACATTTTTTTAAATAGGTATGCCTTAGATAGTAAAAGCTTTTAAATTATGGTGTTCACATATAGGCTGATAACTTTATCCAACGTCTTTTGCTATGGGGAAATTGTTTTGTATTATTTGATGTATTCTAGTCACATCTAGTGAATCGTCTTGATTAAACAACAAATTTTTTCTACTATACATATATACTGCACATGTACAAGGCAATTAAGGATAACAAAAGCTAGACTGACCTCAGGTGTTTTAACCCTTTAATTTTCATAAGGAGTGGACAGTGGAAAAACAAAATTGATGTTGGTTAAGGATATATAATAGAAGTAAAAACATATGTATATATAAATATATATATTTCAAACCTTTCATTGTCAAACCGTCTATTGATAATCAAAAAACTTGTCTGAATGAAAAATACGACCAGTAAAAATTATGGTGATGAAAACATTGCCTCTAACTTATAAAGGGTTAAAGCTTCAAAGTCTTTAATTACTTGATAACATAACAAACAATAATACCTTATTGCCATAAACAGTATTTCAATATAAGGGTTTTATCGTAAACCAACCGAGTAGGGCTCACTTCATTGTTACAGGGAGTTAATTGTTGTAAAGGAATATGTTATAAATAGTTTACACTGTATAATGGGAATAATAATTACATAATATGTTGCAAGAAAAGAATGAAAAGTTTGGTTTTGTAAACTTTGTTTTAGTGTGTTGCATATATAATACTTAATACTTAAATGAATTGTGTAGTTACAAAAGAATGATTATTTACACAATTATTGTTGATAACTATTATTGTACTAGTTTTTGCCCGCGACTTCGTCCGCGTTAAGTTCATCATCTTCTATCTTCTTCTTCTTCTTCTATATATATAAAAATGGATTGCTGTTCCTTAGTCTCGCTAAAACTCGAGAACGACTGAACGAATTTATCTTATCTTAGTTTTGAAATGTTCGTGGAGGTTCAGGGAAGGTATAAAAGCTGAAAAAAAATTGATTCACTACTGGGAAAACCATAAAAACAGCCCTTTTCTATTTCGCATACAAACGTTTTTTTTGACATTAGATTTGACAACTAATATGTCAATCATTCTGTCGCACTTCAAAACACGCAGATTTATCGCTTACAGGTAAAGTCCAAAAATATAAATAAAAAAACGTAATAGATATTTCTTGATTATAGGGCGATACGAAGTTCGCCAGGTCTTCTAGTTAGTAATATATGTATAGCTGACCGGGCGAACTCTATTCTGTCCTAGAGGCCATAAATAATCAGGTTTTTCCTGTTTCAATCGAACAGAATGATTGACATATTAGTTGTCAAATCTAATGTCAAAGAAAACATTTGTATAGGAAATAGAAAAGGGCTGTTTTTAGGGTTTTCCCGAAAATTAATCAATTTTTCTCACCTTTTATACCTTCCCTGAACCTCCACAAACATTTCAAAACTATGACAAAATAAATCCGTTCAGCCGTTCTCAAGTTTTAGCGAGACTAAGGAACAGCAATCCATTTTTATATATATAGAAGATTGTTGATAATAATAGTTTTTAAAGTGTAAATAAATTTATTTACACTTTAAAAACTATTATTAAAGATATATTTGTGCTTATCTAATAAAAATTGTTTTAAAAACTTTTAATTTGGCTAGTCATGAATTCTATATTCCTATATTAACTATCACCCCAATGGCCTATTTTCCAAAATGTTCAGTCTAATTTTTGAGTTAATTTCTGTGGGGTTACATTAAACATGCAATTGATATAGTTTTTCATTTAAATATAAAATGAAAAGTGCTGTGGTTGCAAACACTAACCAATATAACATTTTTAACTCATTTTTAAAAATTTATCTGATGATTAAAATGTCTAAATTTGTTTTTACCAGCTCAAAAATGGCTTCAACTGCAGTCAAAGCGTTTCTCGGACAAGAGGAAATTCGGTTTCGTGGATGCCCAAAAGGAAGATATGCCTCCGGAGCACATTCGAAAGATAATCCGAGATCATGGCGATATGACCAGCCGCAAGTATCGTCATGACAAACGTGTGTATTTGGGAGCCCTTAAATATATGCCACACGCTGTAATGAAGCTGCTAGAAAACATGCCAATGCCCTGGGAACAGATCAGAGATGTAAATGTTCTGTACCACATAACCGGTGCTATAACATTTGTCAATGAGATTCCCTGGGTCATAGAGCCAGTGTATATCGCGCAATGGGGTACTATGTGGATAATGATGCGTAGAGAGAAACGTGATCGTCGGCATTTCAAGCGTATGAGATTCCCGCCATTTGATGATGAAGAACCACCATTGGATTATGCTGATAACATTTTAGATGTTGAACCTCTGGAACCCATACAAATTGAATTAGATCCGGAGGAAGACGGAGCCGTAGCTTCGTGGTTTTACGACCACAAACCTTTATTGGGAACAAAACACGTGAACGGCTCGACATACAGAAAGTGGAATCTTAGCTTACCACAAATGGCTACACTGTATCGTCTTGCAAATCAGCTTCTAACTGACTTAGTAGACGATAATTACTTCTACCTCTTTGATTCCAAAAGTTTCTTTACCGCGAAAGCCTTAAACATGGCAATTCCCGGAGGTCCCAAGTTTGAACCACTTGTCAAAGACAACTCAGCGGGTGATGAAGACTGGAATGAATTCAACGACATCAACAAGATTATTATTCGTCAACCAATCAGAACCGAGTACAGAATAGCGTTCCCGTACCTTTACAACAACTTGCCGCATTTCGTCCAATTATCCTGGTATGTTATAATTTATTTGGAGTTTAATGTTTTCTTAACGACACAATCCTAATATATATTTTTTATCAGGTATCATACTCCGAATGTGGTGTATATAAAAACAGAAGATCCGGACTTGCCAGCCTTCTACTTTGATCCGCTTATCAATCCAATATCTCACCGTCATACAGTGAAGTCATTAGATCCAGTTCCAGAAGAAGAAGATTTCTTGCTACCTGAAGAAGTAGCGCCATTCCTACAGGAAACGGCTTTGTATACAGACAACACTGCTAACGGGATCGCTTTGTTGTGGGCTCCGCGACCATTTAGCATGAGATCAGGTAAGATATAAACCATCTTTTTTGTATATTACCATTAAAAATAATATATTCACGAATTAATTTTATATTAAGGTCGTTCCCGGCGAGCAATCGACGTTCCTCTAGTGAAGACATGGTACAAGGAACACTGCCCGCCAGGACAGCCCGTTAAAGTGCGTGTGTCATATCAAAAACTACTCAAGTACTACGTGCTCAATTCGCTCAAACACAGACCTCCTAAGCCACAGAAGAAAAGGTATTTTAAACATACATCTATTAATTTTGTAACAGCTACGATACTATTCTTAATTCTTTAGAACCTATATTTTAACTTAACTTTTAGTAACGCCAGGTCTTAATTATTTTCTTAGATATCTCTTCCGTTCGTTCAAATCGACGAAGTTCTTCCAAACTACGACCTTAGATTGGGTGGAGGCTGGTCTCCAAGTATGCAGACAGGGCTACAACATGCTCAATCTGCTGATACACAGAAAGAATCTTAATTACCTGCATTTAGATTATAATTTCAACTTGAAACCAGTTAAGACTCTCACAACTAAAGAGAGAAAGAAGTCTCGGTTTGGTAATGGTAAGTTAATGTACAAATTAATATTATAAATGTTAAACTATGTATATCTATTTAATTTCTTTTTCGTACTATAAAAATCTTATTATCTTATAGTTTACTACAACCTTATTGTTAAAACTATTGTTATAACGTTAAATTGTCGTCAAAACCGATCAATTTAGACGACATTATCGAATATTTCTTTGAAAACATTGTTATCCAAGAATCGTTATCCATATAGGTATTTCTAAATTAAATTCTCAATATACTATTTTGTATTTAATACAACTCCCGCAGAATAGGGCAAAATTTAATACTTTTCAATTTATTTTTTGCTTTGTTCTAAAATGTAATTTCTTTTCCAGCATTCCACTTATGCCGCGAGATCCTCCGCCTCACAAAACTGATAGTGGACTCTCATGTTCAATATCGTCTGAACAACGTGGACTCGTTCCAGCTAGCGGACGGTCTTCAATACATTTTCGCTCACGTCGGTCAACTCACTGGCATGTACAGATACAAGTACAAACTCATGAGACAGATAAGAATGTGCAAGGACTTGAAACATCTCATATACTACAGATTTAATACGGTTGGTATATTATTAGAAAATATAGAATTATATATACAGATGTTTAAACAAAGATGAAAGACTTATTAAACTTTGATAGCCATAAACAAGTCTAGAATGTTGATAACATCTATTGACAAAAGTATTGGAATTAGGCAATATTTTAATAAAATAATGTGTTAGAATTCGTCAGCAAAAAAATCATTATTTGAACCACACATAAATTACAAAGTCGACGCCATAAGTAAGATTGAACATAGACCCATAGATTTATAAATACAAGAGAATATATAGTAGACTACTAGCGCTATTGTGGCATAAAACTTAAACTTATACTTTACAATCTACTCTAAAATATTATTTGATCAACAAAAAGTATATTTAAAAGTATTGTTATTTAAGATTCCAATATTGAGTATTAAATATGTATACTTTTTAGGGTCCAGTATCTAAAGGTCCCGGCTGTGGTTTCTGGGCGCCTGGTTGGCGTGTGTGGTTGTTCTTCATGCGAGGTATCACACCGTTACTTGAGCGATGGCTTGGAAACCTACTGTCGAGACAATTCGAGGGTCGACATTCGAAAGGTGAGGGTCTTATATAACACTAATTAATCTAACTGTTAATTACTAAGAAACAATTTGGGTTTTATATAGTTGTCACTTTACATGTATGATTATTATAGAAAAACTAGAAGACCCGGCGAACTTCGTATCGCCCTATAATCAAGAAATATCTGTTACGTTTTTTTATTTATATTTTTGGAGTTTACCTATTAAAGACATAAATCTCCGTGTTTTGAAGTGCGACAGAATGATTGACATATTAGTTAGTTGTCAAATCTAATGTCAAAAAAAAACGTTTGTTTCAACAACTACTAATAAATTAAAAATTAATTTAAAAAACACACAACAAGTGACATACACACTCACAGAAGAATTATATACAGGGTGACTGGTGAATTACTATCGATATTTGAGGACGTGATATTTGACGATCATATATGACGATATAAAAATTAATATAACATAAATATTAATAAACTTCTAAGTAAAGTTAACCAAAAGTTGTGTAATTAATTATGCATCGTATGAACACCCTACAGATTACTCTACACTACACACTCACACATACGCGCGCGGCGGCGTGTTGTTGTATCAGCACGCCGCCGCACGCGTCCACACTAGGAACACTTGGAACGTGTACACACTTTATTTATTCATACGGAAATTTGGTCAAAAATTAAGTACCTATTTTTTTTTACATAATTCGAATGAGAATCATGTACCGAGTATTCTCCTTAAATATTGATAGTAATTCACCAGTCACCCTGTATATATATATACAGGGTGACTGGTGAGTTACTATCAATATTTAAGGACGTGGTAGTTGACGATCATATATGACAAAATAAAAATTAATATAACATAAATATTAATAAACTTCTAAGTAAAGTTAACCAAAAGTTATGTAATTAATTACGGATCGCGTGGATACCCTAGCTGCGTTATCGACACAAAACAGTTATGTACGTAGGTATATGTAGTTATCGCGCGGTAGTTTACCTACATCCAAACGCCGCGCGCCGCCGCGTGTTAGACCTTAGATAAACAAAAATGATCCATTTCCCTTCATACTTTAATCCTGGCTTAGGACAGGCAAAAATACCAAGATATTTCTTTCGTTTAAGCAACCAATTTATTGACTAGGTAAATGGTGTGACCTTGACACAAAAAAAATATGAACTGTTTACCTATCTTGGTATTTCCGGCGTATTTAAAAATGGAATCATACTTATTTACAACAATTGTCAATCATTAAACTACCTATTTACCTACATAACTACACTAACCTTAACAAATGTTCAAAGCGAGCTCCTTCTCGTGTGATACACAGTTCGGCACGTTTACACATATTGTCTTTCACACGATTTAATACGAATGGGTCACTTTTAATAGTTTTGAAATCACTATTGATTTTTAATTTCAACTCCTCTCTGTTTACATACTCTGTAGCATACACAAGACGTTTCCTTGGGCATGTGTTGGAACACGGAACTGTCCGAAGTCTCGTAATCTTTGATTAGCGTTTAAGATGACGCTGGCCGTAGGTACTCGACGATTGGGGAACATCTCCCGGTACAAATTGATTGCGCCCCGCAAGCTTTCATTTGCACGCGCATACGCATGAACCATGTCCAAGTATTCTGCATTTGTGTATTGAAAAGCCATATTTAATTACTAATAAGTAATAACGGGTCACACGCACACACGACAGATTATTATTAGGTATACGCGTAAGATCGATCGCTAGGCGCGCGCGCGGGAAGACGAACGTACGGACCTTACGGCGGCGCTCGCGCGACTGATAGCCGACTAATGGCCCGCTAGCCACGGGGCGGGGGTTGGGGAGTAGCGACACACTGGCGCCGGCAAGGCACGTGTCCAAACTTTATTTATTTATACGGAAATTTGGTCAAAAATTAAGTACCTATTTTTTTTACATAATTCGAATGAGAATCATGTACCGAGTATGCTCCTTAAATATTGATAGTAACTCACCAGTCACCCTGTATATATAAAGATTTCAACATTAAATATAACACTATTTGCTTATTATCCAGGTGTCGCAAAAACGGTGACGAAACAGCGTGTAGAGTCTCACTTCGACCTGGAACTGCGAGCATCTGTAATGCACGATATAGTGGACATGATGCCTGAAGGTATCAAACAGAATAAGGCCAGAACTATCCTACAACATCTCTCTGAAGCCTGGAGATGCTGGAAAGCTAATATTCCATGGAAGGTAGGTTAACTTTGAAAATGTTGTAACTGTTACATACATTATTATTTATTTAACACTTTTGTACACCACGATTACAATCACAAACAATTACAAAATATACAAACTAATAAACTAATGGTGAAACAAAAGTCGGCCTTATGGCTTATTAGCCATTTCTTCCAGACTACATTAATTATTCTAAAAAATTAAAGGGTTCATTACATTTATTTAAAAAAGGTTTTTAAATCTATAATGAATTCTTATTTGTTTTATAAAATAAACCTCAAATTGGCCCATGAAGTAGAAACATATTCCTATTGCCGCAGTATACATACATAAAATAGTATAACTTAGATGCAGTCAAACTGCCAATAAGTAGAAATTAATATGTACTTTCGTCACAGGTCCCAGGTCTTCCTACTCCCATAGAGAACATGATCCTTCGTTACGTTAAAATGAAGGCTGACTGGTGGACAAATACAGCGCATTACAACAGAGAGAGAATACGTCGCGGAGCAACTGTAGACAAAACTGTTTGTAAGAAGAACTTGGGAAGACTGACTCGACTGTACTTAAAGGCTGAGCAGGAGAGACAGCACAATTATTTAAAGGTGTGTGTTATTCGTAGAAATATTTGTATAAGAATTAGTTGGGTTTATAGTGTTAAATGGTTATATGTTCAACTCTGAATAAAGGTCAAATTCATGACAAAGTTAAAGAAAAAAATCGAGATATTCGTCAATATAATACATACATTATAAAATGTATTTAAATTTATATCAGAGAGAGAAGTTTTTAACCTAATATGATCTGTTTTCTTATAATCTAGGATGGCCCATACATATCTCCCGAGGAAGCCGTCGCTATTTATACAACAACAGTCCACTGGCTCGAGTCCCGACGTTTCGCGCCAATACCCTTCCCTCCCCTATCATACAAACACGACACCAAACTACTCATATTAGCCTTGGAGAGACTCAAAGAAGCTTACAGCGTTAAATCGAGGCTGAATCAAAGTCAAAGAGAAGAACTGGGTCTTATAGAACAGGCGTATGATAATCCACACGAGGCGTTGTCTAGGATAAAACGTCATTTGCTCACACAGAGGACTTTCAGAGAGGTGAGTTTTAAATATGTTTATTTATTATGAATTACTATTTATATTAAATAAAACTAAGATTTTAGGATATTACGCGTTACTTTACTATTTTAAAACTACATACTCCCGATGTTCGAGTTACTTTGCAGTAACCGTGATCACAGGCGGACAAGATGAAAAAATAACTATAAATCTGAGTTTTATTTATATGAATACTCATAGATATAATTTCTTATTGTTAATTCTATTTCTTTTATCTCTAGGTGGGCATAGAATTCATGGACCTCTACTCACATCTAGTGCCAGTATACGACGTGGAACCTCTAGAGAAGATTACGGACGCGTACCTCGATCAATATCTTTGGTATGAAGCTGACAAACGTCGTCTTCTACCGCCGTGGGTCAAACCCGCTGATACAGAGCCCAGCCCGCTACTCGTGTATAAATGGTGTCAAGGTTAGTTTGGAAAAGTCTTCCCTTAAACAAATTACCTATTATTTAATAATCAAAATGAGTGTTGGACGTTGCAATTTTAATACTAGATTTTATCTGAAGCATTACATCTTAATTTTAAACACTAGTTGCGAATAGTAATAATAGTATACTATTATACAGGTAAATAGAATAATATCTACGAAACGGCGTACATATTCAAATTACTTTCAATTAGTTATAAAAAATACCTATAAATAATGATAGTTATTATGAAATCTATATTATATTATGATTAATTAAGAATATGGTAGAAGAAAGAAGATATGTGATTGCCCAGAGTGTGCGTTGTGGCAAAGGAGATCAAATGGTTGTACCATCCCCTTGTTACAAACCTCACTTTGGTTGATTGCACTCACATCAATCGAAGATCACGAAATAGAGAAGATGTCCCTACTGCCAATCTTTCTAATACAGATGCTAATAAAACGTCATTTTACATAACAATATAAATATTTGTTTCACAGGTATCAACAATCTTCAAGATGTATGGGAAGTCGGCGAAGGTGAATGCAACGTTTTACTTGAATCGAGATTTGAAAAACTTTACGAGAAAATTGATCTGACGCTGCTAAATCGACTCTTGCGTTTGATAGTGGACCACAATATTGCTGATTACATGACGGCTAAAAACAACGTCGTTATTAATTACAAGGTAATAATATATAATTGCTTAAAGCTTAATTTATTATAGGTATGTAAAATGATGAATCGCGTAGGGGTCCTGAAACCAGAGAAACTCTGTGCTCTGGAGGTAACGGTTGACTGTAGGCTTTGCCGATCGCAAAGTACTGCAGCGGCCATTGTCTGAAAATACGCTGTCTGAATTACCCCTACTATTAAAACACATATTATTTAAAACGCACTGATCTAATCTAAGTTTTCTATCACAGGATATGAACCATACAAATTCCTACGGTATCATACGGGGTTTGCAATTTGCGTCCTTCATAGTTCAGTACTATGGTCTTGTATTGGATTTGTTAGTGTTGGGTCTGCAGAGGGCCAGTGAAATGGCTGGACCTCCACAACTACCGAACGACTTCTTGTCCTATCAAGAGAGGCCGGCGGAACAGGCGCATCCTATAAGACTGTATTGCAGATACATTGACAGAATACATATATTCTTCAGGTATGTATATTAAAGTTTATCTATATATGTACACATACATATATGAATAACGGAAATGAGAGTGTCTTCCTGTAATATTATTGGAGAAACTTCTTTTTATTGAATAAATGTGGATGCAAACATAATTCATTAAAAAATAAAAAGTTTTAAAACAATATTTTCGTCTGATTACTACAATTCATGTGTAAAACGACTGATTCTTATAGAAAGTTATAACTTGGGCTTCTTATATTTTAAGCAATTTAAATTATTGTTATATAAATATTTTATTCATTTAACAGATTCACAGCAGAAGAAGCTCGCGACCTCATCCAAAGGTACCTGACTGAACATCCCGACCCCAACAATGAGAATATCGTCGGCTACAACAATAAGAAGTGCTGGCCGCGTGACGCCCGGATGAGACTTATGAAACACGATGTTAACTTGTAAGTAGAGGTTTTGTGAATTTTCATTATCATCATCAGCCTATCAGAGCCCACTGCTGAGTAAAGGCTCATCTCACATGGTGAATATTTGATTATTAACCACCACACTTGCTCAAGATGGTTTGGTAATTTCAAACTTATAATTTGAAATTATAAATCTTGGTTTTCCCACGATGTTTTCCTTCACCGTTTGTCAGTGGTGTCTAAATACTCTTAGAAAGTAAATATGACTCCTAAAAATCATATTGGTACTTGCCAGGTTTCGAACCCGCGCCCTCATTCTATTTATTAAGATTTTCAAATATGATCATAAAAAGTCAAAATTCTTAGTGTAATTTTCGACGTTAAGACTTGAAATGAGATAGTAAATATATAATATCTGTATATTTTACATTATAATATATATTTTTTTGTTTATTATGTAGGGGTCGAGCGGTATTCTGGGATATTAAGAACCGACTTCCACGTTCCGTAACTACAATACAGTGGGAGAACAGCTTCGTCTCAGTCTACTCCAAGGACAACCCTAACTTGTTATTCAATATGGCTGGTTTTGAGTGCAGGATATTGCCTAAAGTAAGTTGTTAATGTCGTTTTAAAATATATTAATATCCTTATAATTCCGAGCTGCAGATAAAGTTATTTCAAAATAGTTGTCTAGGTTGTTAGGTTCTATTGGCTTGGTTCGAAAATACAGATATTTTTTTCAAATAGTCTCAGACGCTTTTTAAACGCTAGAAAATACATATGAAAGGGTTTTTAATATACTTTATAAATCCCAACCCTCCCCTTAATTCAGTATTTAAACTTTATTAATATTATAATTAATGTATGATTCTAATTTCTAAACTATTTTTCCAGTGCCGTAGTCTTCACGAAGAGTTGTCACATCGCGACGGTGTTTGGAATCTGCAAAACGAAGTTACCAAGGAACGAACAGCTCAATGCTACCTGCGAGTGGATGACGAATCACTTGCACGATTCCACAACCGTGTTAGACAGATATTGATGGCCTCGGGTTCAACGACCTTCACCAAAATTGTCAATAAATGGAACACAGCTTTAATCGGTAAGAGAAAATTGTGGAAAAAAATGCGTAATCTACCATTGCACTATTTTACTTAAAGTACAAATCTAGAGTAGTAAGGATAAAATAAAAAATGGCCTATTTATATGGAATTATGTGTGTAACTTTTGATTACAGGTCTTATGACGTATTTCCGTGAAGCCGTAGTAAACACTCAAGAGCTATTAGACCTGCTAGTAAAATGCGAGAATAAAATTCAAACTCGTATTAAGATTGGTTTGAACTCTAAAATGCCTTCGCGTTTCCCGCCTGTCGTGTTCTACACGCCCAAAGAGTTAGGCGGGCTTGGGATGTTGTCTATGGGTCACGTTCTGATTCCACAGGTAAATAAAATAATAATTATTGTTTATTAGTCTTCTCATTTCAAGTTTATATCGATATTTTATTGAATATCCATGTGACATACCCTTTGTAAAAGTGTCATAAATTTGTCCACAATACATATTAACACTTTAATTATACACAGTCGGATCTGCGGTGGTCAAAACAAACAGACGTTGGCATCACTCACTTCAGATCGGGAATGTCACATGATGAAGATCAGCTGATACCTAATCTTTATCGTTACATACAACCGTGGGAGGCTGAGTTTGTTGACTCACAGAGAGTATGGGCTGAATATGCTCTCAAGAGACAAGAGGCCAATGCTCAGAACAGGTATGTCTGAATAACGATTTTTCTAAATATACTCTGATGTCTTTTAGGCATAAAAAGCTAAGATAGCAATTTGTATTATATTATACTAGCTGCGTTCCGTGGTTTTACAAACTGATTATCAGGATGTAAAGTAGCCTATGTGTTATTCCTGGACGTCAGCTTCCTGTATACAAAAATTTATCAAAATCCTTTCAGCCGTTTGAGCGTGAAGAAGTAACAAACATACACACACACTCACAAACTTTCCCAATTATAATATTACTAGCTTTTGAAACCATTTCAAACGTGATGAATCGCGTAGGGGTCCTGAAACCAGAGAAACCCTGTGCTCTGGAGGTAACGGTTGACTGTAGGCTTTGCCGATCGCAAAGTACTGCAGCGGCCGTTGTCTGAAAATACGCTGTCTGATATAATAGTAATAATATTCTTAAATGCTTTAAAATTGGAGATATATTGAGTATATAATATTTTGTTACAGACGTCTCACACTCGAAGATTTAGAAGACTCCTGGGATAGAGGTATACCAAGAATAAATACACTCTTCCAAAAGGACAGACATACGCTCGCATATGACAAAGGATGGCGTATTCGTACCGAGTTTAAACAATATCAAGTATGGAATTCTCTTTACAAATTATTGTAATATTCAAACAATAGACTGATGATGTAAATAAATTATAACTTTTGATTTAGGTACTGAAACAAAATCCATTCTGGTGGACACATCAGCGACACGACGGTAAATTATGGAATCTGAACAACTACCGTACTGATATGATACAGGCCTTGGGTGGAGTGGAAGGTATTCTGGAACATACATTGTTTAAGGGAACCTATTTCCCTACTTGGGAAGGTTTGTTCTGGTGAGTATTGTTAAAAATTAAAGACTTAAGTAATTCATTAATATAAATTAGAGATTGTTATAGTAAATGATTGTTATATAACAGGGAGAAGGCATCCGGTTTCGAGGAGTCGATGAAATATAAAAAACTGACCAATGCTCAAAGATCTGGTTTGAACCAGATTCCAAATCGACGGTTTACTTTATGGTGGTCACCAACTATCAACAGAGCCAATGTGTATGTTGGTTTCCAGGTAAAGTAAAACAAACATATACTCAAATTAAAACCATCTTCAACAATATTTTTATGCTATAATATATCAACGACCAATGATTTGTTGTTTCAAACCATTGTAACTGAAAAAAAAAACTTATTCAAAATATTTTTCTTTTTAAATCGTTAATGTTATTTAAATATAATTCCTTCTTATTTCAGGTGCAATTAGATTTGACAGGTATATTCATGCACGGAAAAATACCAACTCTCAAGATATCTCTTATCCAGATATTCAGAGCTCACTTGTGGCAGAAAGTCCATGAGTCGATTGTTATGGACTTGTGTCAAGTAAGTTATAGTAATAACTTTTTTAGTTATAAAGCAGATTTTTATGAATATTAATTTAATTTTGAAAATTATATTATAGGTTTTTGATCAAGAATTGGATGCTCTGGAAATAGAAACAGTACAAAAGGAAACAATTCATCCTCGAAAATCATACAAAATGAACTCTTCATGTGCAGACATTTTACTCTTCTCAGCTTACAAGTGGAATGTCTCCCGACCCTCATTGCTTGCTGATACAAAGTAACTATAGTTTAGACATTATTTAAAATATAATCATCGTTCACGGTTCTTCCGCTTGAAACTTCGCAATATTGGAATGAAAAAGGAAGAATTAGATATCGTTTTTTTTTAGAAATTTTTAGTGTTTCTTTATGACAATCTTTATTAATATTACTTACAAGTCGCAATTGACTGCCCATAGGGCGGTTAAGGCCACACATTCACTCCCGGTGTTTTTTATCCTACAATCGCGTTAAACATTCAACGCAACCCGTTTGAAGTCTCGCATAAGGAATTTCACTTCAATAAACGAATCTACTTACACTAGTCATAAATAAACAGTAGAATGTTTAATAAATGACTTTATATTATTTTAAGGGATACAATGGATAATACGACAACGCAGAAATATTGGCTGGATATACAATTACGTTGGGGAGACTATGACTCGCACGATGTCGAGAGATACGCTCGAGCGAAGTTCTTGGACTACACAACGGATAACATGTCCATATATCCCTCGCCCACTGGACTACTGATTGCTATAGATTTGGCTTATAATTTGCACAGGTAATAAAAAAAAATAATTTACCCTCCATGTAATAGAAAAGTTATGATAGACTATAATTTTTAAATCCACTTTACGTTTTTATGAAGGAATAGTACATTAAATCATGCATATATATGTATATTTAGTAATTAAAAGTAATTAAAGTTTTGTATAAAAATATGATAATAAAAACAAAGTTCAACATTTTATGTATGAATGGTTATATGTCCGCAATCTTTTCGGCATTGTTGTATCAGTATTTGACAATGAAATTAGTTCTATTATGTATATTTTTAGATGGAATACAAGAAATATTTTTTTAATTCAGTTTATTAATATATTTTTTTATTACAGTGCATATGGTAATTGGTTCCCGGGATGCAAGCCGCTCATACAACAGGCGATGGCAAAAATCATGAAGGCAAATCCAGCCCTATACGTGTTGAGAGAGCGTATACGAAAGGCTTTACAGTTGTACTCATCAGAACCTACTGAGCCATACTTGTCCAGTCAGAATTATGGAGAGCTATTCTCAAATCAAATTATTTGGTATGTATTCTTTGTAAAAGAAAAAAAATATTAATAACAAAATTACTCCTAACATAGCTTGTTCAGATTCAAATAATGTATGATTGTAAAAATAATGTTTGCCAACAGGTTTGTAGACGACACGAATGTATACCGTGTAACAATCCACAAGACCTTTGAAGGAAATCTCACAACTAAACCTATTAACGGAGCAATCTTCATATTCAACCCTCGGACTGGACAACTGTTCCTCAAGATCATTCACACTAGTGTGTGGGCTGGACAGAAACGTCTTGGACAGGTAACATGAAATAAATTTAAATAGATTAAATATTAAAAGCTCATACATTATATGAATTTTGACACTATTCTTGAAGTCAGTTTCGATTTTCACATCCTAGTCCATTCCTAGAAAATTCATAAACATTTTGTGGTAAAAAAAACCTTAATTTAATCATTGTATATTTGATTGAATTATAAAACCAGACACAAATAAAAAATTGGTTGTTTGTAAAGTAGGCTTACGATCGAGATGTTTACGTGATAACGTCTTATTGGTGATATAAGTTTTTGGGAAGTAAGGAATTAATGAAGAAAACAATTTTTTCAAATTTTAAATTACATCTATCGTTTCATTCACACTTTTGATGATAAATTTCGGGTTTTTTTGTTGCAATTGTTGTAACACTTCACTTGCACTTCACATTTTGTTTCACTGTTAAACATTCAACGAAAACTTAACCGCACGAGAAAATCTCCATACGTTTGTATGCCGCTAGAGTGAGAGAAACGGAAGATCGGTCCACTCACTCGAACGCTATGCCTGCCTCCGCTCGTGAGGATTCCGCGTGACAAGTTTCACGGAATGACTGGCAGCGCTCGAGATTTGACGGGAGATCGGTCCGTCTCTCTCTCTCGTTATACCTGCGATCGCGCTCGTGTGGTTTTGGTGTGACACAAGTTTCTGAACATGTCACCCGACTAACACGAGTTTAAAGACGTTATCACGTCAAAATGACTTAAATCAAAGTGTAAACTAGAGAACACAGGTGTCTTTTTTAAAATAAGAATTCTATCAAGAAATTTTAACATACAAACAGATTTTTATTCTTGTAATGTTATGCTTATAAATATTTTCCATTATTTTATAGCTCGCAAAATGGAAAACGGCTGAAGAAGTGGCCGCCTTAATTCGTTCCTTGCCCGTTGAAGAACAACCCAAACAGATTATTGTCACAAGAAAGGGAATGTTGGATCCACTTGAGGTAAATTACTGTATAACTAATAATATTGACACAAGTTTAAATAATCTATATAGTTAGAAATGACTAAAATTTATATCTTTTTCCTATAATAGGTGCATTTGCTAGATTTCCCCAACATTGTAATCAAAGGTTCAGAACTACAGCTACCGTTCCAAGCGTGTCTTAAAGTGGAGAAGTTCGGAGATCTCATCCTCAAAGCGACTGAGCCACAGATGGTGCTGTTCAACTTGTATGATGATTGGTTAAAGACTATATCTTCTTATACCGTAAGTATCAACACTAACTTGTTTATAGAAATAAATTAAAGACTGATATAAAGACACTACATATTTTAAGTAATGATAGTTATGTAAAAATCGCAAAAAAAAATCCTTAACTTATGTTACTGTAAATTTTATTTCTAATAAATAAATTTAGTTAATAAGATACGATCCAAATTAATTAGGGTTTTTGTTGCGGCTTAAGTCTAAACTTTAAATATAACAGTTGATTAGTATATTTTAGTTCTTTTCTTTCGTCAATATTTGTAATTAGTTTGTAATTATATTTGTAATTAGTTTGTAATAAATAATTATCAATATATATTTCAGGCATTCAGCAGATTGATACTCATTCTGAGAGCGTTACACGTAAACACTGAGAGAACTAAGGTACTCTTGAAACCAGATAAAACTACACTCACTGAACCGCATCACATCTGGCCCACACTCACCGATGATGACTGGATCAAGGTTGAAGTACAACTCAAGGACCTTATATTGGCTGACTACGGCAAAAAGAATAAGTAAGTAATAATCTATATGAGGATTTTCTAATTATTTAGTCTCCAACAGTATTTCTGTGCATTAGTTAGATTTGGTCTGTATTTGAATAATAATATGATGTTGAGTATAATGTGGGTAGATCATATTATTATGTTAGGTTCCGTTGTTCAGTTTTGCTACACAGTACATGGCATACATTACTAATTTACTATGGTTTTATGGAATACTACGAGTATTAAAATAGAATTTATTCTACTTATTATTTACCTTCTCTACTCAACATGTTATGTACATTGAATTTCCAAACACATCATTCTAATATACTTCTTAAAGATTTCAACTGCACCATTATACTTAAATGTCTTTTATATTTTTGTTTGTTATCAAATTACGTTTACAACTTTAGTATTTATATGGGATAAATACAAATTCAGTGTTACAGCTGTCAACAAAATAACATTTTTGACTACATTTACTAAACATTTATCTTTATTACAGCGTAAACGTAGCATCACTAACACAATCGGAAATTCGTGATATTATACTCGGTATGGAAATATCAGCTCCTTCAGCACAGAGGCAGCAGATAGCAGAAATAGAGAAACAGAGCAAAGAACAGAGTCAACTAACAGCGACAACTACTAGGACTGTGAACAAACATGGAGATGAGATTATAACCTCCACTACAAGCAACTATGAGTCACAGACATTCAGGTAAATAGGAATTATAGAAGAAACCTCTTAGCATTCAATGGATTCATCATGAGAGTGCCGGGTCCATCGTTGCAGGGAGAGGAGCTTCAACAGTGTGAACTTGCAACTTGCTAGGTTAAAGCGTCAATAACTATATTGCGTTAAGCGCAAGTAGTAAAGAATGATTTATGAAATATATTGCTTAACGTGGTATAGTCTACTTCATTAGTCTCTTATATAATTGGTGCTATATTAAATGTAGAATATAATTTATGATCTTTACACAAACAAATAAATAAATTAAATATATAAATAAATTTCGGTTTGAATTTCCTTTACTTTAATAAGAGTTTAAAATACTAAATCGTTCTTTTTTAGAAAACATTGTAACAATATCTTTTTTTTTAGTTCGAAAACCGAATGGCGTGTAAGAGCGATATCAGCAACCAATCTTCACTTGAGAACAAACCATATTTACGTTAGCTCTGATGACATCAAGGAGAGCGGCTATACTTATATATTGCCAAAGAACTTGCTCAAGAAGTTTGTTACTATATCCGATTTGAGAGCACAGGTATGTAATGAATAACATTATAAGATGTATATCCTTTTGTTTCTGTACTATTAATAAGTAACTAAATATATAACTCGTCGTTAATACACTTAGACTTCATTAGTTGCATAATGTAAGTCATTTGATGCTTCAAACCTTGTCATATTTTCAATGACTTATTTAACATCGGTAAGGGTTGTCACTTCACTTTTTTTTTACTAATGTATATTATCTTCAGATCGCCTGCTACCTATACGGCACATCGCCTCCCGACAACCCTCAAGTCCGTGAAGTACACTGCGCGGTTCTTCCTCCTCAATGGGGAACACATCAGACGGTACATTTACCACGACAACTTCCCAAACATCCGGCATTAGCTCATCTACAACCGTTGGGCTGGATGCACACTCAGCCAAACGAACTGCCACAGCTTTCGCCACAGGTATAAAAATGATCATTATATAATATGTACAAATAATTTTCAAATTATATGAAGCAATGTCTTATATAAAAAAATAGTAAAGTTTTATATTATAGTTAAGATATACCATGCGTGCTTTATTTTTGTAATAAACTACATATTTTCCCATACTTCGGCTACTTTTCAGCAACCGTGATCAAGGGCAGACGAAATGTGAATGTCTCATGCACCTAAAACACGCGTAGTATATCTGAAAAATATTAGTTTCATTAAAATGAATAAAACTCGCGAAAATCTTGGATCTCATTTTAAAGTGTATTTAAAATATGATGTATATACATATATGCAGACAAAATCCATATTTTGTCTTACATCGTCATTACTAGAACAGACATTTTGATGTAATAACAACTTGTTTACAGGATATAACAACTCACGCTAAAATAATGGCGGAAAATCAGACGTGGGATGGTGAGAAGACGATCATAATAACGTGTTCCTTTACACCGGGGTCGTGTTCACTGACTGCGTACAAGTTGACACCCAGCGGCTATGAATGGGGCGCCAAGAACACGGATAAAGGAAATAATCCCAAAGGATACCTACCCAGCCACTATGAAAGAGTGCAAATGTTACTGTCTGATAGATTCTTAGGATACTTTATGGTGCCTTCACAGGGAAGCTGGAATTATAATTTCATGGGTATGTTATTGTTAAAGTTTATTAAAACATTTAATCTATATTCTATAACAGTTTATTGAAACATTTAATCTATACTCAAAGTTAGAAATGTGTTAATTTATTGCTTAATATAGTATTTTCATCAATGTTGGGTATCAGTTATACTTGTTCTGTATTGTTAAATAATAATATGATGTCAAGAATAATGCAGCTAGATCACTTTATTATATTGGGTTCCGTCATTTAGTCTTGTCTACTTAGCCTATTACAAATATTACGAATTTAACATAGTTTTATTGAATTATACATATACTTACATGAAAATATAGACTAAATTTTGTATTATGATTAATCGATATAATCATCCAATATTAAATATCCGTGCTCAAGTATGATAATCATATAATTTTCAATAATTTTATTTCCAGGTGTTCGTCACGATCCCAACATGAAGTATGGAGTTCAACTGGGGAATCCTCGCGAATTCTACCACGAGGTTCATCGACCCGCACACTTTATGAACTTCGCGGCCATGGAAGACTCAGTAGCACCCATACCTGCTGCTGACAGAGAAGACTTCTTCGCCTAGTTATATAATAGAACGGTTATAAACAATCTATATAACCATTTGGAATATAGTAATAAGAATAACAGTTTTTATTTGTCTGGAATACTTAGATTTTATATGAAAACTGTAATTAAATTTGACTAGAATTAAATGTGTTTTTTTATTTGTGGTGTTGTAAGTGAAGAAGTTTTAATAATTTGTAATGAAAATAAATATACTAAAAAAATCTTGTGTTTGGGTCTGATGATGATATTGACGATAAATTATTTTCTTTATTACTCCTATCTTTGTTTCTCGAAGTTTAGATATTTGACATCTTAGAAAACATGGTGCCTATTATTATTTTTGAAGTGTACTTATTAAGTCCTATACCTATTGCATCCCATCAAAATTTTCTTCCCTAACTACAGTGTTTTTTAATATGGAATGTTCCTTCCGAGAGTGTATGAGTTTTTTTTTATAATTGGATACAATTAAATTTAAATATTTAGTTGCGCTTACTAGGTATTAACGCTGATAAAGTAGGGCCCGGATAAATATGGACGAAAAAATCAAAAATATGTAGTATAAAATTAAAAACTTTCATAACTAAACATTGTTTTACTAAAAGAAAAGGGTCACACGTGACGTACATCGTTAAGTTACGTTTCAAAAACGATGAAAAAAAGTAGCGAAATATTTATTTCAACAAAAAATAACAGTTTCATTCAACATCCATTACACTAGCCTTATGAAATTGGTTGCAATACACAATGACGTGCTTCTTTAAATTATGAAAATGAAAACTAACCATTTGGTCGACATACAGCATTACATCTGCTAATTGGTCTCATCTCAAGTCACATGACGTCATGGATGCATACTTAAACATGCTTAATTCAGTAATTGTGTAAGCCATGTCTACAGGCCTCGAAACTTTCGCACAGAATTTTGTTTATTTTTTTAGCGTATTAAATTCTTTATTTTTATCCAAAACATTAGTGGCGGGAACGTAAATTTTATGTATTTTTGTGAATATATGGATGATTGTGACATTTTCTTGTAAAATATGGACTTAGCTTTGAAATATGGCAAAATATGGAAAATAAAAGTTGGTTTTTCACAGTCTAAATATGACAATCCATGTAAAAAACATATTCTAGACCGAAAATCGCGTAAATTAAAAATATGTAATTACATATTAATCCGGGCCCTACTGATAAGTATGTACGAGTATTGCTCTAAGCTTGTATGTCTTTGTCTAGTTTCGTTTCATTATGATACCCATATTCTAATCTGTTGTCTATGAATCTTCCCAAAGTTTCTAAGATGTCTTCGTATTCTTTGTGTTAGATACCTGAATAACGATACTATTCAGACGTTAAAAATACACCTTAGCACTTGACATCCTACTAATATTATAATTGCGAAAGTTTGTGTGTATGTTTGTTACTTATTAACGCTCAAACGGCTGAACCGATTTTGATAAAATTTTATATACAGGAAGCTGACGTCTAGGAATAACATATAAGCTACTTTACATCCCGAATATCCCGGAAATCTTGAACGATTTTGTATCAAAAAAAGTTAAAAGAGTTAATATTTAAGCTATGTATGTTTTTTTTAAATGCATGAATAAACATTCTGTTCATTTGATTCAACATTTTTATTGAATAATATGATGATATACCCAGGTTAGTAAAAAACGGTGTAATTTTGAATTTTGTTGTGTTAACGAAAAAATTAGAAGAGGGTAGGGGGCCCTGGATGAGCATTGCCTAGGGGCCCCGACAGGCATAACCCGGCCCTGAGTGTATATAAGGAATTATCGTGGAGTCCGGGTACTTTGTGTGAATTATATAATTGTTACTTATATCTAATACATATGTCAATTTGAAAAAATAAAAATTGAGCTTAATCATTAAATTGCATATCTACGTCATTGTGATTTTTTTTGAAAACAGTTCTATTTCTCAGTATCCAGTAGAAATGTTATAGTTTTACATCAGTTTCAAGTATGTTTGTTTTTAATTACCTACATGTTATTTTCACACCTTAGCCAGGCTCCGAATATGGCGATGTCAGTCTTGTGAAATTAAACGCTACAAAAACGAAAGCTTGTATGTTATCGCTAAGGGAATTCTAACGCTTGACTCAAACTTTTCACTGTAGCTTTCCTCCCATTCGAACAAAGCTGTGCACTTCCATCTTGATAAGAAGTTCAGCAAAGGATCGGAACAACTTTCATTGTGATGTGTTTTGTTCCAACTATAAATGGGTGATTCCAAGTCTAGAGAGAATAGTCTGTAACTAAGGTAGTACGTCCACCACCAACAGCTTTATAATTTATGTTCACCTATCTTAATATGACGTTCAATTGATAATTGATATCTGGTTGAAATTAAATAAGTAAATGTTAAAAGAAATATTTTATAAAAAGCTGTCGTATTTAAAATTTACTAGGTAGTATTCATAATAATGAAAACATAGACAATATTTCCCTTTGAAATAAAACTGATATATTCTTCGGATTAACTAAGCCTTTATAATTATTTTTAGCAACATAACCGCTACGTTTTAAGATTACTGCCACACATCTCGTCTGCCCGTGAACGCGATTGCTGCAAAGTAACCGGAACGTTGGGAGTATGCTGTTAAAAATAATTATAAACACGTTACGCGTAGCAGATACGAAAAATAATAATTTTATTTTAATGTATATTTGGTGAAAATCTTAGATCTCACTATTTTCCCATAATATATAGTATACAACTAATAGTAGATAGAAAAATATTTCACAATAATAAAGTTGTCAACTGTCAAGTGACACTTCAAATAATAACTGATGGTAACCGGTTGTCAGAAATTTTGAAATAATACAAAGTGCTACTAGATAGTTTAAATAAGTTCATTATCTTTTGAAAATGGGTGACCATGAGGAATTTGAAGATAGCCAATATCCTGATAACAACGACTACGTACCGTATGTGACCGCCGCTAACCTAGCACAAAAAGTTGGCGCGAAAGTTTGCCTTTGGGGAAGAGTTACAAAAGTTACTGCCACCGAGACCTTTTGTGTTAAAACAGTCGATGATCAAGAAGTGGTTATAAAATTACAGAAACCCATTAGCGAACCACTAGAGGGATGGTACGAAATTTATGGAATATCTCAAGGACGGTCTGTTGTTTGTGAAGAATATGTGCCATTTTCAGAAGATATGACTAAAAACATTGATATCGAAGGTCATAAAAATCTTGCAAAACTTCTATTCGCACTCGATGATCCATGGAATATAGGAGAAAAGGAATAAAACATGCTGTCTCTTTAAAATCACAATACATTTATTATACTTATAAGATAAATCCCATAAGAAGTAAAGTTAAATAAATTTTTATTTTTATCATTTCTTTTTTCCTTTAAAACCTAACCATGTAAATTACTATACTCTTATAAAAGTAATCATAAGTTTAATTTAATGGTCTTTCATAAAAAAGTGAACATTGATTTGAAACAAATTTAAAAATACATATAAAATATGCTCATATTGAAGTATAAAAATAATACATTTTTCTATATGAAATATTGTTTTGTAACTTTAATGATACTTCTACCAGCAATATACCCGAGGATATGCTCTTATTCCTCCTATTTCTTTTTGCTTCTTTTGTTGTAACTTCATTCTCTTTTCATGCATTACGGCATTACAAAGTGCTCCTTCAACACATGTTACTGGTCGAGTTCTAAAAAATAAATTGGTTATATATTACTTTATGATTTAAAACTTATTAATTTATTTCTAAAAGTTAGATATTATTACATTTTACTATCAATCTTATCCATTTCTGATTGTATCCTGACACTAGCGGGCCTGTCTTTATCTCCTTTCAGCGCTAATTCTGTGAGGTATCTCTTGATGTATTGTTTTAATTGTGCATTTTCTTTGGACAACTTTACCTTCTCAGCTTTCAAGCACATAGTTTGAACTTTCACCCTATTCATCTTCAGTAGGAACTTGTCAAATTTTTTATACATGCGACATTCCTCCTGGTAAACAGTAAATTTGTGAATATTTCCTACATTGAATATTTGCCCCTTTATAAAGGTTATATAATAGAATAAGTTAATCGGTTACTAAGTATGATTCAGGTTGACTTCTTGTTTAAATCAATATATTATTCAGTAGGTATTTTTTCTGTATAATATGTTTAATTGAAGGCACAAAATGGATCAGATTATTAAATAATTCACTTTTCCTCAGAAGTCTATTAATAAAATGTGACATTTTGAATTAAGATGACTTATATGACTAATTTAAAACTTAAATATTCAAGTTGTGTGTCTAAGTCATATATTTGCAAATATTTAACTGAGTTATTGTTTTATTGTGGGTAAAATTTTGTTTATCACTAAATTCCAAATTTGAATATGGTAGCAAAAATATATATATATTGACTAAGTAATTCTAAATCTGAAACTATGTAATGAACACACAAATTAAACATAAAAGAATAATTTTTAATATAAAACTAGGTTAAAAAATCATTGACTACATTTTGTTTTTTTGAATCTATATAATATCTTTGTTAATGATTAATTATTTAAGGCATCTTCGTTTAGGGGATGAGGGGATTAAAATTAATTAATAAAGATGTATTAATATGATGGAATACCTTATAACCTTTTCATGTTTTTATGTTTCTCCTATTGAAAAATCTTTTACACTATAACTTAAATTTTATCAATAACAGTAACTTCTTAATACATAAAAGGAACAAAATCAGTTTAATAAAAAAATATATTCTTACGATCATGGTGTCGTCCATAGCTTCAAAATTTGCATTGGATGCAGTATCTTCTATCTCTTCTAAGAGAAGATTATCAGCCTCTTGTTCATATTTGCTACAAATATTGGCTAGCAACTGTATTTTACTTAATTTATCATGGAATTCTTGGAGCCTCTGAAAATAACGGTAGTTGGATTCTAGTATTTATATCTTTGCCGTATAAAAGAACTACTTTGGTTATCTAATACATTAAATAGATTTCAAAGATTTTGCTTGTAGTAATAAATGTAATCAGCCAAAATGAAGTCTAATTACAAAAAATAGCGCTTCCTACTTTTCTGAACTTAATATCTTTTTATTTTTCTATTGTCGTGGTGGCCTAGAGGTTAAAGGCCCACCTCTCGGGCATGAGGACGCGGGTTCGTAACCTGGCAAGTAATAATGTGATTTTTCCGAGCCATATGTTCTTTCTAACAGGACTTAGACACCACTGACAGATGGTGAAGGAAAACATCGCGAGGAAATCTAGACTTATAACTTAAAATTATAAGTTTGAAATCACCAACCCGTCTTGAGCAAGCATGGTTACTAATGCTTAAACCTTCGCCATCTGAGAAAGACGTCTTTGCTCAGCAATGGGCTCTGATAGGTTGATGATGATAATGATGATTTTTATTTATTCATAAATAAGATTTAAAATAATAAAAAAACACAATTTCATTTATATGCCACCATTTTTTATCTAAAGAACATATACCTACCTAATGCGTTGGAACTTAGCAACATTATTATTATACCTAATTATACAGATGGTATATAAGTACTAACATTACATATGAGAAAGAAACTCCTTCTGTCTGTTACGTTTTCACGACTAAACCAATTTTGATGAATTTTTGTATAGCGATAGACGGAACCCAGCAGAATTACATAGGCTAACTTTTATTTTAATCCCGATTCGAAAACTAAGGGCTGGAAAAATAGAACTGCCTTCAACAGTCTTTGTTATCGCAAAAAAACTTCTCTTGTAGGTGATATAAGTTAATATAATTTAAGAATATTTATTTTGTTATACCTTTATAGCATCTTGGCTTGAATCGACTAAAACCGCTAGCATTTCTTCTTCTTTAGCTCGAGCTAGCTTAGTTTCCTTCTTCATCAGCCAGTACTGCTTGGACAGGGTCTCCTTATGATCGCTCATACGAGACAGCTTGCAGTTCAACGCGTTCGATGTTTTCAACCATTCGTTTTGTAAATTCGTCAACATAGCCTATTGGGATAATATCTTATTATTATAACATATTAAACAAATAACAACTTTTTTGTATACAGAATAATCTTTTCTGATAATTAAGAGTTTTAAGTCTTCTTACTTACCATTGACTGTTGTATCAGAATGTTGTTCTTTGCAATATCATTTTGATAGAATTCATCTTTTTCTTGTAGCGTCAAGTAATGTCCCATTATTGGGTTGTGTTTTTCTATGTATGTGTTATAAACGTCGCGTAGTTTCCCATAGTAAGTTTCTATTTCTAATTGCTTAGGCTTACACAGATTGGACATCTCTTCTTCATGCTTATTTATGGAAAAGTAAGTAAATCTTTTTTATAAGTCAAAATACTTATAGTTTATCTTTAAAAACAAAGATAAGAAATCGTTAATTCCAATTCTAGGCAATAATAATTCCTTTACATAAGCTAAAGCTATAAAAAGATCCAAAAAGGTGGAAATAATAAAGGTTTATATCTTGTTTTATTTTGTTGTAACTCTGATATTATCAGGCATTTAAATGCCTTATTACTTATAGGTACCTACTTTACGTAGGTACCTTACATTACAAATGACCAAAGAAAAGTTTAACAGGATAAACAAAACGTGGGAAATATTACTGAAATAAAACATTGGTAGAGTGTCACAACGTTGTACTTAAATCCTATTGAGAAAAATATACCTATAAATAATATGAAAATCATTAACACGTAAAAAAAAAACCTCATGTCATCCCAACAAGGTAATTTTGAATTGGTCACACATGATTTTCCTGCTATTAATGTCACCTAGCTTCCGCTCATGTCAACGATCATCTGACAGGCATAACAAAACACTTGATACGTTATTCATTCAAAAGTAATGAAATGATGGCGTTTATAATTTACTATAACTGTAAAAAGTTCATTAAAAAAATCTGACTAAAATTGTATAGTATTAAACTATCGGAAAATTCAGTTTCTTTTAATGATGTAGAATTTTCACTTTGTAAACATATATTAATAATATTACCACATATAATAGAAGTTTACTTCTCTAAAAATAACTATACTACTTAATTTTTTTAATACATTCAGAAATAATGTAACTATTTTGCGAACAGTACCTACCGTAAATTTGAAATTTTAACAAAGCAACATACATGAGGTACCTAATTTAAAAATTGGTTAAGCAGATCGCTCGTCCTATATAAATCATTGTTTGTATCGCACTAGTCATTGTTAACAAAACATTGGACTAGAATGAGATTTATAAAACACTACGTCTTATTTTCCTGTTTGCTGTTCATAATATCTGATGTGAGTATTTTGTTAAAATGCCAGATAAACATACAATTATTAAATTGATCTCTTCATTAACAATATTATTACAAATAGGCACTATCATGTCGTTCAAAATACAGCGCAAAAGATGAAAGATTAAAGCGTATTTTTAATGATTGCTTGAACCAACGAGGGGGTAACAGCAGTTATGATAGATACGATCCAGACAGAAGAGATAGGTCAAATAATAACAGACATGAACAGGGTAGAAGAAACAATCAGGATCAAAGAAACGGCGACGAAGATTACATGAGAGACGATCATAATGATGGTTCATACGGAAGAAACAGAGGTCAAATGAATGATGGTACAAGAGTTGAAACTGGCAGAAATAATGGAAGGGGAAATACGAGAACGGACGGTCGAAATGAAAGGAGTCATAACAGTCGATTGAGAGGACAAGACGAATTCTTACAGAGCGAGGAATATGGGAACGTGAGTAATTATTTTAAATGAGTATATATTTAATTTTATTATTTTACTAGCTTTCCGCCCGCAGCTTGCCCGCGTGGAGTTCGGTTATATCGCGTTTCCAAGAGAACCTTACAAAAGTCTGGGATAAAAAATATCCTATGTTCTTTCTCAAGGTCAACTCTATCTCTATACCAAATTTCATTAAAATCAGTTCAGCCGTTTAAGCGTGAAGAAGTAACAAACATACACACACACTCAGAAACTTTCGCAATTATAATATTAGTAGGATGACGATGTACGGTTTCTAGCAGAGTTATTACTCATCTTCGCAATCAAACGGAAGATATAAACGCGAAAAAAAGACCGAAATGAATTCTGGACAAAGAAGTCAGTATAATCCACATTCAAAAACTTCAAATGGAAACCGAGATGATTCAAATGAGAACAATTCCAATGAAAACACAAACCAAGACATTGCATGTGTTATGCATTGCTTTCTAGAGAATTTACAAATGGTGAGGCATAAATTATATTTTTAATACTTTAATTCTATTTTATTATTATAACCGTCGAACCGTCAATAATTATAGGCTTTTTTTTATACAGTTTTAAACTTATATAATTAGTTACATACTTTATTTAATATATTATAGACAGGAGATAATGGAATGCCAGATAGATATTTAATAACTCACGCTCTTACAAAAGATGAAAGGAATGAAGATTTGAGAGATTTCTTACAGGAGTCTGTGGAAGAATGCTTCCAAATTCTCGATAACGGTTGGTTATTTAATATAGTAAATAACATCTATAGCTTCTAAGCCTTTAAGTCCACTTAAAGAAAGGATATTATTTTATCTTTGAACTTATTAAACTGATGATAATAATGTTGAATGCAGTTGTTAGATATAAAAACTTAAAACTTACTCATTAATATGAACCACGTTATACTTCTGAAAATATTGTAATATTTTTTAATGTTGAAAAACTCTTTTGATTTTACTGTTGATTCCCAAGTGAGCAGAAAGTATTTCTCTTTCTTATTCCGAACTCAAAATTACGCGACAATTATTTTTCAGAAAACACAGATGATAAATGTGAATTTTCAAAAAATCTATGGATGTGTTTATCAGAAAAGGGAAGATCAAATTGCGACGATTGGCCTAAGAAGAATACTTTTATGTTTTAGATGTCCATCACATTTTTTGTGCATTTATTTGAATAAATACGTTTTGAATCTTAAATATAAATATTATTTGTAACAAACCTCAAGACGCGATACGTTTTTCACTGTAGCTCTCTCTATTTCATTTCTCTTTTTGTAATTGTTAAATTCCTCGTTTTGGATATACGTAATAAGAATTAGTTTGAAGTCCGCTTTTTCCTGATTCTCCGTAATATCCGATTCTTCGGTATCCCAATTTTCTAGAAACTTATCTTTTTGTTGTTCATAATCCGATTGAAGTTTGTCCAGTCTTATAGTTCCCACTTCTAAAAATATAAGATATTGTATTAGTTTTTTACTTTACTCATTCTTTCCGAAATATTTTACACATATTTTGAACATATTTAATTTGAATGAAAACATTTTTTTTATGTTTATATCATAGTCGCTTAATAGCTAATAGTTTTATTGATGAATATGATGATAGAAATATCAAAAAGCAATTGTATATTACTTAGGAAGTAGCTTAAAGTTTCCGTGTGAGCTTGAAAGGCTCTGCGGTGTTGTTCATCAGAGTCTTCTATTGATTGCATCAAAGCCTTCAGTAACCGGTTTTTTCTTTCAACTAAAAAGTTGAAACTGCTCATCATACCCTAAAATAATGAGATAACATTATCGTTCCTGCTTCTGCCGAGTTCCATTATGTATAGTAGGGTTTTAGGAAACAACAGAAAATATTTTATTTAACTAAACAAGAGAAACTATGCAAAATTATGTTATGCCAGTAAAGGTATAGGTAATATTAATTATATAAAAACATACCTGAATATCTGACGTCATTTGTTTGCATTTCACCTTTCGTAAAATGAATCGCCATTCTTGGTTAATCTTCGCCGTATTTAATTTAGCGAAAGCTTCTTCTTTGTCTAATTTGTTCTACAATGAAGACACATAATAATCATTTCCATGAACTGAATACAGTAGGACCTCGATTATCCGGACTAATTGTTGTCGGTAGGCATCCGGATAATTGAAAGTCCGGATAATCCAATATATGAAGAAAAACGGGCTTTTTGCATATGTACATATGTAGTCTGTACCATACATATGAATTATTATTTAAAACAACAAATACATATATGTATTAAAGAATAATAGCTCTTTTAATGATCTAAAAAACAGTCCGCGACAGTATATGTGTATCTTTTAAGATTAACTCACAAAAACCGTTTTTATGGTACCTAATTTGGTCGAAATAATTTGTTTAATTTTTACGAGTATCAACATAATAATATTAATCTTTATTCAAATAAACAAATAAATATGTTGTTGGTTAAGAGTACTTCATTGTGAATTAAAAAAAAACATAGGTTTTATTATGAAAATTCTACGGGAACTCGACCATTCCGAAAACCCCGCAAGAACGGGAACTATGTGGGAAGAACCAAAAATCTGCCTGAAGACACTATTCCACGGACGAAGTCGCGGCAAAAGCTAGTGTTAGAATAAACTCGTCGCGATTAGCAGTCCGGATAATCGCGAATTCGGATAACCGAGGTCCGGATAATCGGGGTCCTACTGTATATGTCAATATGAAAAACACAAAGTAACAAATGATTTTGAACCTTAATGAATCTGGCCACAAGTTCTCTTTTCCTTCTCCTTGCTTCTTCTTCTACATCGGCTCTATGTTGCAAGTATCTGGCACGCTCTTCATCAGACATGCGAGCCAATTTGTTGACTTTGCTCTTTTTAGGCATTGTTATTTTTTATTCTAGATAAAACATTTATAATAAAGAAATGTTTTAATAGAAAATAACAAATTATTGTATATTGAGGTCGGTCAAGTACTCACCGCGTTTTTAAATAATTTTAATTCTGTATAATATATAAATACTTAGAACTGTGTGTGTGACTGTGTCGCTCAACCCCCGTTTTCGAAATGTCACTTACTCATAAGAATATTGATCAAACAAGCAAATTATCGTGGCAACTATTTGATTATAACTTTCATAGCCACTTGTATGTTGATATTGTGATAGATTTATATCTAGTATGGCTTATATATTTGTATAACTTATGAAATCAATGCTCTTAAAAACATTGTATTAGATCAGAAACATCTTAATCCTTTTTAGGTTTGCCGCAGTCGGATAAAAGTGATAAACCAGATAAATTTTACTTATAATTAAGGATAGTATTTATTTTTTGTTAATTTTGGTAAAAATTATGTGTCAGTCTTTAACAAAAAGAAAATTTAAGTAGAATATGCTAAAATCTGTTTTTTTTTAAATATTATGAGTGATTTATCATCATCATATTAATTTGAAGAGAAAAATAATTTAAAATCCATATAGGGAATTAAGATGAGAAAACTGTAGTACTTACATAAACTCTAGGGAAACATTATAAGTAAATGGAAGGAGTATAGATTTACAATTAAATGTTAATTAAGACAAAGGTATTAATTAGGTAACGACTTATTATTGTTATTTAATACTAAGGTTTGGTTAAAATAAAAGAAATCTTTACATTATAGCTCAGTCTAGGAAAAGTACCACTATACATAAATTTAAAAAAAAATACAGTAACGGCTTTTGTAATAGGGATTCAAGATATATTTTATATTAGTAGTTATATATAATTACCAAATTACGACCTCTAATTTTATATTTTTGTAAAATAGTTTTGAATCAAAAAAGTCATACGGAATTAAAACAAGAGTTCTCTAAAAACTAAACTAAGCTTACAATTTAGTCAATGGTTTCCATGGCAACGGTAGCATTAGTCAGTTTCGTGTACATTTTATAAATATCAGCTGTTTTATGAAGCATGGATGCTCAATCTTCTGGGACGTTGCAATCTCCATCGACATTTTCCGACAGTTCCAAAACCGCGAGCAGTAAATCGGAAGCTTCGACAGCAAGAGATGAGAAGGACTTCACTAAAGACAATGGTACTTTTTCGTATGTTACAAATAGATTATTACCTTGGAAACTTAACATATATTTGTATGAATATTCTTGGAAGAAAATACATGATCAAAGCTAGTTTCCTTTTGCAGTTGCTTCACCAATCGACTTGGAATGCCACATCCAAGCTGAGAGAATCACTAAGATTCTGGACGAAGCGATATATAAGACCAAACTGGCTATCAGTCTCCCTAATCTGGTTCAAGAGTACAGGACGCTAAGCTCTATACTGTCCCCACAACATATGGAGGATCTTGTGTTCATTTTTGAACAATATGACAATCCACTTTTCTCCACCAGTTTATTAAATATGGCGGCCATGGAAGATATTAAGGCAGTAAGTTATCATTATATTTAATATTTTTAATAACTTTTGTATACAACTGCTTTATAAATTAGGGAGACATTTCTTTGAAAAATCGCTTAAACCCGGAGCTTGGGCACCTGATGTACATCATGAATAGTTATCCGGAACTACGTCCTGTGGTTGAAGAAATTATTCAAGAGGTAGGAAGTTTTTTTATCTCGTTAATGACACGTTTTCTTGAAGGTAAAAACTTTAAAATTTTTTGTTTACAGATTAAGGCGGGATGTTCAGATTTAAAAGAGGTTTGTGATTTTTTTTATACCAATAAGTAAACAGAGATACATAAGTATAATAATGAAACACGACATTTCTTTATTAGGACACATCTGGTGTGGAGTATTTATTGACTTTAGAACATTTTCGAGAGCTAATGGTAAGACAGATGGATACCACAGCCGCTGAAGAACTATCAGCTAAACTCAATACTAGAAAGTTAGAAAATTCCAATGAAAAATTACTACAAAAGATTAAAGGTACTAGTACTATTCAAAAATGAATACAGAATTATTATGTTATCAATCTTCAATATATTGTTATTTATTTGCAGAGTATTCGGTCACATTAGCAGAAGAAAATAAAACATTTGAAACAACTATGAAATTGAAAACCGATATGATTGAGAAATTGGAAAAAGAATTGGCTTTTCTCAACCACGAGGCTGATATCAAGCTAAAGAAAAAAATGTGAGATAGATTTTTAATAATCCCTTTGTATATGAAAAAGCCGTTATAACAGTGCAATTTTAGTATGCGGTAGTAAAAATTTAAATGCTCTCTTATTTTATTCCCCTTTTCTCGTTCTAGTTTGGACTCCGATCGTCAAATGGTGTTAGCGACTCGTGCACATTTAGTAAAAAGTGAAGTTTTGAAAGAGGAGGAAGTAGAATCACGTGAATTATATGAGAATATATTGAAAGCACATCTTATTGAAGAGAAAAATCAAAGGGCGAGAAGGTAATGTCCTTAATCTTTAGGGATGACATGATGTAAATGGCTTAAACAGAGACGAACCCTCTCAGCATTCAATGGATTCACCGTGCGAGTGTGGGGTCCATCGCGTTACAGGGAGAGGAGCTTCAACAGTGCCTGGGACTTGCGACCCAGGTGTAGGTTTAAGGGACCCCTTATCTAACGCGCGTTATACGCTCACCTCCACTGTCCAAGTTCCTCTCCCTACCTAACCAAATTCGAAAAGAACCTACTAGGGCTGCCTTCGATGCACGTTCCAAGAATGTACATATTAATGTGAGTTCTGGACAAGCCCAAGTCTTTTAGTAGGTTGTAGAGTGATTTCGCTGTTATACCTCTCGCTCCCACCTCTACCGCGTACAAATCCACGACGAACCTATTTCGAGTGAGTTCGTTAGTGAGCTCGTAATATTTGTTGACCTTATTGGTATTTATCCAGATTTAAAGTAGAAACCCAGCTGTTGTCGTGGCTACAGAAGTATGACCTGGAGATGGGAGACAAGCAGGTGGAGCTCGACGAGTTCACGGAGAAGTATGAAGATGAACAGGCCAAATGTGAAGAGCTGGAGGTTTGATATGTTGTTGGTTCTATGGCAACTATCATCTAACTAATTATGATACATCAAGAATCCAGAAAAGAATTCTATTATCATGATTAGCAGAAAGAAAGATCACTATCGTCCTTTTAGAAGAACTGAGTATTTATTATTGATAATGCATTACCTATTCCAGATATTCCCGAAATTTACACTTATGTACTTCTATTTGTGTTGTTTTATACTATTCAAAGTTAAAATGAGTTAAAATGCTTTACACTAAAATATTGATGTTCTTGACATCGTATTTTTATAGGCCAAGATAGCGGAACAAGATAAGGAATACATTCCACTAATGGAAGAAAGAGAAGCCGAGTATCACCAGGAGATGACTGAGAAGATGAACAAATTCCTTATTGAACACGCCGCGAGGGTTATTCAGAACGCCTGGAGAGACGTCCTTGCGAATAGAGCTGAGAAAAAGAAGGTGAGTTTGTGTTTATTACTGTATAAATATCTCTAAAGATCTCGAAATAAGAGAATCATATAATTTAGTACACATGGTAGTCTTTCATATTTTAATATGTGTTTTACAATAAATTGAATTTTTCATGCAGCAGAAAGGAAAAGGTAAAAAGGGCAAGAAGAAAGCCTAATCCGATTTCCTAACAATCCTCTTGTGCCTTTGTTTAACAATATTAAAAAAGAAACTAATATTTTTCGGATATATAAATAAAATACTCCCGAATTTTCGTCAAGTATTTAGTGACCGTGATCACGGGCAGACGAGATGTGGAGTATGTAGTTTTTAACAAAAATAAAGCACGCGTAGCATATCCGAAAAATATTAGTTTCATTTAAATCAATGAAACTCACGAAAGTCTTATATCTTAATATTAAAAAGTTTAGAGATTCATTTAAGTAGCATTGAATAGTACCAAGTCATTTTTCTCCTACATTGCCAATCCCTACTAACATCCTTCCTTTTCCCATCCATCCAATCTTAGCTCCGGAAATTGCTGAAGAAAAAGCAAGCTTCAGAGAAAAAGGGGAAATAATTGTTTTTATATGTTTAATTTTTTCTGTTACTACAATTATGTTTCGTAATAGTTTGATAACTTTTAAATATATTGGATTGATATAAAATGGTTTTATTTCTCGTTCTCTATAACTTAAGATTATATTATTAAAGTCCTTTCTAAAAGATTCTGGAACTCTACTAAAAGGAGTAAGACAAAAATAATAACATTAAAATGTTGATAATAGGTAGGTATGGCTTATGGTACATGAAGTTTAGTGTAATTAAGTCATAAAGAAAAAAATAGTTTTTCATATTAATATAAATGGAAAGATTATTTATGGTCGTTCAGTTTATTGCTACATAATCTACATATAAGTGTAATACATATATCAGGCACTTTGAATATATTTATTATACTTTACGATATCTGTTAACAACAACGAACTTTTGCTCTATGAATAAATATTTTATTTGATATTTGGTAGTCTCAACCAAGCTGGTTAATAATAACATATAAACTATACAACGATATGAAGAAAAAATCTTGCAATATATAGATTTCGAAATCGAAATTAATAATACAAAAGCTTTTATTTCTGACATCTATACAGATAAATAATATTGTTTGCTTTTAAATTTCATATGAAAACGATTAATCGATGTTCAAAATATCGATTAATCGTAAAATTGAATAGGTTCTGTCAGCAATTTTTTTTATCTACTAAGAATACTATTTCACAGATTATTTTCATCGTTCTGAGCCTTTATATGTCTCAACGCTCTCAAGTCTAGTAGTGTGTCTGATGAACTCTTAGTTGTCGGTACAAATGATATCGCTCGTCTTGCTCGTTCGCCGTTTCGTAACGCTGGGTTTAAATCCTGAAATATAAATACACATACATTTGTAAATATACCATTATAATACTTTACCCATTCTTTTGTACGTAACAAAATGAAGCCAAAATGTTATTAATTGTCAAATTATTTCTTTAATTATAAAATTTAATTTTTTTCATGCTTAGACCAAAGGTCAACTTTTTCCAGTCTTAACGGTTTCTCAAAAAATTGAATTCACACAATTAAGAAATGCACAAACAGCCATTTACAAAAGGAGTGTTTAATCATTAGTGCATTTGTCTCCTGTGTCTATATCTATATCTATCTGTGTGTATAGTGTATACCCACAACATATGTATACCAAACAGCTTTTTAATAATATATCCCCTGTGTCTATACCCTCAGTTGTACGTGCAGCGCCTGCGCGTGGTGCTCCGTCTGTGAGATCTTCTCTTGAGCCGCCTTCAGTTCCATGTCCAGCTGTTGCTTCTCTTGTTCCAGCTCGCGGAGACGTTTTTCAGCTTCTGAAATATAATTACAATTTCAGTACTAACATAAAACTATGTTTTAGCGACTGCAATCATAGTTGAAGAAAAGAAAAGTACAAAAAAATAATAAAATTTGAGTGTCTGTTTGTAATAATGAAATAACGGTTTTTTACTACATGCATATGAATTTGTATATGGTGCATACACCAAAATAACATTTTTTACCATTTTTGTCTGTTTGTCAGTCTGACTGTCTGTTTGTTGCAGCTAATCTCTTAAATGGCTGGACCGATTTTAACGGGACTTTTATTGAAAGGTAGCTAATAAGGAGTAATTTTGTGTACTTTATCTAGATCCCAAATTCCGATTTTAATTTTTTTTTCTTAGCAGACGAAGTCGAGGGTAACAGCTAGTATTTGATAATAATATAACAGGCATTAATTTCTTAGAAATACTTTTAATGGAATGTGGAATATGAAGTGTTAAATATCAGTGAGATATAAAACCTCTTTAAATATAATATATAACCTCTATACTGTGCTTCCTTCTCCGCCTGTAACATTTCGAATTTCTTTCGTTTCAGTCGCTCTTCTTCTAGCATCTTATTTTGTTCTTCTTGTAATCTTTCCAGTTCTTCTCTTCTTTCCCATTCCTCTGCTAAAACTCTGTAACGATAAAAATATACGGAATTAATAGAATTACGGAAGTGTATACATATTTTATTAATTATGTAAGTTTATAAAATTACGGAATTTATTGTCATAAGAATTTTAATTGTTTTATAAATTGTATTCTGCTAAAACCCAAGTCTTACAATTTTTCTTAATTAAATGAAAATATACTTTATTGCTCTCAATATCATATGAAATAACATTACATATAAATGGTTCAATACATTCCATATAAATGATTCAATACAATTAAATAGTACACTATCTAAAGAGCTTAAATGGAAAACAAATTCAAATTTTTGCCTAATATTGTATTGAAATTTTACCACCAAAAACCATGACTTAGATATTTTTGTTATATTATAATGTATTCTTCTTCTACCTGGCAATTTCCCAGCTATAGCCAGGGTCTTGCCTTACATGTTGTGTATAGTTTTGGCTATTTGTTTTTACGAGCGGCCGCCTGCCTGATATCAACCCTCTTTTTTGAATCAACATTAATCAGTGATGTCTAAATAGTCTTCGAAATCGATATGACTCGAAAAAATCACATTAGTACTTGCCCGGGCCAGGATCGAACCTGCGCCCTCGGCAACGAGAGCCGGGCCCTTTAACCACTAGGCCACCACTCACTTTGTTATATTATAATATTGTAATTTTTTTCTATCTCTACACTTACCTAGCCTGTAATGCTCTAACAATTTCTTCATCCCTCTTAGCCTGTGTCTCTTCTTGTAGAAGTCTTTCGAGTTCTGTTTGTGCGTTCTTAAGTTCTTCCAATTTCTTGTTATCCTTCTGCGCTAGTTCTGCCAATTCCTGAAAGGACACAGAAGATTTATATTTAAAACCAGCCGTTTGATTTCTTTATCGGTGTTATTGGATCTAAATCGTTAAATCGACATTTTAATAAAGTGGGATGAAATGAAAAAGCATATATTTGTTATATTCAATGCAAGGGTATTACATTTACATTTAATACAAAATAGAGTTCTCCTTTTACGTGCTTGCATGATGGCAATTTCAAATATATTGTTCATTCAATATAACGCCGTCATCTTTGTGGTATGTAAAAATATAAGAATAATTATAAAATATAAATATTCTAAAATATAAGAATAATCATATCCCAGAAACATAGGCATAAATTTCTCGTGACACATATTAATTCATCCATGAATACCCAGACTGCTCTAGACGTTTTTTAACTTATAAATAAAAAAAAAAAAAAAATCTTTTATTCTCAAGCAACATAGGCTCATAGTTGGTTAGTACACAATATAATTACTTAGAAAACTATGTTAGTAAAAAATATATATATAATAAAAATAAAAAACAATGAATACATACCTACCACAGGGAGATTGACCCGGCCCCACTTTTTACATGTAGCCTGATAAACCTCCCCATGGTCGGCCCATCCTGTCTTGCTGCAAATACCTTCAGGATGCTGTTGGAACTAACCCTTACCCTTTGTATTATTGACGCCACCTTCTTGCGCATTATTGCGAAATAATCATCGGTGTGAGCGTCTGCAAACATGCCTGACGCACTACAATGGTATGGGAGCCCCAAGAGCGCCCTGAAGGCATTATTATATTGAACTCGCAGGGTATTGACCGCTCTTTGGGTACAGCTAGCCCAAAGGCTGCTGGTGTAAAATGTTTGGCAATAAGCCTTAAACAGAGTAATTTTAACAGGTAACGTACAACCAGCAAACCTTCGAGCCAGCATATTGGCCCTCACAGCCAACGCCCTACGTTCTCTTTCGATATCTTTGTCATCTTTTAAATTTTCAGTAACAATATGTCCTAGATATTTAAATTCATTTACTATTTTTATAATTTTCCCACTAAGTTGTACAGAAGGTACACATGTTGGTCTTTTATTTTGTCCTATAAATACCAACAATTCACTTTTATTAGGATTGTATCTTAGGCCATGCTGCTCAGCATATTCTTCACAGACTGATATTAACTTTCTAAGTCCACATATTGAGGGACTCAGCAACACCATGTCATCTGCATAACTTAAGTTGTTTACACATAAACCGTCGACATGGCATCCGACATGTGTGCTGCTAAGTTTAACAAGTAATTCATTCATGTAAATATTGAAAAGCCTCGGGGAACCAAGACCTCCCTGCCTCACCCCACACTCGAGCTTATATGGCTCAGACAATACATGTGACCATTTAACAAAATTTCTCTGTTTATCATACCAGACGGACAGTATAGATATAATCGAAGCAGGAACGCCGCTCCCCCGAAGCTTCTCCCACAGGATATTATAGGAAACCAAGTCAAAAGCTCTTGACAGGTCTAGGAAACAAGCATACACTGGTGTTTTCCTATCTGTATAATACTTGACAGCGTGCTTCAGCGCGAAAATGGCACTCTCAGTTGACAACCCTGAACGAAAACCAAACTGTGAATCATGTAACTGTACATATGCACCGATGCGAGAGTCAAGCACGCTGTCAAATACTTTAGCCATTACAGTCGCCAATGAAATTGGCCGGTAGTTACCTTTGTCCGCTATGTCCCCCGTCCTATTTTTTACTATAGGTACAACTATCGTGTCCAGCATCTCCTGTGGTAAGTAAGAATGTCCTATACAGAGATTAAAGAACATTGTCAATACTCCTGGCAGATGTATACCAGCATGTTGAAGGTGCTCGATGCTGAGTCCATCGTGTCCAGGGGATTTACCTCTCTTCATATTATTAATTGCATCTTTTATTTCTTTACAAGTTAACCTTATAGGGGATTCTGATTGATAATACTCAGCATCGTTCTCCCTCGGTCGTGATTCAAGAGGTGAGCTCACTTTAAAATGTTCTCTGAACAAATTTGCTATCTCCGCATGGTCACTCTTACCCCCCACACTAATTGGAAGGCTCGGATTAATATTTAATTTTCTAGTACCTTTCCAAAATGATGAAAATTTCTTTGCACTGTATAATGAAGCCAGTATATCCATTTCTATTTTTTCTTGGTTTTTTATGCACCATTTTAATTTTGATTTGAATATTGTGCGACTTAATCTCATTTCGTCAAATATACGCCCACTATTGGGTCGCCCGTGCGACATCCATATCTGAAACTTAACTCTAGCCTGTGAGTGAAACTCTTTAACATGCCTGTTCCACCCTTTTATGCCCTTATAATTCCTCTTACTAGCTCTTAACATTCTACTTTTACAAGCAGCATCACCTAAGATACAAATAATATTTTTATACAATTTATCTAATAGACTCTTATGTTCAAAGTTATTACAGAAACAGTCCGCACAGCGCTCAAATTGCTTAGGAAACTCAATATTTTTTAACTTATTATTACACATTTGTAAGTAACCTGCAATGTCCTCAGCGTTCCGTTCCCCCCACCGAATACCGCTATAAGAGGGCTTACTCACACTAGTTTTTGATTTAATCAAGTTGATGTCACACTCTAATTTCAAAGGAAAATGATCTGACCAAAATATATCAAGCATAACCTCAATGTTTACAACCGTTTTTGCCGCCGCATGCGTTGCCAGACAGTGGTCTAGCCAACGCTTACACCCATGCGAGTCACTTATGTATGTATATGTTTGAGAGGAAATACCAAGATAATTTATATCAGCACACAACAGATCTTGCTCATTACAAAAACTAAGAAGCTCTTTAAAGAATGCCTCACCCGGGTGTGCGTTGAAATCCCCCAGCACATAAACAGATTCAATATTATTGTAGTGTATTATAGAAATAATTTCACTGAGACATTCCGTAAAACCTGGGAGGTTTTCACAACAATCCGTCGGCATATACGTATTTATAACTATAAAACTTTTGTCATTTTCGACTACTTTTATTGCACAAATCCGATCACTATCACATTGCACTACAGTCACACACTTCAATGTACTTTTACGCCATAGTATTGCAAGTCCTCCATAGGGTCTACCTTTACAAATACCAGCTGACGTGTCCACAGAAGTCTTCGCAGTGTAGCTGAACTCATGATCTATGTTTTCCAGATAACATAAATCATGTGGATATAACCATGTCTCTTGTAACAACACAATGTCAGCTGTCATACACAGTGATCGCACACAGTTCATTGACCTCTTGACATTTTTACAATTAAATGTTATTATGTTTAATTTTGAAGAATTATCCATTTATTGTGTCTATTCGTTCGCTCTGTGAGAAGGATTTTCCTTCCTCTTTTCTATATTTGAAATGTATAAAACGCCTAAATGTGATACCATCGGGCCAAATCTGATCATTCAAAAATATTTCCAATTTATTTTTATTTACAAATATTTTATATGCGTTGTACGGTCTTGCCTTTTTCATTTTTATTTTTTCAAGTGAAATTACTTCTGACGTTTTGTTTTTAATGTATTCACAAATGTCCTCTTCTGAGGTTTCTTTGTTTACATTTGAAATAAATAACGGAATTTTAATTTCAGCCGCTTTAAAACTTCTCTGCGATGTCAGTAGCTGCTTTCCCTGTTTTACCGGCTAGCCGATTCCTGTACCTTTTGTTTTGAACAGTAATCCACTCACTAGATTTTGTATTCTGTGTTTTCCATTCTCCTTTTTTCGCAATATCGGCCATAGTCGGTTGTTCAACATCCGTATTCGTATGGCGGGCCGCCGGCGCCTCCATCTCGATCATATCGGTGCATATTACGTTTTCAATTAGCGTTGAATTCATCATTGTGCACGTATTCTTTTTATTTTCAACGGTAGCCTTCCGAGCGTGAGCGAGATGACGATACTTTGGAGACTCCGTACGCTCCGCACTTTGACCTTCCGTTATTGTGTCGATCTCAGCCGGTAATAGACCGTTAGGCCCACTGTCTAGCACATACCCTCCTCTTTTTTTCGAATTAATATTACATGTTAAAAACGATGCTGGGGGTTGGTTTTTTTCCAAAATTAAATTTAACTCATCTAGTTGTTGCTTAGTAGCGTAGCTATTTTTTATTTCATCAATTTCTGTCCGCATAATCAACAGATCTTTCAGCAATTTCGTGACATCGACATGGTCGAAGGTAACCGGTGGTAATTTTTGTAAGTCACGAGCCACAAAAATTGGCATCAAACACGGCTCTGTGACTTTGAAAACACATATCATGTCTTCTAAATCTTTTTGTAACTTTCCATTTTTACGTCTAGATACTTTTTTCTGGTTTATTTTAGTAGAAGCAAATAGCAAGTTTTTTGCACATTCTACCTCCTCTTCAGAAAAAGCAGTCACACAAATTCTTATTAAACTTTCATTGTCTATTACCGAAATTTTGTTTTGTATAAATGATAACAGTTCACTTATCACTATATTACAGTTCACGCATTTTAGCGTATTCACATTATGTTCCGACATCGTCACAGAGGTAGCCATTATCGATCCGTTCGCTAGCGCGTGCGACGGCGAACTTATATGAATATAGCACTTACAAAAGTTAGTATTGTTACGAAACAATGATCTTTTCATATTCCGTAATAATCTAATAAGACATATTAGACAAAAACTAGAAAACACCCGAGTGACGTTGCAAAACTTGTTTTAGGTGGTTGGTTCAGAGTACATACTCTTATACATATATTAACGTGTTCAAGGGAACGCCCTCTGTTACATAACATACTGTATACTCTGTGTTATCTACATTAATGAATCTTTAATATTTTGCAATGTTTGTATACATTATATACAGAAAGATATATTGTGAGAAGAAATGACGAATCTGATACAAATAATTTTCGTGTTTAATAACTTTTATTGTGAAAAATTCGGAAGTTGACTAGATATACTCTTATAAGCTCCTTACAATATGTTGCTTCTTTGTTTTCTCACCTGTGCCTGAGCCTCCGCAGCGACTCTGGCCCGCACCTCCTGTTGTAGTCTCCGTCGAGCCTCCCTCGCCTCCTGCTCCCTCCTCGCGCCAGCCCCCCTCCTCCCTGCTCGAGCCCGCCGCTGGTAGCCCTCCGCCCCTCCAGACACGGCTGCCGCTTGACGCACCGCAGACAACCATTGAAGACGACTCCTTAATACAGAAATATTATAAGGTTCAATATATAGAAGAAATTTGCTTGATAATATTGTATACTAGCTTCCCCCCGCGGTGTTACCCGCGGATTTCCGGGATATAAAGTAGCCTATGTGTTATTCCTGGACCTCAGCTTCCTGTATACCAAATTGTATCAAAATCGGTTCAGCCGTTTGAGCGTGAAGAAGTAACAAACATACACACACACAAACTTTCGCAATTATAATATTAGTAGGATTATAGAATGATATGAAGTGATAGTCGAAATATAAAAGTAAGAATTAGTGTTGGAAATATAGACATTAAATTTAATTAGATTAATTTTTTTATAATATAGTGTTATACACATAGAGAACTTCTATACAAGTTATTTCTGAAATAATATTATTGAAAAGTTTAAAGGAAACCCAAAAATTAAACTGAATAGAAATATTGATTAAGATAATCCTAATGGACCTTCTATGTATGATAATACAGCATTATAAGCAAAAAGCTAATAGGATTAAAGGTATTGCTTCAATACTGGCAACAGTTGTAAGTATATCATTTATGCACTTATAAATAAATTATTATTAACCTGATTATTTAAGATTAATTAAGAATTTTTGAGGACTTGGATGACATTTAATATGTTACACCGCTGAGTAACAATGTATTATGAAATAAGAAATACTCAAAAGATGCACTATGTACTAAAGAAACAAACTTACATTTAATTTAAAAATGAGTTATTATAAAATTTAGTTAACCAGTATAAAAAAGACACACGATTGTCTGTATACTCACTTGTGATCCTGAGTCCCAAACTCGAATGTCCTTTCTGGTGTGATCAGCTGAAAGCGTTGGATCTTTCCTTCTCCGACCGCAGCTTCAACTGAACAGTATTCATCGATAGCAATTCTACCACATTGCTCCTTCTGGGATGAGCTCTTATAGTATGTAAGAGCACAGGGCTGTAGAACACACCAATATTCTCTCATAGTTGGCAGAAGATAACCACGTTTGAATAGATAACCCTGGAAGGAAGGTCATATTTATATAACATCTAGTACGTGAAAAGTATTTGAGAGTATATATGTCATACCTTCTTAATGATATCCTCAATAAAAACGTCGTAGATTTCATCAACAGCTTCTACCAGTGCTGCTGAATGTAGCTGATCACAACAGTACTTAGCTTCAAGTACAGCGAGGAACGCTGCCCATTTAAAGTGACCTATCGAGGAGCCGAGAGCCTCCCAGTCTGCTGCGTCCCAACGGAGACCAAGACAATGGACCAGCTGCTCCACTATGATACCAGCCTCTGATGGTTGAAGAACCACCTGATATTTAGAAGAATGATACTCAATTTAGCAAATACTATCTTCTTCTTCTACCTAGCAATTTCCCAGCTATAGCCAGGGTCTGCCTTACATGTTGTGAATAGTTTTGGCTATTTGTTTTTACGACCCAAATACGATATTGTATACATATATAAAAGAAAGTTATGTTAGTTACACTATTTATAACTCAAGAACGGCTGTAGTGATATGGTTGAAAATTGGTGGAGGGATTGCTTAGAACTAGGAGACGAACATAGAATATTTTCGATCGAAAAAGAAACTTAATAAATTTCAATATCTGGCCATTTATAGCCTGTAGGACGGAATAGAATTCGCGCGGTCAGCTTTACATATATCAACAATTCCTAAATTAACCCGGACGAAGTCGCGGGCAAAAACTAGTTATATAATATATATTTAATGACCTTTTCCCATTCTGAATGAGGAAAATGATTTCTAAATATAAGTAAAGACGCTGTTCATGATAACAATAAATGGATATAACATACATATAATATTTATTTGTCTCAATACATTCTTGCAGTGTTTCGTCTATGTGACAATGTTAAAAGTAAATTTCTTAGAAGTTACTTAAAGCTTATTTCATCCCTACTAATATTATAAATGCGAAAGTAACTCTGTCTGTCTGTCTGTTACATTTTCACGCCTAAACCACTGAACTGATTTTAATGAAATTTGGTACAGAGATAGAATTGACCTTGAGAAAGAACATAGGATAGTTTTTATCCCAGACTTTTGAAAGGTTCTCTTGGAAACGTGATATAACCGAACTCCACGCGGGCGAAGCTGCGGGCGGAAAGCTTGTAGTTTATAAGTAAAACTTATAGCATATACTTAAAATTAGAAGCTATTTATCATAAGTGACTTAATTAAACTACATTAAAATAAACAACTAGAACATTGAACTGTTGTTATTGTTAACATCTGCCAACCATGTGTCGGGAGAAAAGAATCAAATAATACTTCAATGTGTTATGGAGTGTGAAATGAAGAAAGATAAATAAGACTGTTGTTATAAAGATATGAGATAAGATCAAGGACAAGTTTAAGATAAACGATAAATATATTGTATTAAGATCTGGAGGAGAAATTAAAAATATGTACATACATATATGTATATTATACTCAAATATGTTATTATTTTACGATGATTGAAATTAAACTCAACTTCGTGTAAATTACGACAAAAAATACGCGAATTATTTCATGAAATAGATATTGTTTTAAATGAATAGGTATTCCCAAAAATATTAATAAATTTCGTTAAGAAAAGCCTTGAATTAGTTGGACGTTTGTTTTATTATTAAATGTGTATGTAGTTTTGGACTTACCATGTAATGATTGGTATCATCAGCATCTTGAACTAAATCAGCGAGCAAACAGAAGATTCTGAACAGCTTGAAGACCGAATCATCGCTGAAGACGGGTTTGTCTCTCGTCAGGAGATGTTTCTTACAAACAAACCAACAAACCTGGAAATATTACATAATTATAAACACCCTTAATTCCCTTTTGTACTGTCACATGTACCAAGAGATTGTATAGACGAAATAAACACAAACAGTTTAAAAATTAATTAATATAGATCAGCCTATCAGAGCCCGCTACTGAGCAAAGGCCTCTTCTCACATGGAGAAGATTTGAACATTAATCACGCTTGCTCAAGACGGGTTTGTGATTTCGAACTTATTATTTGAAATTATAATGCAGGTTTTCTCACGATGTATTCTTTCACCGTATGTCAGTGGTGTCTATATATTCTAAGAAAGTACATATGACTCGAAAAATCACATTCTTACTTGTCAAGTCTCAAATCCGCGCCCCATGCATGAGGCGGGCCTTTAACCACTAGGCAACCACGACTACTACTATGACTACTACAACTACTACTATGACTACTACTAATACTACCATCACTACTTAGTACAGTAGTCTGTATGAATGCAAAACTCGTTACTGTCCGTATCGAGTCAGGCTACGCAAACTTCTATTAAGGTATAGAACAGGTAACTTACCTCACTGATTTTCTTCTCGTATTCCCTCGCGACGGGTAAGTTAAGTACTTTGGGTAGCGAACTGAACACTTCATGCTGTAAGTAATATCGAAATTCATCGAAGGTTAGTTCCTGGGAGGACTTGTAGTGATCGAGACCTTTCTCCACGCCGTAGAGATCTAGTAACGTTCCGAGGTTCGCTGTTAAAACCTGAGAAATAAAATAAAACCACTGAGAATTTGTCATCCATTATACTATCGTAACTTTCAACTACGTAGGTAGTATTTAATTTTTAACGTTGTTCAACTAGGTATGTGTTATTGTCTACTTTTATACTAATAATTTAATGCTAACGTCAAAGGCATAATGACAAAAATTTAAAATTACCTTCCTGTAAAGTACCTTCTACACGTATATTTTGTTAATCCATACGTATTAACCATTTAAATGCAATAATCTCATCTTATTTACCATACGTAGTCGTTACCACCTTTGTACAAACTTACTACTTACCCTAAGTACGGACGTACTTTTTACACTACATATTGACTATCCGTCAAGAGTTTTTCACTTATAAATCGTCGTAAGCAAGCTTCGTGTCATATGTATGCAAGGTAGGGCTAAACATACTATATTATATGTGAGATAAAACTGAATAAATAGAAACAAAAAACAAAACATATTTAAATATAAAAAAACTAGCTTTCCGCCCGCAGATTCGCCCGCGTGGAGTTCGGGTATATCATGTTTTCAAGAGAATCTTTTAAAAGTCTGGGATAAAAACTATCCTATGTTCTTTCTCAAGGTCAACTCTATCTCTGTTCCAAATTTCATTAAAATCAGTTCAGTGGTTTAGGCGTGAAAGCGTAACAGACAGACAGACAGAGTTACTTTCGCATTTATATTATTAGTAGGGATTATGTCCAGTGCTCTCCTTTAAATAATTGCTCTTGCTATTTTTATTAATAATGATAGTCTATGACCTATGTATATTAATGTGTCCCATTAAAGCTCGTTGACTCATACCCAGAAAGCTCATTCATATTACAGTCATGACAAAGGATCACAGGCAATTTAAGCTAATGAGTTCTAAGCAAACAGCGTATCTTTGTGACGATGTAGTAATGCGAGGAGCTATTTTGGGTGTCTATGTCGTTATTTCTCTCTAGTTATCGTAAAAGGATGTATATTTTGTAATTTTTTGGTGTAGTAGTAATCTTGTAAAAATGTTCGTACAATTTGTTATAAGTATTTCCCAACAATTTTTTTTTGTAAATGTTTTTACGGTTCTGGATACGAGTTCTTTTGAGATTTAAAATTGTCAATCAAGAATGTTGCCACAATATATTAATAAATGTGACAAATTTGAGACCACATCCAAGTGTCCAAACTGTCAAAATAAAATTATTTATAAAACAATATACTTATATGGTGAATAAATGGCGGTAAATATTGTTTTATTCTACTAACAAACCTTTTTTTCATGTAATGATTTTCTATTTTTTACCCAAAACCTGATATATAAAAAAACTGTTAATTTTTCTAGTTTATTTTGACAGTTGCCTGTAAACTTAAAAATTCTACAACTTACTATTAAATTTTAAATAAATATACATAAATATAATATATTGTGATCTATCAAATCCTATCGAAAGTATAGATATTTTATTAATTGAAGAATTCTAATTTTCAATATTTATATATGATTTTAATTACTGTCCTTTAGTACGAATACAAAACTTTAGTCAGTGGTGGCCTAGTGATTAAAAGGCCCGCCTCTCTTGCTCGAGGGCGCGGGTTCGATCCTGTCAAGTACCAATGTGATTTTTCCAATGTACTTTCTGAGAGTATTTAGACAATTATAAGTTTTAACAACAGCATTCCCAAAAAGGGTTGATGTCAGGCAGAAGCGGGCAGGTCGTAAAACGATTAGACAAAAATAAAAAAACTATCTACAACATGTTAGGCAGACCCTGGCTAAAGCTGGGAAATTGCCAGGAAGATGATGTATGAAAACAAAACTTTTATCCGTATTTGGGCATTAAGTTAGCGTATTTGCACTATAGGGTACGAAGCGTATACCGTTTATAACTCAATAACTCATACAATATACATTACATATTAACGCCCCATACGTAACGTGGTGATATCAACTTAGACTAAGCATACTGATGATTTATTAATTCAAAACGTTACTATCGGATTTAACGTACTTTGTTAAAGCTAAGACTAAGGTTAAATGAGTAAATTTTATTTACATTACTCAAAACTTAGAGATAAGTCCGCCTTTTTGCTTGTTTTTTCTATTATGTTATTTTCTGTCTTGTTTTAGTGCAATAAAGGATATATTATTATTATTATTAACTTACAAAAATAAGTTTACTTTTTAGTATATTTTAAATTACAGGTTACGTCTTTTCACGGGAATTAACATTGAAATTTACAGAGTAAAAAACTTCCATTGCAAGTGACGCTTGATGTTGTCGTAATTGTTTAAGCACGTCAAACGACCTTACGAAGGACCTCTCACAGCTTGTGACCTTAGCTTTTTCTTTCTACATTACTGTGAGAAAATTCTGGAAATCCTCGTTAAAGATTTTTTTATCTAATTCACTATACAAAAATTGTGTAGTTTTTCTTAATATTAAAACCTCTTTCATAGTAATTTATTTCTGCGTCTAAACAGCTAATAGTATTTGTCTTAATAGTTGCTGGTGTCTCATATGGACGCGGAATAATTTTGCATTTTAAACAAATACCAGTAACAGATCCGCACAGGATGTTGCGTATACATATTAGTCAATAGCTACTTATTTTTTTAATGGATAAATTTTTATTAAAGAAAATATTGAGAGTAATTTAAAGCATTAATCTATACTAATATTATAAAGCTGAAGAGTTTGTTTGTTTGTTTGTTTGAAAGTGCTAATCTCCGAAACTACTGGTTCGAATTGAATAATTCTTTTTGTGTTGGATAGTCCAGTTATCGAAAAAAGGCTGTGGGCTATATAATATCACGCTACGACCAATAGGAGCAAAGATATAGTGGTAAATGTGTAAAAAACGGGAGAAATTATTTCATCTTTGAAGCCTTCCGTTGCGTGCGCCGTGAAAACGATTCAAGATACCCAAAAAATATGTATTAAAGAATAATAGCTCTTTTAATGGCCTAAAAAACAGTCCGCGACAGTATATGTCTATCTTTTAAGATTTACTCACAAAAACCGTTTTTATGGTACTTAATTTGGTCGAAATAATTTGTTAAAGTTGTATCAACATACTAATATTAATCTTTATTCAAATAAACCAATAAATATGTTGTTGGTTAAGAGTACTTCATTGTGAATTAAAAAAAACATAGGTTTTATCCCGAAAATTCTATGGGAACTCGACCATTCCGAAAACCCCGCAAGAACGCGAACTATGTTGGAAGAACCAAAAATCTGCCGGAAGTCACTATTCCACGCGGACGGAGTCGCGACAAAAGCTAGTATATAATAAAACGTAGGTTTAAGATGATATTGTGTTGCCAGCCCTCAGAGTGTCATTAATTATGGCGGGTAAATGTCATTAATGTCAGAAATATTTATTTGCTTTACAAAGTAAGAACTTATTTTAGGGTTGCTATCGGTCTGGTAAAAGGCTAAATGTCTTTTAATTTATCAATAATTCATATATATTTCATAGAAAGAGAATGTTCATAAAGTTCATAAGTTATTGATCTAGAAAGTCTTTCATTGTTGCGTAAATACTAAATAGTAATATATCTTATAGGTATATGTAGAAATATTTCTTATAAAATATATGTACAGCCTGTTAAAGGAATTTATTACACACATACAGGATAGGTGACATGTAGTCGATTGAAAAAGAAATCTTTGAAAATAAGAGGCATTTTAACGATACATTTTATGAGAAAAGTAATTAGTCTAATAGTGCTTAAATATATGCATTTAAATATTCTTTCGTTCGTTTTTATAAAAATAAATACTTCATAATAACACATAAAAATAAATACTTTAATAAATATTTATTTTATATAAAACCTTATCTATAGTCAGTCAGTTAACGTTAATGTGCAGGTAAATATGCAATTTGAATATAAATAAAGCTAAGATTGTTATCGATTTCAAGTCATTTATGTCTACAATTAATTGACATGCCGTCAATAATAAATTGAGTTTTATTTTTATTATAACAAGTTATTTTAAATTTTTATATAATTATACAGTAGGATACATAGTAACTATATTATAAAAAAATAGCGAAAATATTTCATGACATTTTTAATACATCCTATTGAAAAATCTGTATAGGTTTGGATAAATTCTGTTTTCTCCAAACGAACTTTCAAATTCGCTATTAAAAATTAAGTTATAAAATTTCCACTTGTTATTAAGAATTATTTATCGTGGTAAACAAATTAATATATTTTTATTATTTCCGTCTGCTACATGCATTAACCAGATATATGTATTTTCAACTTCAAATGTTACTGTGTCAGCCCTTAGCTAATGTCAACGGACATAAATGACGCGTAACTGCGTCAAGTCACGAAAGAACTGTCAACTGTGAACCGACGGAGCGATGGCCGGATGACATATTTAATTACATTCGTTTTATTATCATTTGACACTAGTATTAATCTAAAAAGTAATTAATTAACAAGTATATGTTCATATAAGTTGATAGCTTGATGGGTAAGTTTTACGAAATATAATACCGCAAATAGTGTGTATCTCAACTGTAGTCTACGGAACCAATATCGTTTTATTTATAGGAACATTGGACAATAAATGTAGAATAGTAATCAACAATTAATTACTTAGAAATAATGGCTATAACCAACGAACAAAATAGGATAATATTTCCATTTACTTACAAGCTAAACGATTAACGTAAAACATAAGAAATTTGGGATAAAATTTTTATGTAATCGTCTGGACAAATGTGTGGTGTACTTAAGCCAAGTTACCACGAGCTTGCAGGTAACTGATATTTATATTATATTACCGTAATAACATTTTAAGTATACATTATGTTTTAGGTTAGCGGGTCAAGGGAAGCTGGTGACGTCACTAACCTTCGATCGGGTCATGAAATGAGATACTGTACATAGTGATTCATATTTTTTGGTTCGCCTACCTGTATTGTCCTCTATATATTAATTCTATATAAACGTTATATGTACGTACATTTCATATACAGAGTGATGCAAATATCATACTGACTTTTCTTTTATGGGTTCAAAATTTGATTTAAGAATATAAAGATTGTATGAGTATATCTAGAGTGCGAATTTAATGTTATTAATTTTAATTAAAATATCTTTTACCATAATATTCTCCATATAATTAACATGTTATAAATAAATAATACATGAAAAAAAATATTATTGCAACAGTTCTAACTAAATAAGTTCAATGTTTCACCAAAGTGAAGGATATAAAGTTTTATCTTCCGGTTCCGCCGCCCGTCTGGCCGGCGCCTCCGAAGGCTAGCATCGCGACAACCCTTATATTGGCAATAAAAATATCGCCACGAATAATGGCTTTATAGACGCCAACAACTATACTGCTTAATATTATGACGTATGAAATAAAATTAAAAAAAAGAATAAAAGTATGTAATTCAAAAAAAGAGTAAAATTTAAAAAAAAGAATAAAAGTAATTTAAAAATGGAATAAAATTAAAAATAAAAATAAAAGTATGTATGTAATTCAAAAAAAGAAAAGGATTTAAAAAAAATCGTTGTTTTTTTTAAGTAATGCTATTGACCTATTATATATTTGGCTGTATCAGATGAACTTGTTATAATTTGATAACTACAAGATTGAATTTCGAGTTCATTGGCTTCTAAACGTAAGACACGAATGTGTTGTACGAATTAAGTAGACTAAAAAGTTTTTATATATAAAATGAGAAATAATTCAGAATAGCACAATAATATGTATTTATTACTATTAAAACTATTGCAATTAATGCATGTTAATTTCATCAAATATTGTACGTGAAATGAATAATTTAATCTTTTAATTTTCTCTTAAACATGTCGTCATTACATCACGTTGGCTAGAATTGTGAATCATTGTGTACATTATAACGAAAACATCAAACAGTGCTAAGATGCAAGCAATAAAACACAAAATAATGTTCAAATAGGATTAAAACAGAAATTAATAAAGTATTCCTACTAGAAATAATATTTTTTAATTTTTCATTACTTTATGACTATTTACTTTAGTTTCTATAAATTAAAAAAAAACTTATTAAATGTCAAATATTACTTAATACTTACAGTCTTTAATAAAATTGTTATACTGTTATAGTTTGCCTTAAGGCTTAAATGACCGTGAGAATAAAAATAGAATGTGTACAAATAACAAACCTTTAACTTGGATTTATGCACCACTTCATTATTTTGCAATGAGTCAAATGCGTGCCAGATGCAATTCGTAACATTTTTTAACAATGCAGACATCATTTAACACTAACACCATTTAATAAATTATTTAAATTTCAAACATGCGTTTTATTTAATATTTTTTTTTAATTTCAATATTCTTTTATCGATTATTACGATCGTACCAAATAATTTTAAGTCTTTGTCTTATCGTAAAATTTAAAACGTCAAACGCGTGCGTTCTTCGCGCTGTTTTTATTCGAACTAATCTGCTGTACAGCGATTGGCTCGTATCAAAGGAAGCGGGTGAAGTTGAACTGAGTTCAAGATAAAAGTTCTACTTACAAATATATTCAATTATAATTTGATATATCATGTTGTTAAACTAATTATAGTTTTGCTATACATATATAATAAAACCTATTTGATTATTAGTAGGGTAATTATGGTGTGAATATCAGATTTTTAAACGTAATATTGAGTTATGACATTTCGTTGATAGAAAATATGTTTTTGATATTTTTTATAACAAAAGGACGAAATTCGAATATTACGTCCGTCAAATAAATAATTCTTTAGTTCCAAACGTATCATAACAATCTAATAGCACTTTAGACGATAAGAACGAAATAGTATTTATAATGACATTAAAAAAAGATTATGAATAATTAGAAATTAATAACAAAAGTTGAATGTTAGTTATTTGTATTTTATTTTAACAGTAAGTATATAAGTGAATATATACGAAAAAATACGAAATACTAAGAGTCAAATGTATTGTTTTAATTGACATGTATTTTACATATTTTAATATTTAATACAAAGTTTTAGAGTAAATTAAAAAAAGAATCATAAAGGTACCGTTTTAATAGTTGTTATTATAACATACTTCGGTAACTCAACAAACTATGAGAATTAATTGTTCTTATGAATTCACATATGAACGGCATTTAGGAACCAACACCACGAATACTTTCATCAACGTACTTAATAAATACTATTGTAGGGCTTTACGATGCTTTATATAACTAAGTACTTCCTTAAAATTAATATTCATTACTATAAATGTTTATATTGTGTTCATTAATTAAATAATGGAACTGAATCGTATGAAATGGTATAATATATTGATAAAATAACAAAGGATTTTTTTTTGTATAAAACATTGCTGGATCGTTATCAGAATTCGAGGAAAAATAATAGGTAATGCAATTAGGAACCGCTTGGGATATTTAATTGTTAAAATGCATATATTACGAGTCTAACTGTAAATGTGTTTATAATGACGTAATATATTTAAACTCCGTGGAGGTAACTTTTGAAGGATTATTAACAGTCAACATGTAAGATATTTCTGTGACGAGTTAGGTAAATAAAAATAAAAAAAATAAATTATGAAAGTAGGTTTTATATGTTATTCAACTGTTCTTAATTAAAATAATATAATTATTTTACATCAATCAACAAAGACCATGACCTGTTTATATATTCGTACCGAAGTAGGAGAATGACGTCTCAGAGGACGAAGACCCATTGAAGTGTTAAAAATGGCGCCCGTCCAACTATTATTATATTACTCATCATATTGAATGTTTTGCCTTAAACGTTCACTGACTCAGACACTTGTCTTGTGGCCGTATTCAAATTATACTGATTGGTGAAGTTAATAAATGCACCAGCAACCAATGTTACTGGCAACATTGTAGACTTAGATTGTCATTTAATATATATAACCTCTTTGGACAATAATTATTAAAAATCATATAAATATCTATGACAAATGTTAACGCAAATTATTTCAAAATTCGAGTCAAATGTATAGTAATAAAATCGCGTGTAAATACATAGTCCTCTAATAATTAAAGTTAATTAAACCTGCAGCTTTCATTACGTATTTCAACGTATATTTTGTTAATGAATATTTTAGTTTGTTGCCTGTGTCTGTCCAATCGATCATTGTTCGAAGTTGTCTTCAATCATGATTTAGTCTTATTGATGTCTACCGCGAACTTGTAACATAATTAATATTTTAGCCTTTGGGAAATCATAGTAGGTACAAATTTTTTTATTAACTAAAATAATGCATAATTCAATTTCTATGTCAAACAACTCATCTCAAATCCAATTTATTTTGATTTTAAACAATATCTATAGTATGAAAGACGCAATATAATTTTTCCCATTCTTTTAGTACCTACTTATAGTAAGTATACACCAAAACCGCTCTTGTATGGGATTGGTTAAAAGAAAAATTCTATATGAACTACAATGATAGTTATCAAAAAAATCGGGGGCATGAGTCGAATACAAAAGCTCCTTATGTAGTCGTATTAATACTCTTAGTAGAAGGCAGCTAATAAATGTTCGCTTTCTCGACTAATAAGCGGTATATTAACCAAGTTAGACCTAAACTTACGTTCGTAATGTCGCTTATAAAATATGAATTACTTATTTTAAGCATTTTTTTGTGGTATATATATTTATACGAAGCTTAATTAATGAAAATAAGACTTTTAAAAGTATTATATTAGACAATAGTATCTCGTATTATCCGAAGTTGTTAGTTAAGGTCGATTTCAACAATCATCGGAACTAGTAATGTATTGTTATTAGTTGTAAGAAAGGAAGTTGCTCCAAACCTAAATTATAAGAAAAATACAATAGTAAGATCTAAAGTACGTAAAAAATATTTATATAGAGCTGACAATTCCAACATATAAGAAACTAGCTTACCGCTCGCAGCTTCGCCCGCGTGGAGTTCGGTTATATCGCGTTTCCAAGAGAACCTTTCAAAAGTCTGGGATAAAAACTATCCTATGTTCTTTCTCAAGGTCAACTCCATCTCTGTACCAAATTTCATTGAAATCAGTTCAGTGGTTTAGGCGTGAAAGCGTAACAAACAGACAGAGTTACTTTCACATTATAACATTAGTAAGGATTTTCAAGTTATATTTTAATGAGATTTGTTCAAAAACATATACAGACGCTAACCAAAAACTGCAAACCAGTTTCTTGATTTATATCGACTTAGACAAATATGAGGTACGGTAATTGTCTACATATAAGTCGATACAAGATCGTGAATCTCTGTTATTAGTGCGGAATGAATCATAGAAACGGTATTATAGAACGCGGTGATTCTGGAGGCCGATTAACCAAATAGCCCTCCAGGAACCATCTGATAAGCCCATATTAGTGTAGGTCAGATATGCAAATTACTTCTATCGGAAGTCATTGAAGGTTCCGTAACCATATTTGTAAGTGGCGGCCGTAAACTTTCAAATAGCTTTGGTTTATAACAAATAATGTTATATCTTATAATATATAAAATACTCGTGTCACAATATAGTTCCCATAATATGTCATATGTCAGTGGTGGCCTAGTGGTTAAAAGGGGCCCGCCTCTCGTTGCCGAGGGCGCGGGTTCGATCTTGGCCCGGGAAAGTACCAATGAGATTTTTCCGAGTCATATGTACTTTCTAAGAGTATTTAGACATCACTGATTTATGTTGATTCCCAAAAGAGGGTTGATGTCATTCAGGCGGCCGGTCGTAAAAACATATAGCCAAAACTATTCATAACCTGTAAGGCAGACACTGGCTATAGCTGGGAAATTGCCAGGTAGAAGAAGAATATAGTTCCCATACTCTTCCGAATCGGTTGGTTACGATCCTAATGAAATTTTGTGAGCATATGGAGTAGGTCTGAGAATCGGCCAACATCTAATTCTCATACCGCTAACTCATAAGGTTTGTTGACACTTAATTTTTTTTCGGACGAAATTTTTTGGTTTTAATTTTTATAATGTAGCATTCAAAAATACATACAACCCAAAATTTACTTTTTTATCACCTACCCCTATTTTTTATATGGCAAAACGTTTGCCGGGTCAGCTAGTAATTTATAAAATAATTTTATTTCAATAATATTTATATGTATGGGTTCTATAAATAAAACAGTGATGTCTTTGGTAAGTTTATTGATCCATATACATCTACACATATAGACACGTAAAATGACGAAACTATCGATACATAGAATGAACGTTAAACGCACAGTAATCATGAAAGCTCAATATTTAATAAACACATCAAATTACTACACTACCGATCATAATTATTACGAACAGCTCATGGGATACCATATAAATTACTTGCAAAGTAAATTTTAGTATGGCAACACAAAACACTTGTCATTTCTGACGTCATCGTAACGTTCAGAAACATGAACTGTTCAAATAATTAATAAAAATTTTAACGACAAATACCTCAAAATTACATACTAATTATCAGCGAAAGCATAATTTTATGATGAATAAATTTTTTAAATTATGAAGAGTATTAAGTACTTTCCAATCTACCAAACCAGATCCCGCGTCTTAATTAATTAATTAATAAAAAAAACAATACAATTGCTGCAATAGAATACACAGCAATGGAATGTGAGCTAAATAAAAATTAATTATAATAATATTCATTATAGCGTATCAAATTACATCGTCACGTCATTAAATTTATGAAACGCCATAATAAAACATACAAAACCGTACAAAAATAATCAAAATACCAGTATCATTTACGAACTATACAAAAAAAAATAATTTAAATTAAATACATCTAGATAACGGAACAATGTTTTTTTATTAACAATAATTATATTAAAAATAAAACAAATAGTGCGTCCCCCGTTCTTAATACATCTAACATCTAGAACATTGAAACATGAAGATTATGGGAGCATATATCTGTATAGATTATCTATGGGTTGACTAGTGTTGTCACAGAAACGGTAAAACTATGAATAATGACATTTATAGTGCCGCCCCACCGACATGAACCGAAATCGGTCACCGGTTAAAGAATTTAGGGAGGGGATTTTTTTAATGTTTTTTTTCTTATTTTTCATGTCACACTCCCAATAAATAGCTTCCCCTTGGAATGTTTTGATGTGGAATCGAAATTCATTAAGGGTCGGAGGGAAACGTTTAATATAATCTGTGGCAAATAAATCAAGCTGTAATGGGAAATGGCGGTAAATATTAAGTACCTAATAATTATATATTATATTTAAATAAGGAATATATTGTGCGTTTTCTTTAAACAAAAGAATATATATAAAAAATTAAAAAATACTTGGTCCACAAAATGAATACTTAATCGGGATATAATACAGATTATATATCAAACATGGATGGATATCTGCTTAATGGATTTAATAAAACAAAAATATAAAATATTAAAATACAAAATTACAAGACTATGTATAAAGGATCACAATCTTTGATAAAAATGTCCATATAATATAATAAAAAAAATAATTCATCTTATTCATATACGTAATGGGTTATAAATAAATTATGTATGTATATCATAAACATCAGTCTCGAATAAAAAATTCGAAAATAGTAAAAAATTAATAGGGACCCTGTACACTGTGTATAATCGAATTTCGATTCCACATTTGACCTTGAAATCGGTCGAAGGACAATTAAAGCTTTTATTAAATTCAAAATAATCCACTGATATCTCAAGTCTATATAAAAACTCTTTTGTTAATTTTCTTTCTGGCATACTCGGTGACTTAATTCTCGTCTGAAATATATGATTTTGTTCGTCATATTTGATTAAATATATATTTAAAACATTTCCAAGGAGTTTACGTCCCGGTGACCATTTGTATGTAGATCCAGTGAATATAGCGGTGTGATTGGTATAATGATGAAGAATAGTTTCTATAGTGAGAGAAACGTGAGTTGATAACAGATTTACTGTAACAGATCCATTCTTTAATACACGCAACGATCCAAATACATATGGAATTGAAACACAAATAAGTAATACACACGTTTCCTTGTAGTTAGAACTGTAAAATTGTTTCATTCGGAAAACAATATACAAGTTTAAATCTCCAATAACCGAATACTTGTAAAATCTGATCAGATAGAATTTATTAATAATGGATCTATTAATGTATTCAGAATTCGCGAAGTATAGATTTTGTATATAAGATATGGATTCATGCGGGCGGGTGTAGCGCGGGTGGGCGCGCTAGGCGGCGGGGGGCGTCCGGCGACGGCAAGCGGGTCACCGCGGAGCGCCGCGCCCACGACGTCCTCGTCCGGGCTTCCCGCGACGATTGAAGCCGCTTCACACAAATACTTGGATATAATGATTTGAATATGGAACACTAATATAGATGGGAAACATTGAGGCACCGAACCACTCTATTCTGCCAATGTGTGAAATACTAACATACGAAACCACTTCATTCTGCCAATATTTTATTATTGCAGAAGAAAAAAAGGATAACATTTTTTTTTGCAATAATAAATAAATAATGTTAAAAAACATAGAGTATAGAAATAAAATATTAGTTTCTATATAACTTTCTTTGTTTCAATTATAAATACTAATAAAAAAAAAAATTGCGCTTCAGCAAATTTATTCCATTAAAATATGTTTGTCAAATATCTCGCGATCGCTGATGCAAGCAGGGGCAAATTCCTATCTAATCTCGTTGACTCTTTAAACAAATATTTGTAGTTAAATAATAATATTAAAATCTCTTTATATGTCAAATCTTACCGGTATGGTCCACTGTAAGGCTGGGCCTTCTCAGGGTTCTCAGCTGAAGTACTCGGTACAGCGCGGTTCGCCTCGGCCTTTGCCCCTTGAGTTCCACTTGTGGAAGCCTTTTCCTGGATATAATATTAAAATAATAATTTCATACAATATTTCAACCATAATTCATTAAATACTCTTCACTTCTTCTTCCTGTCAATTTCCCAGCTTTAGCCAGGGTCTGCCTTACATGTTGTGAAAAGTTTTGGCTAATTGTTTTAACGACCGGCCGCCTGTCTGACATCAACCCTCTTTTGGGAATGCATTAATCAGTGATGTCTAAATACTCTTAGAAAGTACATATGATTTGGTAAAATCACATTGGTACTAGCTCGGGCCAGGATCGAACTCGCGCCCTTTATACATGAGAGGCGGGCCTTTTAACCACTAGGCCACCACTGACTATTGAAGTTGACCTCTTCACTCTTCTCAGTATATATGTATTACCAGATCAATTAATAATTGTTTACAAACAAAATAATCACCTTATCAGCTGATGTGGTAATAGTAAGTAGTGGTGGGCCATCATCACCCATTCCTACAACTCCACCTCGGGCAATCTGACGCTCCAATACTTCAGACATACTACGCTGCAGAGCCTAATACAATAAACAACATTAATTATACCACAGATTAAAAAAATATTAATTATCTATATGCTTCAATAACTGAACAAAAAAGTTTTTAATGTAATGTATTAGTTATGCTTGCTCGATATTGTTAAATAATATGATGTCAAGTAGTAGTAGGTACATTACTTTATAATATTAGTCTCTGTAATTCAGTTTGTTACTCAGCACAATACATACATGACAAAGTTAATATCGTTTTATGGAATACTACATGTAGGTAAATTTTAATCAATATTTCATACAGTTCAAATGATTACCTTCATCTCTGGAGTTAAACGGAAGGGAGGTGCATCCAGAGATTCAACTGGTGGCGGAGCTTGTTCTAGAACCTTCTCATCGAAGGACACAACATTGCGACAAACTGGACAAGTTTGCTGGAAGGATATATGAATTATATTATAACTGTTATTATATTGAATAGTTATATATATAGTTTAGTTAGATGTATAACATTACCTGATATTCCGGTGCTTGAGCTCGTTGCCAGTTCGGAAGTTTGTCCATCTCTTCTTCATAATATTTCCTGCTGTTTACGAGGTGCTTGTGGAAACAGTGGCTGTGGAAGTGATGGTAGCATGGCGTCTTCACGAACACATCCCCCTTCACGAAACCGTGGAGACAAATCGCACATTGCCCACGGGGTAGATTGCACGCTGTTAGATACTCACGAACAATCTAAATAAACAATGGATATGAGAAGACATAGTAGAAATATATTTTGTAAGAAAAATATTAAAATATATGCAAAAATTGGCAAAACAAAATTGTTAAGTACATTATTATGTATTAAATTTGTAGGTTGCAAAATATTCACTTCTATATTGTTTATTACTGTCAGATTAATTGAATTTTAAAATAATTATAATGAATACTCATCACGATTATTTTATATAATTTTGATATTCTTTTATTACAAAAGAAAGAAAATAAATTTACCTCTATCAGTTCAAAAACAATTGGATTGCCGATATGTCTATCCAATTTATTTTTGATTCTTGAATTAATGTTGTTCAACAACTTGTCATCCAGGCCGCGGGGGTTCCTGAGGAACACCTCTGGGATAGTGTCGGGATAATCAGGAGACAACTTGACTTCTAAAGTCAAGCACACGTACTGTTGATCGATTTGATCTCCCGTTGAAGGGTGTACTACAGTTTCAATGATTCTAGGCACACCGTCTTCATGCTTAACAGCAAAATCTTCGATCAAAATGGCTTCTAGAGCTTCCAGTTCATCGTAAACTCTGAAAAAACACCATAATAAACACACAACATCGAAATAAAAACATTACGATAGTGATGAATAATTTAGAAATTGCGCACCGATTATCAATTGTAGCCGACATGGTGACGTCCGTAGGCTGCGGTAGAATGGCTGAATTAAATCTGGGCTAGGTCTCGAATAGGTTTTTTTGAGTGCATTCAGTTCAGGCAGGCGCAATGCAGTCGATGCAGCGAACAGCTGGCCCCTGGACCGATCCGACAAAAATCAATCATGCTAACCACAGATAATATACAAGCACACTAGCGCCACCATCGTGTTTTACAGATTATATATAATATTGTGTCATCTTTTTAGATAGTTATAATTTATAATAATTAATACTAAATGTATAATTTCTACATATATGTATTATTTTTCGGAGTATTTTGTTTTATTTATTAAGTACTAATGAAGATACGGTATATCGTACTTATAGATTTGCTATGGAGTTTGTAAGTAGTAAACTTACAAAGCAAGGACAAATGTTATTTATTATTAGCATATACAATTTATTGGTCACTACAAATGTAATTTTTTATTTACATACTGTATTGTCAGAAGTTAGATTTGTTGTCTATTTTCCTCTTAGGGGTTATTTTTGTTTATAAAATAATAATAGAATTCAAAATGTACCTACCTATAATGTAAACATTTTTATAATAATTTCTCAAATTATGTAAGGCTATAGACTAAGTTATTCAATAAAAAACTTTATGCTTTCCAATTATGTAGACTAGAAACTGAGCTCTCTAAGCTCTTAGATAATAAATTAGTGTTATATGGAAATTCTTACAAAATGTTTATTAATTACTTGACCTGACTAAAAAACGTTAAGACGTTTTAAAAATATTGTTTAAGTAATTTAAGGCATTAAAATATTACCCCAAGTGCATGATGATCCTCTGGAATTGAAGAAATTATTCTGATTTCTCAACAAACGTACATGTTTTACGTAGTGTGACGTGGCGGTTTGGGCACATATCCCTTTGTTCCATTTCCGGCATTGATTCAGACGGTGATGGTCATTGCCTTTATAAAGCCCTTTTTAAATATAAGGACCCCTATGACGTTTCTTTTATATGTAAACATCTCAATTATTGAGAACCCAGTTATTAATTAAACCGTGGTACAGTTTGCGAATCAATGACCACGATAGACTTTTTTTCAATGAAAGTCTTTAAAACTAAATGCTCATAGGTCGCTCATGTCCTTCACCTACTATTTATTGACATGAGCTTTGATATTGTGTTAGGATACATAAAAGTATGTTCATTATACTTTTTTTCCTTACACTTTCTTTCATTTAAACAGTTCATAAACAAATATATATTTGAGTCTCTTATTATTAAGTATATTAAGTTAATTTGTCCATTTATAGATCTCGTATATTCTTATAAATTTTTATGTAAATACATTATTTTTCATAGTGAAATGTAGGAATTGTGAAATGTAGCAAGCAATTTAAATTATAATACTCTTTTTTCTTTTTTTGATGATGCAGGGAAACTCTTTTCACGAGCCGACTAAGATAGTCCAAGCCGTCCGTAATAAGAAAGGGTAAATTAAAATACCCTTTCCTATTAGGGGCCATCCATAAAATACGTCACACTAATTTCATGAGTTTTTGAGCCCTCCCCCGTCCTTGTCACAGGTGGTCACATTTCTGAGACCCCCCCCTCCCTAGTGTGACGTCACATGTTTTGCAATTTAACATCGAAAAATTATTAAATTAAAACAGCAGTTCCGAAATTAGTTTTATTTCCATTTAAAATAAGCACTTTTTTAAGAAATCAACATAGTATCAAATATTTTAAATAATAAATAAACTAATGAATATATACAAGTATACATATATATAAGTATATGTGATGACGCGCTCAGTTTTAAAGATTTTAATTAATATTTCAAATTACGCGATTAGTAGCTCTAGATTTTGAAATGTGATGTCACGAAAGTTAGGAGCCCTCCCACCCCTTGTCACACCATGTCACACTTTGTCGACCCCCTCCCACCCCCTTTACGTGTGACGTACTTTATGGATGGCCCCTTACCTTTAATTCGATTTTCTTCAGTTCAGTTCGTAGTTAATTAAAAAAGAGACAAAGATAATAATATGTAGTAAGTTTGTGGCAATCTATAGTCTATATTATAGAGTTTCATTAATTATTTATCTGTAGCAAAAATATTTTCAAAAAATAATATTAAAAAAAATGTATTTACCCTACCACATTCTTATTAATACATTTCTTAATATTAGTGGTTTTTTATAATCAAAAAAACCAAAAGCCTGGTAAGTAAAAAAAGGACTATAAAAAATTGTATTTGTTTCAGTACGTAAAGTTTATTTAATTATTAATGTTTTTTATATTTTGTGAGCAAAACAAAAACGCTTATAAAAATATATTTTAACATTGATTAATGATTTTTCAACACATTTTAAATATATAACCTTTTATTGTGTCTTACCAGAATTACACTTAATTTTCTTTGACTTCGCCTTACCTTTAATCTTAATCTATTTTGAGTATTTAAGACATTATAAATTAGTAACATATATATTTTTTCTTAAAATATTGTAATAGTATCTTTGTTAATTCGTAAAAACTATAAATAATTGATAGTGGAAATATCATTTTCATAAATTATTCATAAATTAATTTAATAACCAATTTACCATTAATCAATCTTATGTTCAAGTATTAGGTAAACTTTTGGTAGAAATAAACAGTTGTTTTTTTGAATATTTACATAGCTTATCGATATGGTTACTTTATTTGTACTTAAATAATATTTGGCTGTGTTTTTGTTAGTCTTAAGATTACTCATACATTCATTTCAACATATTAATGTTTCGTAAAATTGTATGTATTATTATGTTATTATTTTTGTCGTTATTATTTTCCTCTTGGGTTTATGGATACTGTGGAAGTCTCTTGACCAAGGCTGGATTCTAATGTGCTACTCGTACTGCTATGGTGTAACTTAGGGACAATGGGACTGGGAGTGAGTCTGAAAAAGAAAATCCTATAGAAGAATGAAAAACACAGAAATGATAAAGATTCTTGGTATAAAATTACCTTGCTTTCAATTTCCTATAAATTTTTCGTTTCCATACAAAAATGAGGAATATTGCCAATCCCATGAGGACGTTGTAGGCGTCTGTGTAAAGCCATATCGTGAGTTTAGGAGTGAGGAAGCTGACCACTTCCAATAACCAGTTTATTCCCATAATAACAGATATCTTCAGATATACCATCAATCTATAGGAAAAAAAAACACATATGTAGAAACTCATTACCATTCAGAAAAATGAAATTAAGTTAATGAGATCTAAGACTTTCGGAATTATTCATTTAAAAGAAACTAATATTTTTGGATTACTTTGCGAATTCTTTTTAAAATTTACATACTCCGGACTTTTCGGTTACTTTGCAGCAACCGTGATCACCGTTTATTCCAAATTAAGTTTTCATTCTAAGCATGATAATACAATAGTGTTATTTATCACCACAACTGTGTTTATTATAACAATTCTAACTTGGTCTTATCAAAGATAATATACCTGTTTTTCTGAGAGCGATGAGTTGAATTGAGAATGGCTGTACCCCGAACCAATCGCCATATATTAAATGCTGTCATTAAATAAAACATCCAATTGCAGAGTATAAGCACCAACATTGGTATATAGAGGTATACGAATTTCTGGCCACCTGGAAATAAATTACTTATTAATTAGAATATTGTATATATCAGCTTTAATGACGGATGAAACTTGAAAATAACGAGGCTGTCATCAATTATTATAAAAACTTAATGGTAGTCAATATTATTGTCAAAAGTAAAACGAAATCAAGTACTGTTTCAAAGGAGAATAGAACTACAATGTTTGAATATTGGTATAAATATGACGTCTGAACGCACGACAGCAGAGTTCAGTTAGTGCGAGCTATTGAAGAATGTGATTATGAAGATACTTCGAGAAATACAAGAACATTTAGAACAATTGAAGTTTCATTTTAAAATATCATGGAACGTATTGAAAGAAGTGATATTAGTGACGTCAGCGAGGCTGGCGTCTCCTTTAAAAACCACGAATTTTTATTAAATCCGATATATATGAAAAATAATTTTATTTACCTTCAATAAAACATCCAAATTTCGGAATTTGTGGTGTAATTATCCAAGGGTAGTGTCTTAAGTCCATACTGTTCACAGTCATAAGACCGATTGTCATCAAAGTGGGCACTCCGTAAGCGTAAAGGCAGTACATTATAAACTTAAAACGCACACCTTTTCGATGAATTGTGCGAGCTTTAGCGTATCCGCTGTAAATAGTTCCTTTTGTGTTATATATAAGTATACATGTAATTTATTTTATAAGACACTAGTTTTCGCCCGCGACTTAGTCCGTGTTAATATCGGAATTAGTAATATATGTATAGATGACCGGGCGAAATCCATTGTGCTCTTGAGGTCATATATAACCAGATATATTGGAATTTATTGTTTGTTTTCTTTTTAGTTCGAAAAAAATTAAATATCCTATGTTAGTCTCCTGGTTCTAAGCTATCTCCCCACCAATTTACAACTATATCTCTACAGCCTTTCTCGAGTTATAAATAGTGTAAATAAAACAACTTTCTTTTATATATATAGATAAATGATAACATACCGAAAAGTCCACCAAATATCATACGACATTATGTTCATCCAGCAGAATGTCGACAAAAAGAAAAAGTAACACATGCCCGCTGTAAACGAGAAATAGTTTGAAATAATCGGTGCTACAGAAATCCATAGAAGTTATTGGAAACACTTACTCAATACAATGCAGGATAACACGTCCATGCCAATCAATTGGAGGCAAGCCAATATTATAAAAGCTGCTCCGAGACTGAAAACATAAGCCATCAGAACAAGACCGGCTAAGTTTTGCAATTCAGGTAGTATAGCGTACACCAAGAATACAGCCACAAGAAATACTGATGATATTATTATTCCTGAAACGAAACTCGAAATGTTAACTTGGTTTTATATAATTATATTAAAATATACATTCAATTATTATTATTTACCGCCAGTATAGTATTGATTGTTTTCTGTTGCGTCCTCTGAAGTCATAACTGACCAGAATTTTGGGTTCAAATCACTATCAATATCTATACAATAGTTAGTTTTCTCGATTGGCGTCCATCTTGAATATGCATTCGGGAACTCGAAATAAAGAGTTCCTTCCTACAATCAGAAAAAGATATATTAATTTTAAGTTCCGTTAATAAAGTCAAACATGTTGATAGTATTGCAAAGGAAATGTATTTAAATATACTTTATTTATTACACGTGATTTTATTATATTAAATATATGCATAGGATAAATATATGTCAGGGTTGTATACGGCTTATAAGCGCTGACTAAAAATAAAAGGGTTAAGCTAAATATTCCGGCGTCGGGACGTGACGACCCCATCGCCCACCGGGTAACCGGTGCAGTCAGTCACAGGGGGGGGGGACTCACTCCTGCTTATCGATATAGTCGATAGGCGAGGACGTGACCACACCGGCTGAGGTGCAGGCGCATCTGAGCTGGCTTTGTTTGCTTCTTTACTAAATAAAGAGCAAACCTTTCGACAGGTCCGCTGAGTCGGGTTGGCCGGACAGCGGACGGAGGCATGCCTTAATGCCACTGTCGGGGGGCTTGGCTTAACTGCCCGGCCCCAGAGGAAGGACACCTCTTAGATAAAAAACCACCCAATCCCAAGTTTCGGGAGCGTGGCGAGGGGATGAATGGCCGTTGGGCAAACGGTCGTTAACGCTCCCACCTGCTGGTACCTGCCGCCCCCAGCAGTAAGTAGGCTTACCCGGGTATTTAAGCCTCTGCCCGGGGTCGACCTTTTTTGCTTTATACTCGTGGGACTAAAATGGATAGTTCTTTAAATAAAACAAATACAAAACCTGACGTAGTGGATGATAACGTACCATTGGTACGAATGGAGCGAACGGGCGAGCTGTTGGATTCCGACAGCGCGTCAAGTCATATGAGCGTGGCGAGCGTTAATTCAAAACGCGTGCGAAAACGCACTAGGGATTGTGCAGACTCAGGGTCAGAATCGGTTTTAAGTGACTCAGTCATGCCGCCCCCCCAAAGTCGGTGCCAAAAAAGGAGGAAGAGGTAGGCCTGCCACTACCGGCAAATATGTCGGTATCGGCCAATCCAGGCGTGAGGCTGCGGCTGCAATGAAGGCCGCAGCAGCCGCCGAGAAATTAGAGGAGGATGAGCGACAGATTGCGGCTCTGACGAAAAGAGTGGTTGAAGGGAGAGTCACTCGTCTATCGCAGTCGTCGTCCGCCGTCTCAAATATAGATGTAGAGGCAGAAGATTTACCGGCCTCCGATCTTAATCAAAGATTGTCCGACGCGGTTGCAGCTATAAAAAGAGTGAGCAGGGTCTCCAAGGGCCTTAGCGGTTGCAGCCAGAAAGCACTAAAAGAGGCCACGGCATCAATTCTGGAAAGTGCTCAGGTGCTATTAACTCGCACCACATCAGAAGAGACGGCGCTGCTGCGGGCCCAGAATGCAAAGCTCGTAGCGCAAATGGCGGAGCTCCGGAAGGAGCACGATGAGCTCAAGGAAGAGATGAAAAACTTTCGCCGCGAGCAGCTTAGGAAGGAAGTGGGCCTTCCGTCCACAGTACCGCTACCGCAGTCGCAGTCACAGCCGTCGAAGCAGCAGTCATCTCAGGAGACGGAGTTACTTCGCCTGATCCGTCAGGAGATGGCAAGTTTTAACGCGCGCTTCTCAGTGCTTGAGGGGAGAATTCTACGTCCCCCCATAGCTGCAGACCAACACAGTAGACCAGCGACGATAAATATGGAGGAAACCGTAGCAGCCCAAAAATCGACGGTTCCAACTGCTACTTCGCAAAAGGAAACTGCGGGGCCTAAATCCAAAAAGCAGTTAAAAAAAAGCGGCTAAAATGGCCAAAAAGGCAGATGACACTCCTATTTCGCGGGCACAAACTGCTGAATCAGGAGCGTGCGAACCCGCCACTATAGCTGAGGCGGAGTGGACAGTTGCGGGCGCCGCCCAAAAAAGTAAAGCGGCTCGCCAGCGGGCCAAAAAGCAAGCCCAGAAGAAACAAGAGGCCGCCAAGTCCCAGACGGTGAAGCTCAGCACCCCCCGTTCTACAGCAGTAGTCCTCACCCTAAAACCAGGGGCGGAGGAGCGGGGTCTCACATATGCCGGGATCCTGGCAAAGGCGAAAGCGGAGATCTCGCTTAGTGATCTCGGTATAACAGGTCTCCGATGCAAAACGACTGCTACCGGCGGTCGCCTACTGGAGATATCAGGATCTTCTAGCGGTCCCAAAGCAGATGCCCTCGCCGACAGACTCAGGGCATCTCTAGGCCCGGATGATGTAAAAGTGTCCAGGCCAACTAAGTGCGCAGATTTGCGCATTTCGGGCCTGGATGATTCCGTCACAAAAGAAGAGGTCATTGCTGCCGTCTCCAAGGAGGGCGAGTGTCCGCCGGATCAAATCAAGGCAGGCACGATAAGCCGGGGTGTCTCTGGTCTCGGGTCTATTTTTGTTAGCTGTCCCGTAACGGCGGCCAAAAAGATAAAAGACAAACGGCTTCTGATTGGATGGGTCTCGGCGCAAGTCATGCTCCTAGCTCCAAAGCCCTATCGGTGCTACCGCTGCTTAGAAGAAGGACATGCGGGGGCACGGTGTACCGCTGGGGTAGACCGCAGTCAAATGTGCTTCCGCTGTGGTCAGCTTGGTCACAAAGCTGGCACTTGCACTGCCACGCCGCACTGCGTCCTCTGTGCGGCATCTGGCAAGTCCGCTGAACATCGGATCGGATCAAAGGACTGTGCTAGGCCCAAGAAGAGCAATGTTAGGATACAGTCGGCTCATCCGCCGACTAAAACCACCGACAAGACAAAGAAGGCAACCAGCTCCTCGCAGCCGGTTCACCAGCCGGTTGTGACAGTACACCCGGAGAAGATCAGGGAGGACACAACGACCATGGACACACAATAATGGCCCTACGTCGATTCCTTCAAGCTAACATAAACCACTGCGCCAGAGCTCAGGATCTCTTGCTCCAAAGCATGGCGCAGTGGTCGATCGATATGGCAGTTGTCGCCGAACCATATTTTGTGCCACCCAGGGATGACTGGGTGTGTGATACAAACCGCTCGGTGGCGCTGATTATGAGGACGGACGCCGACACCCTTCCTTTCGAGGCCGTCACCCGAGGGCGAGGTTACGTCGCAGCAATATGGCAAAAAATTATGGTTGTGGGTGTGTACTTTGCCCCCAGTTATTCTCTTGCTGATATGGAGGATATAATCCTGGAGTTAGGCGCGGAAATTAGTCGTAGCCGTCCTCGTCCCGTGATTGTCCTGGGGGACTTCAATGCCAAATCTACGGCTTGGGGTTCTCCAGTAACAAATGCGCGGGGTGAGTTAGTGGAAGAGTGGTCGGTTGAGCAGGGCCTGATTCTCCTGAACCAGGGTTCCGTGCAGACCTGCGTGCGACAGCGGGGTGGGTCTATAGTAGATCTGTCATTCGCTAGCCCTGATCTCGCCCGCTCTATCCAGGACTGGCATGTCCTAGAGGATGTAGAGACGCTGTCCGATCATAGATATATTCGATTTAACGTCTCCACACAGACCTCGGCTAGGCCGGTTCAAGTGGCCCTGGCGAGCATTGGTGATGGTCCGCGTTGGGCATGGAAACGGCTGGACAGGGAGGCTTTTCTCGAGGCGTCTATCGTAAAAGCCTGGCTGGACTTTCCAGACAGACCAACCAACATCAACGAGGAGGCGGAGTGGTTCCGAGAAAGCATGACGCACATCTGTGATGCTGGCATGCCCCGGGCTCGGCCTTTACCATCCAGACGTCAAGTATACTGGTGGTCACAGTCGATTGCGCAGTTGCGCATTGCTTGTACACAAGTGCGACGAAGATACGTGAGGTTCCGAAGAAGAAGACGCCACCGCCCCGTTACAGCGACAGCAGAACAGGTAGAGGCGGAACTATACAACCGCTATAGAGAGGCGAAAAAAGCCCTCCAGCTAGCAATTGTTCAGGCAAAGACCCAGGCCAACAAAGCGCTGCTAGAGACTCTGGATCGGGAGCCGTGGGGACGCCCCTACCTCATGGTACGAGGTAAATTGCGTCGATGGGCTCCCCCTTTATCCCGGAGTCTACAACCACAGCTTCTGGAAGAAGTGGTTTCTGCGTTGTTTCCGTCGAGATCGATGCATACACCACCGGTCATGGTCCCACCTCGTAATCTTTCCGAGGCGGAATTGGATATTGAGCGTGACGTGCCCGAAGTGACCCAGCTAGAGTTGAGAGTGGCGGTGTCCCGCATCAGGAACACCGCTCCAGGACCCGACGGCATTTCAGGCCGTGCCTGGACTTTAGCCATTAAGTCTCTTGGGCCCCGACTAGCGAGGCTCTTCACCGCCTGTCTGGAACAGGGCCAATTTCCAAGCCGGTGGAAGACTGGAAAACTGGTCTTACTTAAGAAAGAGGGGCGCCCCGCAGACACACCATCTGCGTATAGGCCAATCGTGTTGCTGGATGAAGTATGTAAGATCTTTGAGCGAATCATTGTCAGTCGCCTTGTCCAGCACATGACCAGGGTAGGACCGGATTTAGCAGACAACCAATTTGGTTTTCGCCAGGGACGCTCCACTGTGGATGCGATCATGCGCGTAAAGGCCCTCACGGAGGAGGCAGTCGCTCGGGGACAGGTGGTCTTGGCGGTGTCGCTCGACATCGCCAACGCTTTTAACACTCTGCCCTGGAATACCATCCGAGAGGCACTGCGGTACCATGCGGTGCCACGCTACCTACAGCGTATTGTCGGGGCTTACTTGTCCGAAAGGTCTGTGGTGTACCCGGTTCGAGAAGGATGGGGTCGACGAGAAACGACGTGCGGCGTTCCGCAGGGTTCGGTGTTGGGGCCGCTACTGTGGAACGTAGGTTACGACTGGGCTCTACGCGGTGTGCTTCTCCACGGTGTCAACGTCATTTGCTACGCTGATGACACGCTAGTTACAGCGCGTGGAAAGTCGTACCGCCAAGCAGACATACGTGCAACTGCTGGTGTCGCGCACGTCGTGGGCAGAATACGGCGGCTGGGCTTAGAAGTGGCATTGCACAAGTCTGAAGCCCTATATTTTCATGGGCCGAGAATGAAACCGCCGTCGGGGTCCAGCATCATTGTAGGAGGGGTGTCCATCGCTGTCGAGTCGACGATGAAGTACCTTGGAATCATCCTCGACAGTCGGTGGAACTTCGGGCCGCATTTTACACGGCTCGTCCCTAGGTTGTTGGTCACCGCATCTGCACTCTCGCGCTTGCTGCCCAACGTGGGGGGGCCCAACTCCTCGTGCCGGAGACTTTACATGGGGGTCTTACGGTCGATGGCACTATACGCCGCGCCAGTGTGGGTAGATGCCCTGACAACCCGAAACGTCGCTGCACTGCGAAGGCCGCAGCGCGTGATGGCGGTTAGGGTCATCAGAGGTTACCGTACGATCTCCTTCGAGGCAGCGAGTCTCCTAGCCGGATCCCCCCCCTGGGACCTAGAGGCAAAACTCCTCGCAACGCTCTATCGGTGGCGCGCGGAGGTGGTCGAGAGAGGCGAACGCCTGATGCCTCGACTATTAAGAGCACGGAGGGCGGAACTCCGCCAGGTCCTAATGGCGGAGTGGCACACGCGCTTAGCGCAACCCACGGCGGGGCACGCCGTTATAGCGGCGGTAAGACCTGTTCTACAGGAGTGGCTGAACAGGAGTCACGGCGCCCTCAGCTTCCGGCTAACGCAGGTACTTACCGGACATGGATGTTTCGGGAAGTACCTGTGCCGCATAGGTCGGGAACAGACGTCCCAGTGCCGACATTGCGGTGACTGCCCCAATGACACGGCGCTGCATACATTGGCGGAATGCTCAGCCTGGGCCGAGCAGCGCCGTGACTTGGTTGCGGCGGTGGGGGTGGCAGGAAACGTGTCACTCCCGGCAGTTGTGTCAGTTATGGTGGGGAGCGAGTCAGGGTGGTGTGCCGTCGCCACCTTCTGCGAGGCAGTGATGCGCGCAAAGGAGGTAGCGGAAAGGGAAAGAGAGGTTGCCTCCTTTCTCCCCTCCCGCTCTAGACGCACTGCGCGCCGTAGGGTGACCGATTTCCGGCCACCGTAGAGCGCGGCCTGTGGACGACAGATTCGGGGCATCTGTCGTCCGATAACAGCTACAGGCTTCGAGGGGAGGCGTGTAATCCGCGCGCGCCTCATAGTTAAGGTTTCATGACCGGGTGACGGGGCCCGCCTGACCATCTGGCGGGTCAATGCCTGTCGGGGAGGTAGCGACGAATGCTTCGGCGATACCCGCCTCTCCGGCACACGGGTAGATGAGGCACACGGGTTGGTTTTTAGTCAGTAGGAGTCTGACAGTCCCCTCCGTCCTTCCCCGAGGGCGGTGGGGCTCCATGAGGATTTTCCAACCCGACACCAAAAAAAAAAAAAAAAAAAAAAAAAAAAAAAAAAAAAAAAAAAAAAAAAAAAAGTTAAGCTAAATATAAGTCACTATACACTATAAATATGATGATGATGAAAAATATGAATCTAAAACAAAAATTTGTTAAACAGTTCTAAAGTAATTGTTTTGCTGTTTAATAAACGTGATTGTCACATTATATTATAATTTTCCTGTGTAGATCAATGCTTATTTAATGTAGCTATTATCCAACTGTTTCAGTCTAGAGAATTGTGTTTTACTAAGACTAGAAGCTAATTGTAATCCATAAAGGGTGCATTCGTGTGTGAAGATGCGAGTTTTGTAATATAATGCCAATCAGAGAGCATACCTTTTATTTACGTAATTAATAATTATGGATGGTTAAAATTACCCTAAATAAATTAATTATATTAATCAGGTACAGAAATGGTCACCTTGTC